ATACTTTGAACAGTACTAAAATGTATTTCAATGCATTGCTTTCCATGCATGCTGCTTGAAGTGATGTCAGTCAGCAGCTCTTTCTCTTCTCGTTCAGTGTGCAGCAGGCAGGTGAGAATGAGTAACCATGGTCACCGCTCTGTCTGTCAATTAATGCTGTCCCTCCCCTTCTAAGAATTAAACTCTTCATTCAATAAAACTTACTTTGACCATGTGTCACAGGATAATCACATTCTGGATTATGTTTGATTATATATTTTTGCCAGTCTATAAACCAATAAAATCCAGTAATGTCATAAAAAAACAACAGAGCCTATGAACAAAGGCTATGTGTTGTGTACAGCTACAGCTGTAGGAATACTGCAGGGCTAAAATAGAACACAAACACAAGAACTTGAAGTCTACTTGTTTTCAAGTGAATGCATCACTGTATAAAAATGTACCAAATGAACACTGAAATAGATTGAAAGGGACAAAGCCGGACACAACGCTAAATTATTATTTTAAACTGGTGTTGAAAACCCTCAAATTGAGCATAGAAAATTGATCTGAATGTTGGGAAAGACAATTGTGGTGCTGAAAATGTTCTGTGTGAGAAGAACCCCAAACAAAAATACATTTTTCAAATAGACTAAACTTATTAGCTTTGTACATTAAAAAACATTATACAGAGAAGTAAGTGGTTGATCTGGTCAGTAAGTTACAAATTAGTCTTTAAGATCAGTATGAAATGTTTGTTCTATTTTGGCCACAAGAGTTCATCACCACTACCTCGAAATTATAGTTAATTTATTTTCAACATTTATATACTTTTTATTTGCTTATTTCCATGTATTTAAAAATGTTAAGAGTGTTTAAGTTTGATAAATTCATGTGATGCAGATGTTGTAAAATGAGTAATTGTGTTTCACAATTGTAATTTTAATCTAAATAATCGTCATCATGACTTTTGCATTAATCAAGCAGCCCTACACGACATCAGTTTAAACACAATTTCAGGAGGTAGACCCCCTGTAATAGAGATTCTAATGTTTACCACACTGGGCTCAAGTGACACCTAGCTAAGCCATTTTAGTACATAGCCTATCATAGTAAACACTGACACGAGGAGGAGACAGAACCCTGTGGTCTGTGCACTTGCAGGACCGCCTGGCTCTGATAATAAAGTCAGAGCGGAACAATTTTTATGTTGTTTTATGTCACAAATCACACTGTAAAGTTACTTTTATAACCTCCATGGCGGAAAAGTTGAGCAAATCCACCTGACACTGCACAAATCAACCATATTTGGCATGTGGTGGGTGCCAATTTCCAACCCTTTGAAAAATAATAATAATATATGAAAAAGTAGTACAGCATGGGGCTTCAGTAATCAAATCTTTAAGTAATCGAGTAATCTATTGATTATTCTGGCGATGAAACGAGTAATCGGATAAGAAATATCGCATGGTCAGCCTTTTTTTCTGTAACTCCCGACAGCATTATCGAAGATTCTGGCTAATTGTAGCTCTGCTAAAGCCGAGGAGTTAATTAGATAATGTAAACATTCCATGTCGGACAAGATCTTTACAATAGAAGGTCCTGGTTTATATGTCCCTGTGGAGCTTTAATTGTAAAACATATCAGCCTATAACAGGATAATGGGTTGTTTTCAGCTATAGCAACTTAACACAAGTGAGACATCTGAAATACAAACACAGGAGAGAAACAACTAACGTCAAAGCCCTGTGGAGATACTCTTTCTTTTATCAACATTATGTAGTCAGAGCCAGAACATATGTAGGTCATGTTGAGTAAATCAAACTTCAAATATGTAAAATTGTTTCCTATCAACTTAAGATGAGAGATAAGAGTGAACTTTAATAATCCCAAATGAAATTATTGTGACAAATAGAATATTTGACATAAATACATGAAAACAACTAACTAATCAATGAGATAATGGGAAGGGCACATGCATTACTTCTGGTTAGTTATCAAGTTTTCAGACATTCTTGTGTATAGCTCATGTACAATGTCCCTTCTTATGGGTGACCTTCAGGCTAAACAAGTCCCTGCTGGCATAGACTGAACCCCTAGGCAATGTTTGATTACAAATCAAACATGAAGGCAGATCTTTTTCACTAGTAGCCAAGAGAACTGTATTGTATTTTCTTTATGAGTGATGTCACTCCATAAATGGATTTATTGTGTTGCATTAAATTCACTGAGTTCAAAAGTGACTTAATCTTTATCTCACACGCATTGCATGTGTCACCATTTCAACAGTCAAGATTAAGACGTCAAATAAAACTGTTAGACTACTATTACTCTGCAGTGTCAGGGTACCAACACATGTAACACTTATGCACTTCTGATTTCCAAATTAAATAAGCGGTGCTGTAATATATTCTCCACAATAAAGGAGAAAAATATAAATTGAGGAAACAACTGAATTGAAAAACAAAGGTTGAGGCACTATAGTATCACATTTAAAATCCACTTTGAGATATTTTATCTATTTGTAAAATGGGACATAAACAAGGTTATTACGCCTGAGCTTTCACATTAAATTATTTGCCACAGCAGCTACTGCACAAATACTGGGCCTCCAAATAGCCAGCGCACGACACTGTTTTATACAACTCAAACAAGGCTCCTCATCAGTATTTCGTAGTGGTTCTATCCAGGTCTCCACCCTAACTGTGATTCATCAAACCTTCTGTAGCGAAGCTTAAATGAGCACGATCACAACCTAAAATAGCCAAACAGTGCTTTACAGTTAAAAAAAAATAAAAAATAAGTTAGTATTTAAAATTCTGTTTAGGTGACGTATTTCAGAGCTTCGACGGCCACAAGGGCAAAGTTGCAGCAATGGCTCAGCAACGCCCTTCCCAGCTAACGTTAGCTTAGCACAATAACGTAGACGTGAACTGGAGCTGTCACAGCAGACTTGTTAAATATATTATACCACAACACGCAAAAGATATATGCCAACAAGTAGTGACGCAAAACAGCCACCTGTTGGGGATGAAATATCAGTTCAAATGTGTATCAGAATAGGATGTTACCCAAGTTTTATTATAAAGCTGTTGGCTCATATTCTACAGCCCAAAACAACACAGTCTTAACAGATTTACAGGCACACACAGAAACAAATCACATTAGAAATACAAATGACTTGTAGAAAATGTACTACTAACTAAGGCCTCTTTAAGCAACATCAGCATATTTTCACCCGATTGTGGAAAATGTAGCAGCAAGCTTGTCAGCACCCAGCTAGCTTTAAGGGGCTACCACGTTAGCTCGTCCACACTGAGCCTCCACAAATAGACGCAGCTATCGTTAGCCAAACGCTGGGCTAGTTTTCACAACAAAGTGTCTCCATGCAAAATAGACCCACGACCGAGAAGCGCAGAGCTGTTAATAAGATTCAGCACAGTCAGTACAGCTGAACAATATCACCGTCTGATTGTTTAAACGTTCAGGTAGCCAGAGTGGTGGTCTTGTGAATGACCAACTTTACCACTTAGCTTAGCGTTCGGCCTCTCCGCCATTTTGAGGGAGAGCGCAGACACTGCAGGCGATTCGTCGTCAAAATAACAAGTCTTTCTAAAGTGCCAAAAACAAACATAAAGACGCGCGTTTGAACGACTGACTCACCCTTTTGACACATTCTCATTCTGATATCCCGTGTGTGTGTGTCAAAGCGTCGGAGAGGAAACCCCTGCCTGTTAGTGGTATCGTGACTTTTCACGTCAGCCGGTCGGTCAGATATTTACTCCTCGTCGGTACCGCATTCAACCCGGCCCCAGCTAACGGTCGCGATTGGATATCGGCGGCGCGCACGTCGAGGTGAGCGGGGGGCGCGCACAATGCGTCGCTTTCCTCACATGAAGGGAAAACATTGGCTACTAGATGTAAAAATTATTATTATCATTATTTTTTTTTAATAATACAATTTGGCTGACATCAATGCACCTAACAAATTAAACTGTTAAGCGCAAAGTGTGCAAAATAATTTAACCCCCCCACCCGTCACAACAAGCTTGTAAACGCGAACTCATCCGTCAGTGATTGGTCATATTTACAGTGTATGGTCCTATCCAGAAGGTTAAAAAAAAATCTAGCATAGGCTTCATTAAGAAATCCTGTCAAAGGCCGTCGGAAATGTGTCATGGAACATATTTACAAGGTAGCCTATGCTATATAATGTATATTTAGACAAATTAGTTTCTTAGTTTCTTACATATTTTTTAAATCTTTGGTCCTCTTGGTCTCAGCTCGTGTTGTTGGGTTCTTGTGTTGCCTGGGTTCTTATCATGGTTCTTGTGATGGTCGGGTTATATATGTCTGTTGGGTATCGTGCACTATGGGTTCTTTTCTGTTGAATTGTATTTCATTATTTTTAGTATTTTGCATTTGTTATGTTCTTGCTGTTGTTAATGTTCTTCTGTGTTTGGTTTAGTTTGCTTTGTTCTTGTTTGTCAAAGCACTTTGTAAACCTGTGTTTTTAAAAGGTGCTATATAAATAAAGTTATTATTATTACTATTATTATTATTATTATTATATAATAAATAATTTTCTGTTATGATTTTAAAGTTGTGTCTAATGTTCACGTTTAAATGATAGTAAAGCAAATGAAAAACAACCTCAAAGCTGTAAATCAATATGTGAAACTACTTTTCAAAAAGTAAGGCTTGAATTAAACTTCATATAGGCCTATGTTTGTTCAGAATATTTTTGTGCAATAAATAACCACATATTTTTTTTTTACTGTTCTACTTTCATAGAGGCCTACCTATTTGTTTAGATCTTATCTGAATCTGAGCGGTTTTCTAGTAAAGGAAACAAAACTTTTAAATATTTGTGGTCATATCTGAATTGAAATTCATTTAGCAGTGTCACTTAAGGCCAGACTGCACAACACACAAACAATACCAGTTAAAAAAAAAAGTAAAATCAAGAATCAAGAAAAAAAGAAATCAGAATCAGAATCAGAAAACTTTATTAATCCCAGTATTCACACAACACAGCAGTAGGAAATAAAATAGAATAGAGATGATAAAAAAAAGCAATAAAATAAGCAACAAGTACCAACTGAGGATAGCCTAGCAGGGACACAGGATGTCCAGATGCTTATTTTTCCCTACTGCTTAACTCCAGAATATTTAAGGCAACTTTAACTGAATCAAAAAGGATGAGTAGCACACAAAACATCATCTGTTTTTGGTACACGGGTGTAACCCAGTGGACACACAGGGGATTGCAAGTCATTTAGATATTAAATAAACTTAAACATACACAGGAGTTTTTTTATTTTGTTTCATCAGTACAAGTAGATCCAAACATACCATGCTTGTCAATTTGTCTAGAAGCATAATTAATTAATCAGTATATTTAAGCATTTTTCTGACAATAAGGAAAAGAGTTATGAATATTCATCATCAAAGTTACAGCCAGTAGAGTTAATTTATGGACCAGGTGTCTTTCAACTAGAGCTATACGACAATCATTAGATAAAATTAACACCCAGTCCTCCATAGACAACAGGCTGGGGAAATCCTCTTCGAAAGGAGTACAGTTGAACATGTCTGCTACTTGACTGTAGTTGTTGTCCAAAGTAGGCTAACCTACATTGAAACAGCAATTTCCCTGGCTTTCATAAACCTTTACTATCGATTGTCTACAGTCATTTACAGAAGTCTGACTGAACTCACACATGTTGTTTTCGACCTGTTCTTTGAGTTCATAGAGCAGAGTTATTGTCTGCCGATCTTTCCAGCTCGTCAGCATTTCCTTTCAACTCAGTCTGCGGGTCGGATATTCCTTTTGCTCTATAAATAAAAGATGTGACACTATGTGTGAGGAAAATCCCAATTTACATCAACCATTTATCACAATGATTACAGAATGAGATGAACATTACTGTTTGCATGTTCACCTGGGGGGAATAGCTATGAATCCACATGCCAGGTTGAGCTGCTGAAGGATTGTGGGAAGGCTTGGTGTGGAAAACTGGAGAGAAACACAAACAAGATAAATTACCACACAACCAGAAATGCTTGCATGCGTGTTTTCATGTATTTACAAACCTTTGGAGGTTGAATACAGGCACTGGGCGTATTGCTGTAGATACTGTTGATAGCTTTCTGAAGAATCACAGCCTGACGAGTGAGAATCTTTAGGTACTCTGAGCTTTCCTTCGTACTTTCATGGTCCTCCCCAAGCTGTTGTGTGCAACAAAGGACTCTCTGAGAAATAATGGGCACTGAAATAACATAAGCATATATGGGATTCTGGCATTTTAAGCATACCTGGCTCTTAAGCACTGCATAGGCTTCTTTCTCATGTTGCAGAGCCGACCGATACTCTCCTTTACTTTCATACACAGTGGCGAGCAGGTGGTGACTGCACAAAGACGGACATGAAAAGGGTACACGTAGACAAAAACGTTAAGGAAATATTTGTTTCTGATCATAACAGATAAATGGTATGGCCAACTATCTAACCTTTGTACATATTTCAGCGATGTGGCACCATGGTATTTTGAAGTCGAAATCAAGGCACTCTGGAGAAACTTCAGGGACAGCTCATACTCCATCAGTTCATAAAGAACTAGACCGAGCATAGTCTAACAAAGGGAAGCAAAACAGCCACACAAAAAAACAGATTTCAAACACATGGGTGACATGTAATAACACCTCCTGGCACGAATACAAAGTGACCAAAAATCAAAGGTATTATCATGAAACTTTTGCAAGGTTGCCATCTGTTTTTTCATTTCAGCATCTTTCTTTGTCTTCACTTCCATTTCATTTTGTTATGTAATGGTTGATTGTCTTTGTTTTTGTACCATTTCAGTAGTTTTTGATGGCAGTGTAATTGAAACATGTGAGCAAATATTTGCAGCAAAAAGAAAAACAGTTCTATTGACAATTTGACAAGTTAACTCAGATTTGATCAAATGTAATGGAAATATTTACTGTGCAATCAGTTTTTACCAGATTTCATGCAAATAAATAGAACGGAACATGTGTTTTAAATATATTTAATGTATAAAGAACCTTAGACAGAAAGACATGTTGTGCAGCTGAGGTCTCACTTACATCCAGCAGTGTGACATGTGGATGGTCTTCTCCGATTATAAGCAGGGTGAGGTATCGTGCACGATAAAGTAGCTGCAGGGAGGTCTGGACTCGACCTCCAGCAAAGCAGTACAGGGCCAGGTGAGTCTAAATCACAGGTAACAGAAAACTCTCATTTGAAGACACAACACATAAAACATTAAAGGATTTGAGGTAGATGTTTAAAAAAAATGTGATTAACATGTTAAAGTTCAGTGATCTGTTTGTGGATAAAAGAGCAGGTAAAAGGAACTCACATAGTCCTGTATTGTCTGTGGATGGTCTATACCTTGTGATCGCTCACTGCTCATTACAGCCTTTTCCTGGTGACTGAGGGCCTGTGACAAATGAGTGAAACATTACTTTGTGAAGGCCATGCAATGTTCATATTTCTGTCTGTTTGTATAGTAATGCAGTTGAAACAACTCATGTCACACAACATTGCTTGCGATGTAGGTAATGACTCAGATGACTGACAAGGTAAGAATCAAATGTAATAGTTAATTCATTGTTATAAATACTTACATCTGCATACTCCCCCAAGATATAGCTGATTCGCCCCAGGAGACGCAGACACACGCACACATCCTCGTGCAGGACCCCACAGACGCTGCTGAACAGAGTCAGGGCCTGACTTATCAACTCGTTGCCCTCTATAAGGAGCCCTGAAACCAAACGTAAAACACTACTGAAGAGACCTTAAATGTGGAAATGCTACTTTTGGTGTTACAGTAGCAGTTTATCAGAACAAAAAAATACAGAATAAATATATTCTAGCAAAAGAAAAATAAATATACGGCATATGCAGACTTTTCTTTTTGCCTAAATAATGTTCATGTAAAATAAAAACACTGGAACATGTCCAACATGTAAACATTCTGTGCAGGGAAGGTAGAAGTGTGAATTAAATGAAGTGAACAGAGTTTTAAATGTCTAATCTGTCTGATGATAATGTGCAAATACAGTGTACACATTTGTTAATGCAGACAGTGTCTAGCGATGTTCTCAACAAACACTACATATAGAGGTGCTAACGTGCACCTGGTTATAAGTTATGAAAGTATTCTTCACAAAAGACGAGCTCAGATCTTAAATTGAAATTGATTTACATTTTGATCTCTTATAAGTTCATGAGCCCAAAGATCCACCTATGCTGATGTGGATCTAATTTATACAGAAAATAAAATGCTTTCCTTTTGTATTTTGAAAGCCAGATGTGATTCAGGTAGAAATACCCACTTCTGCAAGCTTTCAAACCTCTGGATCAAAGACATCCAAGGCTCTGAGTTTTTATACAGCTGGGCAGGACCTACAGATGTACTCAAGGACACCTTATTTTGCCAGATCATTTTCAACATGGACACTCCAGCTGATTGTCATTTATTTTAAGCACCAAGGCGGAGCCACAATGTCATACTAAATGTTAGCCTACTGGTCTATGTCTTTGTCTATGTCTCACCTTGCTGCACTGCCCCATGTGCATGTTGCACAAGCCGTGTGGCCTCCTGTGCTGTATGTTTGAGGTGCTTGACCACAGGGAACATGTTGATAACGTCTTCCTCGCTGAACACTGGCCTGTGACGAGACTCAAATACATACTCTCTCAGCTGTACCTAAACATACAGAAAGGGAAGAAGATCAAGATTAATAGCTGCATTTTAAAAGCTGCACTAGATGGTTTGCACTTTGGCTTGCAGTCAGTGCTGGAGGTCATTTTATGTTTCATGACAAACAAAATTCATGTAGGAAAATGTCAGCCCCTCAACTGACTCTGTCAGACATCTGTTCTATCAAGCTCAACATATGAAACAATACAACATTTTAAATGTAAGTGTTTTGCCCCTACTGTTCCATTATATACAATTTTCTGTTTAGACAAACATTTTGTATTTCTGTCTCTAGTCCTCATTACTTTGTTTGAGCCAAGGGAAGTTTCTTCCTGCGACACTTTACAAGGCAGCACAGTGGAGCAGCATTTTATTATTGCTGCTTAAGGGTCTAATTTTCTTAATAACAAAGGTTAGAGTGCAAATGTTTTAGCAGATGTATACAAAAGAAAAGAGTGGATACAGTCTGACCTGGATCCCGGTCTTGATGGCAATCTCTCTCAGTAGGGAGATCCTCTGCAGGCTGTACTTGTCTATTACTTCATCTATACTTTCACTGAACACAAAGAAGGACGATAGTGTCAAACCCTGATAGTGCATATCCAACCCCAGACAGACACAGAAACACACACCTATTCATTGTGTAGTGGTAATACTCTTCAGCCTCAGCCTTGATCTTGACCCAAAGCTCACTTGGACTCAGTCTAGCCCACGCCCTTTCTGCCAGTGAGGCACCTCTGCTGCCATGGCTCCGTTGACGTCGGCTCCTGCGACGAGAGAGGAGCTTGTCTGAGCAGGAGTCAGGGAAGCAGGATGAGGAACTTAGGAGGCAGTTTAGGAAGTGACAGACAGCTGCAGAAAAAGCTGAAGGCTCAACATCCTGAAATAAGAATTAATATTAGATTATTAAAATGTTGCTTTGATATTTCCCTTCATTACATTGTTGAGGGCAATTTACCTGTATATAGGTCCTGAAGACATGTTTTGCACTTCTGATGATGATCTCGCTGATAGAAATTCTCTGTCAGGGAACATGAGGTCAGTTTTGTGATCAGGAAGTCTTTTATATATTGGCAGTAGTTAAAGTTAAGTGTTCTTGTGCTGCTTTTGTGCATTGGTGACCTATACAAAATGTTCTACTCCAATGAAAAATAAAGTTTATTGTCCAGTTAACAGTGATTAGTGATGGTTTTAGATCAATACCAGAACCTTTGGAAATGTTTAGTCTTTACCTTGTCTAAGATTTATATAAAAAGTTCTTAAGGGCTTAATCATAATGACAGGCATACATACTGTTACCCTGGGTAGCATGCCTTCCTCCTCTTTGAAACTGTCTAAAGTGTACCACAGGGATTGATTCTGGTCCCGATTATTTTCTCAATTTCTAAGCTTCCCCTTGATAAAATAAAGTAAACACAACATTTTTTTAAATGCAGATTACACAAAATGATATCTTCCTGTCAACCTAATGGGTTCTGGCAGTTTGTTTTCTAAAAGAAGTGCTGTAATGATCTTGGTTCATATGATGTTGTCAGGATATTGGGAGTTATTTTTTCAGATGTGGACAGTAAATGAGTAATTGACATAAACTTTCTTAATTGAGAAGAACTTCCAATTCAAATAATTTCTGTCGGTTGTTGACCTGGAGGAAGTTTTTCTATCCTCTACTTAATACTATTGCAATATTTGAAATATGAAACATAGAAGTGATAGGCATAGTGTATCATGGTTCTCTGTCTTGAACTGCAGTTTCTGTCGGACACATTTATGAAAATGTGTTTCAAGTAATGTCAAAGTAAACTCACAAGATAATATGATGAGGTAACATGCATGTGATATAGTTAATAATAGCTGTAGAAAGTACCTGTATGTGGCTAAGTCTCCCTCTCTCCACCAACCCATCCAGCTCCTGCATTAGGGTGCCAAGGTATCGCACATTTACACCCCGCTGGTGTAGTGCTGATGTTAGGGTTGCACCATCCATCGGCACAGATGCGTGGTCGAGACAGTCCCTCAGCTTCCACACACACGCATGCACACACGTAACATATCCACACACACACACACACAAGATTAGCAAATGAGAAACGGATAACTTAAACTACATAACATGATAGACCTGACCCTTAAGTTTATCTCGAAAGACTCACAACAGCTGGAATCTGTTTAGTCAGCAGAAAAGCAGCTGCGTCCCACAACAGCTGTCTCTGCCTCTGAACCCCCTCAACACACTCAGGGGGGAAACGAACCCCTGCAGCAGACACACAGTTAAGTCTTGGTCTCATTTTCTAAATACTTGATATACATGACATGAATGTGTGTGCACGCAGGTGTACCTGGAGAGCAAACATCAGGATTGAAGCAGATGTCAAAGGAAGACTCACTTACTGGTCCAGAAATCACATTTCTTCTCTGAGATTCTACAATAGTAAGTAAGAATGAATTATTGGTTGACACAGACCATAACCAAACAATCTGAAATACTGCCCATGGCTCTTTTCATTACTATACATGGTGTATTTGCAGATTTGAAAGGTCTACTGACTAGCTTTCAAGTGAGAATTGAGAATAAAACATACATGTATAAATGTTCAATACATGTCTTCTAATGGTTCAACCTTTCTAGGACTAGTATTCATTTTTCCACTTTGGGTTTCTCAGCCTTATTTCTTCCGTATCATCTGAAGATTTTTTTATCATTTCACTTAATTTTGGAGGTCTTTTTTGTCCAGCTGTACCTGTATCTCCAGTGCTCAGGTCAAAAAGCGGCTTCTCACTCTGCTCTGTGGCTTTGTCCCCTCCTGTCAGTTCCTTAGACATCATTTCACCATGAAGTTCATACCTGTAGCAGAAAAATAAAGATAAGCCAAAACAAAAATACACAATTCTATAAGCTCTTGTACATCTTTTATTTCTCACCTGTGCTGGACGAAAGCCTCTATCAGCTCTGGTCTCAGGCTGGCCAGGCTGTGGTGGTGTCGCTGCGGGTAACCGAAGCTCTGACAAACCTTTGGCACCTCCCTCCTGTCCTTCATCTCTGAGAGCTGGAAGTTGAGGTCAGGGGGGAAGGTCCGGAGAAGGTCCAAGATGTAGGCTCTTCCATCATTACCCATGATGCCTTTGGTCTCAATGCCCGAGCAAAGCTCCACAGGGCTGTTGTTGTGGTCGAGCACCTGGTGGCGCTGGATTCTTAGAGGTTTACAGGTTTTGTCCAGGAGATCCAGGAACCTGGAGTGATGTTAAGAAAAAGTCACCTGATTTCATGTTTAAAGTCAGTCAAGAAATAAATACCTATGAAAGATTATTTATTGTTTTACTGCAGATGTGTGTTACCTTGAGTGTGTAAAAACTGTTTTGCCATAGTCATTAGAGCCATAGACGACAGTCTGCTCCTGATTTTTCTCCAGTATCCCAGGGACAATCGTCTGAGCGATAACTCGGATGCCACGATAATCCACAACAGCTGTGCCAAGTGTGTGAAGCCCCTCTATGTCCAAAGCTGTGTATGCCTGTATTAGAGTCACATAAGTATTCTTGTTAAACAAGCCACACAACTGCAGAAAGATATTTTTTCTTGCTGATTGATTTTGATTATAGTGTTTTTTTCCCTTAAATATCCACATAATGGAGCAAACAGCTAAGGAATGTGCTACAGTCCGTTTCGGAAATCAAACATAATTCTAAAACAGTACATGCATATCAAACACATGACCACTCACAAATACTACTGTCAGGATATCTACCTGTGCTCCTCTCAGGTCACAAATAGCAGAGGCATGAGCAGCAGTGTTGCCCCCTAGTGGAAGGTAGTGGTCCGATATGTCAAACCCCAGGCTGAAGAAGAGGTTGTTCCAGATAAACATCTGCATGTGAGGCGGCTCTCCTGGGTTCAACGGCATGACGTCACCGTCGATAACAGCTACAGCTCCTTGTGTTGCAGCGGCAACAAAGTCACAGTTGGTCTGAAAACAGGAATAAAAAAAGAGGTTCTCTTCATTGGTTTTAATGAAGAGCAACATAGTAGTCCAACACAGGGCGGGGAAAGCGTAACAATTAAGGGGTATTTGTAGAGGACGTTTTAGGTTTTAGACATCATGGTCCTGTGCTCTTGGTCAGTGATTTATGGATTGAAACTGATGGTCTCACAGTCACATCCCTGCTTCTCAAACAGTGAATCAGGGAGCATGTTGGGATATCTGTGGTCTCACCTTGAAAATACATCTATCTCTGAGCAGGAACTCGTCAAAGGAGCTCCTGCTGAGCTCCCTGCATCCTTGCAGCTCTTCATTCCAGTCTCGAGTCTGTGGTCAGAACAAACAACCAAAATGTCAGCATCACAATCAGGGATGCCATAATGTTAGAAACTCTCTGCATTCATCCTGTTTTTACTATTTTATGTCTGTAACCTGCCCAGCTGTGTGCTCGTCCTGGCCCATGCGTCTCGTGTGTGTCTCCTCTGCTCTGACACAGTCGAGGGAGTGGTCTCCATGACGGGCGGTCCAGGTGAACACCTGGAAAGGCGCGGCTATCCGCTCATAAGGGTGTTGCTGGACTCTGGTTTAAACAAAAAAACAAAACAGAAAGAAAGCATAAATATCTTTCCTGGATTTTTTTCTAGAGGATGGATGAGAACCCTTCATAGATAAATATTGGTAGAGTTACAGAGACTATAAAGGGTTGCCTTGCAACAAATAGAAAAACTATTTTTAACCCTCTTCATATCAATAGCCAAATAAAACGTCTTTATTAGTAAGGTTGATTTGAGAGAAGGGATTTCTGTTTTAAAGTAGGTAATTTCATGTTGTTTATGCCAACTCAAGACATAACTCCATCAACACTCTTGGTGAAAAGTGTTGCTTGTCCCTCGGTCTTTTGTGAGCATCATATTTTCAACTTGATAACAGCTTGCTCACCTCTTCCTCTGCAGGGCATGGAAGTTCTTCCTGAAAATAGGGCTCCCTTGACTCAGCAGCTCAACGAGAGAGTGGCAAAGGATCTTTGGAGTCGCAGGTTTAGGGTTGAAGTTGAAGGCAGTTGACCTGGAAAAGTCAAAACAAAGCACAAGTCGAATCCAGGCGAGTTTGCCAGACAGATTTTATGATATAAATCAGAATCTGAAAGAGACTCAATGTCTGATTTGCAAAACAGGATGACCGTCATTCTAGCACCTCCGGGAAACTTTACCAATGCTAACACTAGCATAGCAACATGCTCACAAACAGGCACTAAACACAGAGCAGAGCTAAGACTGAGGGGAATGTTATCAGTTGCGCACATGATATTGTGTCATATACCAAAGTATTAGACTAATTGCATCTTTGACCTGATGATGGCCCTTGATGAAAATTGAAAGGATCCCAAAAACTGCATTTTTATTGATGGTATACATCCCCTGGGAATAACAAATGTGTGTGCCATTCAAATGAGATTAGCTCTGGTTAAGTGATGTTTGCTAAATGCTGTAGGAAAAGTCTGGACTCTTACAAAATCATTGGGATTCATCTAAAGGAGACCTTGGACGTGTGTACAAAGTTTTATGGTATTCAATCAAACAGTTCTTGAGTTGTTTCATTACAGACAAACATATTGAATCAATATGACACCATACAGCTAGCATGAATAAGAAATCAGATATTTCATTGTTTTGAAAACTTTAAAATGGCAGTTTAACACTTACTGGTTGAGGTAGAAACCGCGTGTAGATGATGTGATATTCAGTTCTTTGTCTTCCATAGTCACGACATTGAGGTACATTAAGTCCCCATGCATCTTCCTGTTTCCTGGAGGAGGGTTCCAGCTGCTCATGGTCAGGACCCGCAGACACTGTAGTGGCTGAATTGATATTTGCACTGTTAATTCAGTATTTTAACATTTTATATTTAATCATTAAGTAATATGTTAAAGTAAAGAAGCGAAACATTTACCTTCCAGTCGTCTCTAACAGGCTGCAAAGGAGTCAGAGGTCGCTCCTTACAGCCAGGCAGGATGTATTCAGGCGGCTTGAAGTCAACAGACCCTTTGTCAGAAGTTCTCCTGTTCCCCACACTTTCACTATCTGAATGAATACGAATGGAGGTCAAAGGATTACTAAGAGAAATGCTCAAACAAAAAATCACATGTGACGGGGGGGGGGGGGGGGGGGGTGAATGCAGAAAGAAAATACCTTTGTTTCCTCTGGTGTAAAAGGTCAGATAAGATAGCGAGCTGCAGTTCACTCCGTTGTACGCATCTGCAGGGTCAAGGCTCCTTAAAAGATCACGAACGTGTCTGAGATGGAGACGGGCATCACGCACCGAGTAAGAGTCTAAGAAAACCAACAAAAGATGATTATAAAGTGTTTGGTTTAATATCACACCAATTAAAAATGAATGGAAATCTTTTACTTGTAAATATGTTGCATAGAGGATAACACACACAAATCAGCGTGTTACTGATTTATGAAAGAAACCTAAGTTGAGTAGTGGTTATCATGTTAAAATAAGAGTGTGACATGGGTTCCACTGTAGTAAGCTTTCTTTATTCAATATCAGATGTGATTTGACGTACCTTGAAATTAAATCTATGCATTCCAATTAGTTATTCCATATCATCTAGCATTTGTAAATGAACAACACAGAGTATTTCGATGTTTTAAATGCAGTTTTAAGTACCGTAATTTGAATATTATATTAAGGATTGAGGTGTATGGTACATTATATTGTAAAAAAAAATCTAGTTTGTGGAGATGTTTTTTTCAAGCAAATTCAAAACCGTGGTTGGGTTGAGTCGAGTCAAAAATAGAACACAATCTAATGATCTTAACCAGTGCAGTTTTGAGACATAAAGAGCAAGCATCAGTCCAACACCTGCAGAAGGTAATAACACTTTAGATGAGAGGTCAACCTTTTTCCTAATAAAGGGTCTGTCCTGTGATTGTGTGCAACTGGTCCATGTGCAGGTCTGCAGGTGAAGTCCCACACAACTGGACTGAACACAATTAATGACAATGTTGCACTCTAAGGTGAAATAACAGGAGGAAAATAGAGCAGTTACCCTCCACCACTTTGATGAGCGCCCCCTCCTGGATGCCCTGGATAGAGCATAGCTGTGTTTGTCTGTCGAGCACGCTGGCTCCCAGCTGGAGGGAGAAGCATGTTCGGTGGCAGGTGATCTCATGATCCATCAGCACCTGGTGAAGCTCTGCCACCAACATCTGACCTGAAATCTGAGAGCCAGAAACAGAGAGAATCAGAAAGAGATACAGATAGTATATCTTTTTAAATAAAAGAATAGGCGGCTCGTAGTAGAAGAGCAAGTAGTAAAGGAGAACCTGAAGCTCAAAACTTTCAGTTCCAGGAGGTTGGATTCTGACAAGAAAGCCCGTCTCCTGGAGATCAACTTTGTCATGGATGCTGAGTTGTTTTCTTTCATCATTATCAGACTTCTCCAGGGGACCATCCTCAGGGCTTTCTTCAATTTGACATGGAGGAGCTGTTGACGTAGAGAAAGAAATGGGCTGTGAAGACAAAACTGGCTGCATGATATACAGGCACATTTTACCCTGAATTTAGATTAAAGTGGGAAAATAAACAAATATATTCTTATCTTTTTGTATTACCACTTTTTTTTTGCCTTCATATGACAGGACAGATATGAGAGACAGCAAATGTGGGGAGATAGAGTGGAGGAGTACATGCACCTAAAGGTGACAGGATCAGGAGTAGAACCTGCAACCAGTAACCTCTGTACATGGACTGAGCAATACCGGCACACACTAAATATACATTATGTACTTACAATTGAAAAAATTGAAAATGAATAAAGAGAAAATAAAAAGCTGGGATCTAAAAGATTAAAATAAACAATTTCATTTGAAGCTGTTGTGAAACATTAAGATGTTTTCTTACTCTTAATACCTTTTAATAGCCTAATTATTCATCTATACTGAAATAAAATCAGAATTATAATGAATAGGCTTTCCTGTACTTCTCTATTAATTGAATAATAAGTAACATTATACTTAATAGCTTGATGATCCAATTTACACGAAACAGTCATTTAAACACTTCAGATTAGCCCACTTCACAAAATAGAAACACACCACAGAGAAACTAAAGAACACACCTTTGACATGTGTTGCAGCCAGAAACAGCCTGTCAACAGAAAACAGGGTTTGCTTCACCTCAGACCCCTCTGCCTCCTCCTCCTCCTCCTCCTCCTCCTTTTGTATGGCCTGCTCCAGCTCCAAAACCTCCCGAAAATGAGTGTTGCCATCCTCTTCCGTCTTTGGTGGCGTCAAGTTTTTCTGGCTCTGAATATGATCGGTATTTAAAATAGAGTGGTCTGTTGTATGACCTGTGCGGTCATCGGACAGATTAATGTCTGTGTGGATATGTTCCGTCTTTTTATTATCTGTTTGTTTCAGGTCTAAACGACAGTCCTCAGGGTCAAAGTTCTCCGAAACTTCAGTGTTGTTGATGCTGTTTTTCGTGTCATTCTGTGGATGCTTGGTTACATTCTGCTCAGTCATCCCCACTGAGTTGCACTCAGATTTTAAATGAACTTCTTTTTCCTTTACATTCCCCTTTACAGGCCGACTATGTTGCTCCCTCAAGGCCAAGTCTGCGTTTTCCTTTGCAGCGACAGTATTTTGTTGCAAAGCAAACAGACCCTCTTCATTCATGTTAAACTCCTTTATAAGCTTTGCATTTTCTTCTGTTTGAAATGTTTTGCCAGTAAAAGTGCTGCTCAGTTCCTTGCAGATGTGATCCTCCTCCAAATCATTCTGTGTGGTGTCCTTGTTTCTTTTCTCTGAAGGTATTTTGGTAACAATTTCTGAGTTCCTCTCATCTGACATTTGTGTGTCTGGTTGTGCTTCCAAGAGTACATCTACATGCTTTGGTATTTCACAGTCTTTCCAAACATCCACAACCAGGTCTTCTGTAGTGCCAGTGCTAGTTAGTGTATTCATTTCTCTTGCCAAAGTCTCATTATAACCCACTTGTATTTCTGTTTGTGCTTGAACCTCCATCTGTGACTCTGTCTGAGTCTGCACCCCCGTATCCATCCGTGTCTCACCCTCAGTCTGTGTTTCAACCTCATAATAACTCCTGTTTCTCCAACTGGTAATCCTCTCTTTCCCTTCATCTACCGGCTCATTCACTCTCACTCCTTCTTCCTCCTCGGACACCAGCAGACACACCATCGGCTCCACCAACGTCACTTCCCCTCCCAAGTTACTGCTCAGGATAATATCTGGAAACAGGAAGTGCTCTGGTTCGAGGGCGGGGTTTGTCACTCCGGTTGAGGTGGTTAACAGTTCTTCCTCCAAGTCGTCTGGCAGACTTGGTGACTCACGTTCACTCTCCTCGCTGGATAACAGAGGGGATCTTTCAGCCTCTCCTTGGACAGGTGCATCCTTACACTTAAAGTAGTATGACAGCGTATGACAGCACTGGACTAAGTTTCCCATGATGCCTCCGTGCACAAAACAAGAGTACAACTCTGCAGGGTTGCCTAAGGAAGAAAAACACAGTATTTTCATGAGAACAAATCTAAAAATGGAAACTACTTTGGAATACAAAATAGACTAAATAAATGTGCTTTATTAAATATAAGGTGTCTGATTTTATATTGCTTACTGAAACTTGGTTAACTGAACACAATAATGCAGCAGTTGTTATTGAAAAGGCTCAGACAAACTATTATTTTATCAATAAGGCCACAGCACTTCGGACAGGAGATTGATTGGTCACTTTATTTTCATAATGTGTAGTGCAGTTGTTATATGGGAAGTTTGAATCCTTTGAATATGTTGCAATAAATTGTGAGAGTTGTATAACCATACAGGCCCCCAAAAATACAATGCAGAGTTTTTTAAGGATTTGGATTGTCTCAAGTCTGCTGTGTGCATTGATTCTGACTGTGATGGCATAGTCAGTGACTTTAATATTCCTATCGACAACAAAAAAAAGATGCAAAAACCAAAGAATGTTTACATATCAGGGACATATTTGGACTTTCTCAGCATGTGCATCATCCAGCCAGGCTTTTACACCCACACAAGCTCAGCCTTCATTTCCTGTCAATGATGTTGTTAATTCTTCAATTTCCACAGTTTATTGATAATATTTCCCTCATGAAGATCAAAGTCGTGTCTGGTAAGAAAAGGGCACCCTGGAGGAATGCCACACTGGTTAAAGCTCAGAAGAGAGCATGTGGACACGCAGAATGACAACAAAACTCCAGGTTCATTACGAGATTTATAAATAGAGACTTTGCATCTGTAACCCATAGAACTGAAACTTGCACGGTAGAAATCATTAATACAAACTGAAAAAGACTCTAAAATTCTAAAATACAAGATTTAACTAGGATGCTGAGTATGAACTTATAATAGATTTTTTATGTGTTTGAGTGTGTGTGTGTGTGTGTGTGTGTGTGTGTGTGTGTGTGTGTGTTGTGTGCGTGTATTGGGTATGTGTGTGTGTGTTTGTCCGGCATACGTGAATGCAAGCAGCTAATAGCCTTAAACAACAGCTGATGACAGGAAGATTATGGAGTGTTGCTGAGGTGTCACCTTACAGTGTAAAGAACTGAAGCCTCAGTCTGGGCAGATCTCTGGAGCGATGTTGAATATCTAGAAATGCTGCTGCAACAAAGATGAAAGAAAATGCTGGGTACAATTTTAGTGTAAAAAAGTTCCCATAAGTTACAGTAGTTAGGCTACATTAGACTGACAAAAAGGCCCAAACACTTATTAACATATTAACAGGTTGTTTTTTTTTTCAAGTTTCATACCTTTGTTTAAGCACAACATAACATTGTAATAATTAATAGCCTAATAATTTCACAAAGCATGTGAAAACATGTGCATATCTCAAACAACAGAAGCATCAATAGGTCTATCACAAAAACAAATTGAATCAATCTATGGGACTTACCAGGAAATTTGGAGAAATGAAGAGGATGCCAGTCTGTGTCATTTTCTCCAGATCCCACTGCTCGTCATCCTGCTGAAATCAGAGAGTCCCAGCTTCCCTCTAGAGCAGGAGGATCCCCTGTCCTTGCTGAGACAACACGTTACACAAACGTGTGTGTCGCTGCATGTGTGTGTGTGTGTGAGTGTGTGTGTGTGTGTGTGGGTTTCTGCCCTTCATGGGTGAAGAGGAGCCACGAGGGAGCCTGTAGCAGGAGGCCCTCTATGCACACACATGAACACTGTCACACTTTAATACCCATCCCGTTCCAGAAGAGGGCAACCTCTACGCCTGTCGTGACGTAACTTCCTGTACTGGCACCGGCCCATGCGCTCTCCATCAAAAACTTAAATGTGAGCACGTGCAGTAGCCTATAAATAAAAGCAGGGGGGACGATTGACACACATTCATATTCATCCCTCCATCCCTTTTGAAAACACAGCGCAAGGAATGACACAGCAAAACCCTCCGTGAATAGAAAGTCCGGAACCGTACGTGATCTTCCTCACTTTCAGGCGGAAAAAAAACAAAAACGCAGCTCTCTGGTTGCCATGGCAACTATGCTGAACGGTATTAGCATTCGAAAGCAGTCTCCAAGACAACAACTGTGGGAACCATAGACTTCTACGGTGGGAACATTCTATAAAAGGGACGTTTGCTGGGAGACAAGCGGGCCTGTGTTCTGAACATGAACCAGTGTGTGAGTTTAGGAGTTGTTTATTCTGTAAGAGCCAAACACTTTCATTTCACCCAAACAAATGGCTGCATCATTCAGAAAGCTGCTATGGCATGTTTCAAATTCACATTTCATTAGAGTTCATTCAGAGTACAAAATGTGATCTCTATCTAAACAATGAGCTTGCAATACATGCTACAATAGTAGCTTGTAAGGCTGCTTAGTGCATCATGGGCTATATGTGAAGGCTTTTACTGCCATCTAGTGTAAGACTTGACAAAAAAAACAAAAAAAAATGCTTTTGATGAGAACTCTCCGTTGTCTCTCAGTGTAAGAGAAAGTGTTGCTGGTCCTGAAGCAGACTGTGAATCATGCAGATGGGGTTTCGTTGCAACAAGTCCAAACAAAACATTACAAAGAGACAAGCCACAAAGATACTTATCTGCCATTACGAGGCACATTGCATGAATTTATTAAAGTGCAAATCATACAAAACATCCCTAAGCCTTGGAAAGTGACTTTCTTAACCTGGAATAAGGCTGGTGCAGTGAAAAAGCAGGTTTCCATTTAGAGCAGTAGGGTGGTTATGTTCACATATCCAGAGGCAAGGCTACAAATTACAGGCAAAAGCCGTGATCAACTGTGTTAGAATGAAAAAAGGATCCACCTGAAACAGTTCCAGTCATTTCTTCACATTTTCAAATGTGACAAGTTCAGTCAATAAATTATGTTTAGGTTTGATCTCACACTCATGTGCAACTAACTCTAAATGTCTAGCTCACTTTAAATCTACAGACAATCACATGGTTACTTTCTCCCATCTCAAGCTTTTCCGGGATCAATGTTTGTTGATTTTGGCCAGGACCTGCTGGAAGACAACTTTGGTCTTTTTAAAGCATCATCACAGAGCAGTTTCTCCCTCTCCTGCTCCCATGTCCACCCTCCTGTGCACCCTACTGTCATCTATATCCTCCCACTCATCCTCAAGCCCATCTTCACTCTGCCGTCTGAGTGGTTGACGCAAGCGAAGGAGGCGGTATCTTAGTGGCACAAGGAAGAGGGCCGGGTCAGGCATGGGGTGTGGCCTCTGTGGTGATGTCACCCTCTCCTGCGGGATACAGGCTCTAACCCGTTCCTCTCTCAGGGTGACACGGCGCTTGTGACTCGCTTCAGGTTGGCCGGGAGAGGCTGGAGGAGGCGGGGACAGAAGCCAGTCCGAGCTCTCCCCTTCATCATCCTCATCCTCCTCATCTTCATCTTCTTCATCCTCCTCGTCTTCCTCTCCTCTTTCTACCACATTTCCGCTCGGTTCCTCCTGTCCCTCTGAAGCAGGCTGAGTATCCTGCCGTTGCTGGAACAGTTTTAAACGTGCCGTGTGGAGCTCGTGGCAGAGACTCGAAGTGATGACATTTTGGCGTTGTAGCTCACGACTCAGCAGTGTGATCTTGTGGCTACGACGCTTCAGCTCTTCAAGAAAACATCGCTCCTCGTCCCTGAGGCTCCTTCCGAGAGCTGACGCTCTCGCCCGGCCAGCCCGCAGCTCCCCACGCGCAGCGACCATCATGCACTGCTGGTCCTCCAGGAGACGCTCTGCAGCCTCACAGCGTTCTGCTAACTCTGCTTCCTCCTCTGAAAATAAAAGTGAACACAAACATAACAGAAGCATGTATGCACATAACACAGACATAGAAAGAAGTACAGATGTTCAGTGGATAACTGTACCCCTGTGGATGTCAATATATCTTTATGAAGGGAATCCTTTTTTATCTTCTTGACCAATTCTTCTCATGAAAATCAGTTACATAATTTTTTCTCTGCTTTTCTGAGCTCCTTTACTTCCTCCATTACCTCTGAAACCTGTCTAGTTAACCATAATAAAACAGAAATGCTACATTTCTATCAATAATACTTAATGGGTATTTCTGTATTAGAATTATTTTTTAAATATAGTACTTTAATGTTACATTGTGGCGTCGTAATTGCAAGGGCTTAATCACTTTTTAGCCACAGATTAAATTGTATCACTCAATCGTAGAAATAATGTGTGTAGTGTTGTTTCTGGCTTACTGAACTTGTTTGCAGTTAAAGGGATACTTCACCCGTTGAAACATGAATCTGTATTGACATTGGGTCATATATGTAGTAGAAATGTGAAGTAAATTTTGAGATTGGTGTCTTCTTGGCCGAGAAAAGACAGAAAGTGTCTTTTTGGCTCATGTGGATGAAAGACACCAAATCCCAGAATGCACAGGACCACAGGCCACTCCCACTAAGGTCCTCTGTATCAGAATCAGAAATACTTTATTAATCCTAGATGGAAATTCGATCGTTACAGTTTCTCCAAAATATACAATATAGCAGTAGAAATATAGTAATAAAAACATTTACAGACATATTTACTTCAACACACAAGGCTGTTTCCTCAACAGATTCAGAGATTTCTTCCAGAAGGAACTGGCATCTTGGAAATTCCTGGCAGAAAACAGACTCTATGTCTGTGTCCATAGGCAAACAGTGAGAGCACCAGCACTACCAGTCCTCCCCGGCTCCTCGCCCTCACAGCCGCCGGCAGGCAGGCCTTATGTCTCGGCTGCTGAGCTGGCAGCGGCCGGCGGCCAGCAATATAGCTGTGAGACGGTTGCTGCCGACAGGCCGGTCTTGTGTCGTGGCTGCCAGCGGCCGCAGCAGCCAAAACACAAGTACGGCCTGTCGGCAGCAACCGTCTCGCAGCTATATTGATATTTTTTCGCCATTATCAGCTTTCTCCATAGAGCCTGTAGCATAGCTTCCAAGCAATATGGCCGACGTTAAGTTTCGATTCTGGGCGTGAGTTCCCACCCACTGATCTGTGATTGGTCTGTAGCTTCAGTGGTCGAAAATATAAGGAACTAGTGATGTAGTTTCACCCCGCTAACTGCAACAGCTTCCGATGACGCAAAATGACGATTTTTGCGTCATCGGAAGCTCCTTTTCAGACTTAGAAATACAAAGATTTCCCATCTCAGGGGATAATGAGGGCGGGATGCACGACCGTTCAAAAATACTACCAGGTTTCTAATGATATAAATCCTCCTCCTCATCAGCATTGAGTAGTCGCTCATATCTCACCTTCTGTGTTTCTGTCAGGAAACCTGGAGTCCAGCTCACAGCTTAGCTCTGCAGTCAGAAACAGAAGAACAGGAATACAGACAGAAGAGGTAAGATACAGTAAGTTGACCGACAGACAGGTGTACAATTGGATAAGAGACATAGGTAGATGTAGAGCAGCAGGTAGCAGGTAGACTGACCGTGGCAGCGCCTCTTCAGGTGTGTGATTTCCAGCTGTAAGCCAGTCAGCATGGCTAAGTGCTCCTGCTTCAAGAAGGCGATGCCTCTGTCCACACTGGCCACCTGCCGCTCCAGCCTGCCAGCATCCATGGCTGAACCCCCACACAAGGTGCACACAGATGCTGCTGGCTGGGTGACTTAGAAAGAGAGATTTCCCATGGAAATGCTTATATTAGGGAAGATTTCCAATTTGTGGTCATACAAAGAAGTTGGGTAGCCTACAAAGTGCAATTCCAAATGCAAACTAATCAAACAGCTTATGCATCAAAATATTGACAAATTATTTTCTATTAGATATATATCTAAACTACTAATACGTTCACGATGCAGCCTATAAAGATGATTTTTCTGCAACATGTAAGCGGTGCATTGAATTACCTTGTAAGCCTAATTGCATATGCTAATACATTATGAAATCTCAGTTTGAATTATTGCCCATAAAGCTCTCTGGTTTCTGCACAGCAATGCAGAAACCTACCTGTAACCGTGCACCCCTCACTCTGCTCATGGCCTACCGTGATAATGAAGCGGTTTGCTCTTCAAAGCGTTTCTCATGGATCCCCGTATCGCTCCGGTATCTCCGTCCTTGATTCAGCAGCAGCAGGGATGGAGACCACAAGAGACTCGCACAAAACGTCTGGAGGGCAAAAATGACACATTTGCTGTTTTCTTTCACCTCCTTAGGTGAGCTGCTGCAGTTAGTCAACGTTTGCGTAAATCCTGCTGCAGTCAAGAGGAGAAATAACCTCCTAATAACCTTCTACGTGCAGAAGACTGCCGCTGTTTTACTCGCACACAAAAAAAACCTGCCATGTATGAGGGGTGATTAGTGCTACGATGCAGGAAGAGGAAGAGGAGGAGCTACATGGAAATAATGCCACCAGTATCAGGCTTACAATTATTTATTTTTAATTCTAAAAATGTCAAATATTAAAATCCAACCCCTTTAAGACCTGCTATCATTTGTTTTACCTCCTGATTTACCTACTGTTGAAATCCTTGCTCCGATATGAACAGAAGTGTCTGCTATATGATAATATTGTAATTGTTACTGTAGCTCAAAATATGCCAATAATAAAGGCTGTATTTGTATTATTGGAAAAACATATTGAGTACTAACGTGACTTTTTATGAAGAACTGCACCCATCTGTTAATAGATTAATAGGCCTGAACGATACAGATTTTTTTAACGCATTTGTATGTAAGTATTCTCAAAATGTATATAATGTGAATTGGACAAAATCTAATTTTTTAGGTCAGATTCTTAAATAAATAAGGCTGCTTTATTTGATTTTTAAGTTATCATACCAAATGAATGTATGTAATGGAAGTCAATATTTCCCCGGAGATGTTTGAAAATTGACAGAAACTCGTCATTTTCTAAAATGAGGTCAGTTTGTCACTGACTTTTTTAGTAGTAAAGTAAGCTGTCGATTATTCAATGATTTTGTTTGTCCATGAAATATGAGAAAAAACGTAATTAATTTCATTTTTTTTTATTCCAGAGTCATGGTGATAACTTCAATTGTATTTCATGAAACCTTTAGTAAAGAAAAAACCTTGATCATTTATACTTTATTATTATTTTTTATTTGATAAAATAACCGTTTACCATCACAACTAGGAAGCTGGAATCAGCAAATATTGTAAAATGATAAGATTATCTAAATACATTGTCTATGAAGCAACTTATTTTTGCAGCCTTAAATCTGTTCTTCCTTAGCGTAACAAGGTTTTCACCCTTTAATTTTTCTATGTGGCACTGATTCTCCATCATATAGCTGTATAAATACTCCATAGGTTATCTCAAGTTGTTTCACCCAAGGATGGATGGAATCAGCATGGTAGTTCAAATATGTCAGAGTCATATAGTGGAATAAAAAAAAAATATTGCAGTAAATGCAATCAAGCTGTACACAGGCAAACATGTGTCATGACTTATATTGCAATTGCTGAAACACAAATAACAAAAACGGCAGATTCAGGCTGATTTGACATACTTCTTGCACTTATGCTGTGAAGTCAGGCCATCATTGTAATTAATACACAATCATTTTTTTTTTAAAGGAAAACATCACCTGGTAAAACTTGATTTTTTGTTTTCTTTATTGTTGCAATCTTTTTCCTGTGAAATGGTTGACAAGAGTGATCCTCTCCTGGCTGCTCTCCTGTTTCTCACCCATGCTGGGGAGGGGAATGGGCTCACTGTGCGGAGAGGTCTCATAATAAGGACAGACTTTTAGATGAGAAGATATAGGAGGGATGTCTGCCATTCGCCATGAGTCCACTGGGGAGAAGAGGTGACTGAACTCCCACACCTGGAGTGGAGTCAGGGGCAGAAGAAAAAGAAAAAAAGATGATGCAAAATTAGAATATGAATTATTATTATAAACACTAAAATGATGGATCATTTGGATGTATCAGATTGCATATCTCACAGGTTTGGCTTTCCACTTGGCTCCTCCATGTGAGTAGGTCTTCCTCTCCCAGCTGAGGGTCACCATCCCTCTCTCCTGCAGCAGAGAGGAGCATACCTGCCTCATGAGCTTTGACACCAGAGCTAGCTGGGACAGGGACAGACTGTCCAGGAAACCGACTATGTGGCACAGCACCTCGTAGGGGAAACAGCTCAGATAATCCTCCCCTACACCGGTTTGGCCTCCTCTCCTCCTCTGAGTAAGGGAGGAGTCCCCTGAGCTCTTTGGCGGCTGGGAAGTGTCACCTTCTGAGACTACAAGTGACGGACGCAAATTGAAAGTCCTCAGCTGCTGACTGCAGGAGAGACAAAATACATGTTAAGATTCAATTTATGTAGGCAAACGTAAGGACAAGTGCAATGTGAATTTATTTATTTATTTCAAAAAAGCTTAGCTTCAGGGCTTAATCTCTCTCTTAAGAGTTGTGAAAAGATACCAGGTAAGTAAAACTTGTATTTGGTATTACATAGTGTCAATTAATCCAGTTTTTATTTCTGTTTGTTTCAGTCTGTAACCTATAAACATCACAATAGTTTATTATGCTGCTACAATAAGTTTGCAAAGAACCCAAATATTGATCAACTTTTTGCCTTTATTGGATAGAACAACTGAAGAGAGACAGGAAATGTTGGGAGGAGAGGAAAGGGGAAGATATGCAGCAAAGGGCCGAGATCAGTTTCAAACCCATGGCCGCCGCAATGAGGACTATAGCCGCTGTATATGAGACATGCAACATAATTAATAGGCTACTTCTCCTAGTTCAACCACTTTTCTGATCATGGGGCTTATTAGAAAAAGCAGATGCTCTCTAGGTTGGATAGAATCAGCTATATCTGAATCATTTTGATTGTTTGCTTCCATCACTGCAACACCTGTCGGTTTGCCGTTTGCCTGGCAAACCGAGGGGTGTCCAAAACACCCATGTGGGAATGCCTTAAAACCGCCTACCTTCTAGTCAAAAAAGAAAACAGATCATTTGGCCTCTGAAGTGAAAGTTAGAAGGAGGATATACTTGCTGCTGTTTTATTGTCAGAGAAGCCAGCATGTTTCCTTGATGTCTGATGTTATCGTCAGGTTTTATGATTTAAAAAAGCAGTATTTATTTCTATAATAAAATCCTAACTTCACCTTGAGTTTCGTGGCCAATTTGGCAGCATCTGCTTTAAAATACAGCTCACAGTCAATAAGAAAACCCAAGTACTTGAGGCTTTCAACATGCTCAATTTGATTTCCTTGGGAAGTTAAAATCAACAGGACATTAGTTGGTACTTCACTTAAATGGGAAAACAACATGAGCTTTGTTTTATCATTGTTTAGGACCAATTTTAGACTGGTAAACATTGAATGCTGAATGCAGAAACTCAAAAGCTTGTGCAACAGATGTAGAACAACAATAGATGATGGTGTCATCGCCATGAAAATGAAACATGGCATTTGACAAATGTTCACACAGGTTATTGATATAAATGGAAAATAGAATAGGTCCTAAAATCGAACCTTGGGGCACCCCCTTTGAGATCTCTAAAAAGGAAGAGGTACACTTCTAAGTGAATCAATGTTTATTTTCATGTGAGGCATTAAGAGTTATGTGTCCGTCCACTTTATGATCCTAAATGTTATATTCAACTTCTTTCAATGTTTTTTGGTCCTAAAATAGTAAATTAGTAGGTCAGACACTTGAATTTCACCATACAGCAGACTGAAGCTGTAAGGTGTCCCTTGTAGGTTAATTGATATTTGTGAACCCTTCGACATGTCATATAATTTTAGCATGGTGAAATCTTACATTATATTTGGTCACATAAAATATTGTGTTGTCAATATGGATGCAAGTGGTGCTTACTTATAGCAGACAGTGGCTTTATGTGTTGAGGGATGAAATCTCTTCTGGATGTAGGTGCACCCAAGATAAGCCAGGGGGCATCTCTGCTCAAACCATCCACTCAGACCTGTCTGAATGTCACTATGGACATTCCTGGAAAGGAGATGACATAAATGCAGTTATTAAACACACAATGTCACCCAGACTGTGTGCATCCCAAACACTGTTAGGGATAAAGAGGATGATAATTCACAAATAAGTGGTTAACAGATTTGCATCTGTTTGTTGACCCATTCTTGATTTCTTAGTGAATAAATTACATTTTTTTGCTTGAAGTTGAAGTTGAACTGCTTTTGTAAGTCCATTGAGATAAGAAAGTTAGACTACTGAAAAGGACATATGTGAGTGGACTACAAAGCTCACCAGGGTTTACATTCAGACAACAAACTCAATCAAACACAACTACATCAGTAGTATTCACAGACACCTGTAATGTGTGGCATATTCTCTGCGGTGGAAGGTGTGACCACAGAGGTAGGTGAAGACGCAGCTGGTTCTGTTGTTTCTGCTGTTCACACTCTCCGCCTGCAGCTGAAGAAGAAGCTTCAAGGGTCTGTCCACCATCACCTCCGCCAGCGTAGTCTTCCCTTTATATGGAGCTGAGTGGAAGGAGTGCGTCTGTGTTCCCACATCAACATAGAGCCCATCAGCTGCCTTTGAAACACTGATCTGTGTGGAAACCAATCGATCCCAGTTACCTATGGATTGTTTTTAATTTTAATGTTATTTAGTTTAGCATACACTCCATAAAGCAAGTGTATTCTGCTCATTTTCATAGTGCTTTAAAACGTTTGTACCAAAGGACACTAGCCATACTTGCCAACATTTTGCAAGAGAACATTTCATACTTTTCTTCTTGACTTTGAAGTTGTTTTAGATTTCATCAATAAAGCCCCACAGAAAAATAGATACTTTTTAGTAAAGCTAGTCTAAGTAATACTTCTATATATATATTTTAAAATATAATTAAAAATGTTTATTTCACATAGCTTATAATTACAATTTTGAATGTGATAGATCTCCCACATTTTTTTTAACAGTACAATAAATTGAAACAATAACCCCTCCAAAAAACAGCAGAAACAGTAGTATGTAATTAAAAGTAATTTATAGAGTAAATCCTCTTTTTTTTGTGGAAACTATAAAAAGAAGAGTACTGAAGACATTGTCAAGTCCAAAAGTGTCATATAGGTTAACCATATTTGATGTTCATTTCCTTTATGGTCATGGGTGCAGGATTCCTTTAAATTTATTTTGGTCAAAAATACTTGACTGACCTTGTGACCCATGACAGCCTCCTCAGCGTAGCCCAGCAGAGTGGCTGCTGCTTCATCAGTGAACCAGTCCTCCTCGTTAGCTCCGAGGTCTGATGTGTCCACGCTGCAAGATTCACTCTGAGCCCGCGCAGTCGTGTCATACAGAGTAACCCGCTGCCTGTAGTGATAGCTGTCAGGGATCTTACAGGGAGACATGGAATATGGAATATGGTTTTACATGTTAAACACTTCATTGATACGTCATTTGTTTTCGACTAAAATAAACACTGTCATAACACAGACGTTTGCAACATGGGTCATGATCTAGATAGCTGATGAAGTTATCTGCCAACAAATCTACTTAGATTGTATTTTTCTATAGTGACTAATGTATTATTACATTATACTGCCAGCTCTAACTCAGCTACATGTTTGTGATGTTGGATGCTTGACATGTTAGCTGACAAAGTTAATGGCAAACAGCAATTAACCAAGTGTCTGGATTTGTTTGCTTATGGTATCACTCAAGACACCTTTTTGCTACATGACCTAGCGAAGTAAGCCATCAAATCCAGACAAAGGTCTCTCTATTACTTGAATGCCCTTATGATGTTGAGGCATGCTTTCTTCTACGTTGGTCACATTCCAATTTTGCCACATGGTCTTAACTGAAAATAACTTGTTGTGCTTTGTGTTGGTCACTTTTTAATTCTGGGTGCCCCATTACACATGTGCTCTTAATACTGTTAATACTGCAGAAATGTGACCTCCTTGTGTTTTTTTTTTTGCAAAAGAAATGCAGAATTCTTTATGTACCCAGCTGCATAACGCTTAAGAATGTAACACAGAACTTGCAGACCAACTGATGCTAGGTTACACTGATATAAGTGTAGTCCAGCTTAAAGTTCTTACCTTGAAAGAGCGAAGGGTCTGTACTGGTATAGGCTCCAGGCTGCCATAAACAAAATCTTTCTCCCTTGGAGTACAGGCCTTGATTTGTCCAAAGCTGACCAGCATGCGGCCATGATGCACCATATACATGTTATACTCTTGTGGGGTGAGATCCTCCTGCAGACGCTCCAGCACCCCCTCCTGCCACGGGGCGTGCCCTGTCTTACTTGTATCCCGCATTAGGCAGTTTTTGTCTGTAGCTGCACCATCATTCCCTGTACCTGTTTGATCTGCACATGTTTTCTCCAACACACCATCCTGATGCTTCTGGGCAGTTGCCTTTTCACCATGTTTTGGGTTTTGGTTTGGATTGTCTTGGTTTGCCTGAGCAGCAGCACAGCCACCTCTCTCCATGCTAAACATCATCTCATACATGTTGTATTTCTCTCTGTTGATGCCGCCGACTTGTCCCACATGGTTGTCTTCAGGCTCTCCCAAGCTGTTTCCTGCAGTGACTGTTGTAAATAGCTCTACAACAAATGTAAAAACAATGGATGAGTAAACAAATTAGAAGACGTGAAGTTTTCTGTTTAAAAAAAAAGTAAACACATGAGTTTTGTCAAAGTTATACTGTACATCAATCACATTGCTCTCAACGAAGTTAATATCTGGCATTACTAAAACAACATATGATTAAAGTCTAAAATACTAGCAGGTAAAATGTATTGTTTTAAATCTTCATGTTCATGTACGGTGGTTTGTGACATCACATTGTTTCTAAAGCTCCAGCCACTTCACGCCAGTGAGTAAACTGAGAGGGGGAAAATGCAGAAACTCTCTACGGAAAAATATAAATGTTTCAAATTTGGTAGGAACTTGGGTATTAATTTAGAACTACCTACTCTACAGTTAGCATTTACAAATAACTCCTAAGTGAAAAAAATCAGCTATGAGGGACTTTATAACCATGCATAATTTTTGTAAGGAAGCATCTTTTCAAATCAAGTTGCGCTGACGCTGCACAATTTACCTCCATCGGATTCTTTGTCAGCAACACCATTTACAAACCCTTCCACCATCTTCCCTTCTTTTTTGTCTTCCTTTATTTCTTCCTCCTCCATCATCTCTGGATAGAGGTGCTTCATTTTCAGGCGGCTGAAAAGGTCTGACTGGTCCACCAGGGCCATGGCAAGATCAAGAGCCTCCCCTTGCCCCTTGTTTTCCTCCATCACATTATCCTGCAGAGCTAGGTTACTGTGTGGGTTTGTTTCATCAATGGGCCAGCGGAGCCACTCCATGGTGCAGCAAATTACACTGGCCGGACACACCTGGAGGTGAGCTGCCTGTGAGGAGCGGGGCAAGTGGAGCGGGCAGCCATACCCAACATTGAGACAGGGCACCCTCACATTGGGGCAGAGCAGCAGGTGATCCTCCTCTTTGCACAGGTGGAATAGAGCTCCACAGTGCAGGCGGCATGGGGTGATCGCACAGCACACAGAGACCTCCACACGAGCCCTGCAGCGCCGGCTGTAGCAGGAGTCACAGTGGACATGCTGTCGCACTCTGGAGGCTCGAGATCGAGAACTCTGATTTGATAAGAATGAAAAGAAAGAAGCTGACTAGAATAAAAGAATAATAAGGATGAAGAAGAACAATTAAAGCATAGTGAAAATTTGTGCTGTATAAAGATGAAAATAAAAATACTTAAATCTTCAAAGTTGTTGACTCACCATACAGGCCAAAACAGCTCCCTTGTAATCCTGCAAAACAGTACAGAAATTGACATACACACATAGGGCATTGATCTTGAAAACAAAGCAACAAGTAAATATGTTTTAGAATGTTTAGGCATTCTTGCATGCAATTTTCTATTATATACCTATCTGGTTGTCTTATGACCCCTCACATAAACCATTTGACCTCCAAGGGTTTCAATTTTGGATTCAAAGCCAGAGACTACAGCACAAATAAACATCACAAAAACAAAGTCACAGGGAAGATTTTGCCCTGATGCAACAGCGTATGCACTGGAAATAAATCAGTGCCAAAAGGCTCCAATTGAAGCGTAATTTTTCCCTGTTTGTAATATAAAATGAGCGAGCAGTTGAAGAAAAATTAAAACTAGTGGTCCGTATTGAGAATTTGTTAAGTCATCTGTGTGTGTACAGTTTATGATTTCATTAGTGAGTCAAACATGCACTTTAACACAACTAAAATATTTCAACTTCTCAAGTTGCTGTACTTGTAAAACGCTTGCAAATTAGATAAACGAAAACAGACATTAAAAAAATGTAACATACTCACAAAAGAATCAGCCCAAGTCCTTCCGTAGACGTGTTGTGTCTTCTCTTGGGTTTTATAACGTTGCTTTCTGTCCTTGAGTTCTTGGCAGGTTAAAATTAGCACGGCAGCACCAAGCAAGTTCAGCCTGAGAAGTAACTCCCCCCCTCTTTTTCTCACTCTTCTGTAGTGGACACAGCCACAGATCAGCCTAACTTTAGTAAATATTTATATATTTATTCTAGGGAGGTTTTTACATGTCTGAGCTCCTACACACAATTACTGTATCTGTTTAAATTACTTCAAATAAATGCACACTGACTAGGGCTATATCTCCATCAGAGAACATGGTTTGGATAAAGAATAAGCCTCCCTTTTCTCTCTGCAGGTTGAAGTCATTTGTATGCAGAACTTGTGAATTTGGGGGAGAGATTTCCTTATGCAAGTGTTTGAAGCAGGGTCTTGTAATCCAAACCATGTTTCTGACCACCTGTGTAACATTTCTCAGTCCCTACTCTGCTCTATTTATAACACACACACATAACACAAGACACGCACTCGAACACTTTGGTCTTTCACGTATAAGACAGGGCACAAGGAGCGGGTAAGTTTCCTTTTCCAATTCATACAGCGGTAGGCTACAGTTTACTATTCAATGTTCCCATTTGGTTGTAATGCCACAGACCACAGGTGTCCTGCTAGTGAGTGTGTCAAAATGCATTTAAGCTGATTGTAAAGTGAGGACATTGACAGTGTCCTTTTTGTTTGCAGGACAGACTTCAAGCTTTCAGATGATCTGAAGCATGGTATGGTTTGATTTTACAATCCTTGTCTTAATTCATGGTGTCTGAAACTGACATCAACAGTTTGTTCTTCATCAAGTAAATTGTTGTATCAGAAGCTGTTGTGCAAAAGTAATTTGCGCTTTTATGTAAATATTCTACGTTTACTGGATCTGACTCTTGATCCTTACATCAATCTGTTTCTTAACTTTCCTTTTTGTCTTACCTAAACCCAATCAGAGTTCTCGATCTCGAGCCTCCAGAGTGCAACAGCATGTCCACTGTGACTCCTGCTACAGCCGGCGCTGCAGGGCTCGTGTGGAGGTCTCTGTGTGCTGTGCAATCATTCCATGCCGCCTGCACTGTGGAGCTCTATTCCACCTGTGCAAAGAGGAGGATCACCTGCTGCTCTGCCCCAATGTGAGGGTGCCCTGTCTCAATGTTGAGTACGGCTGCCCGCTCCACCTGCCTCGCTCCTCACAGGCAGCTCACCTTCAAGTATGTCCAGCCAGCGTGGTGTGCTGCTCCATGGAGTGGAACCGCTGGCCTGCAAACGATTCCCACTCTTTTTCGAACGTAGAGCTGCATGAAAACCTGCTGCATGAAAGACAACAAGGTGGCTGTCTGGATCTGGCCATGGCCCTGAAGGACCAGGACCGCCTCTTTCACCTCATGAAGATGAAGAAACTGTTCCCAGAGCTGATCCAGAGTGTGGAGGAGGATGAGAAAGAGGAAGAGAGGAGGGAAGATGAGAGAAGAAAGGAGAAGCAATTGCAGAAAAAGGCTGCTTTGGAGAAGGAGGCAGCAGAAAGGGCGGCTGCAAAGGAAGTCGCCAGAGAGTCTTTTGACTTGTTAAACTCCCATATACCTGATGGAAAAGAAGATGAGGACGAGTCAGCTGAAGATGAATTTGAGCAGGGGCCAATACTCTCCCTTGAGGAGAGAGAAGCTATTGCTAGGGGCTCGGGATTGGACGCGGAAGTGTTAGAAAACTACAATGCCTGGGAGCGCATGTTCAGTATGGAGATGGGCGGATGCAGAGAGGCTGAAGGGGCAGCAGGGGCGGGCAGAGGTCAGGGGCCTGCTAAAGGACAAGAAAAACGCCTGGGAACTTTGACAGAGGAAGATACAGATGAGCTCTGTGTAGGTGCATCCAACATCTGTAAACAGGGGAGAACTGCATGCATTGTTTCCTCCACATCCAACTCCTCCTGTCTTTCAGGAAAACTGAAGAAGAAGAAATTTGTGTACGGACACATTGAGCCCATGAAGATTATCACTGTGCGTACTTTTAAAGTTCCAACAAGCTTCTCTGCCAAGCAGGGCCGCATTCGCAACCCTAGTTTCTACAAGAGGGAGAGTCAAGCTGTAGACACCAGTGACCTGGGGGTGGCGCCAGAGGAGATGCCAGTGTGGGAGGAGGTTCAGGTGAGAAAAAGATCATGTTCATCCTCATAATCTTCACCAATCGTCTCATTTACGGTGGTAACTACGGCTTTTATTTATTCCTACAAATTCTGCGTTAACTTGACAATGGCTGCAAAAAGATGAACATAACACCAACTACACTGTCCCAGGTTGAATGACAATCTGAAACTTCAACTGATGATCCATATAGCTGTATTGGCAGTAGCTATCTGCCATGAACAGAGTGAATAATAAATGAACGAGTGAATAAAAAAGAACTGAAGACGCACCTGCCTCACTTCTACTCCAACAGACATTACTTTTTCAAAATAAAAGCACCATCATTTAAAATGTTACAAGAAACAACAAAAACGCATCTTCTATCTTCTATCATGATACCACAGAGAGGTTGTTTTTTCAGAAATTTCTTAGGGAAATATTAGGCTTTTAGTGGTTAAATTTTGCCTCATGTTTACAAGATAGTTTTATTTACTGTGTCATGCCGAAAAGGTAGAATACAGTAAAGGCCTCCTGTACAGTATGACAAAATATGTTTGCTCCTCAGGCCTCTCTGCTGTGCTCCCTGGAGAAGGAGCAAAGGGGTCACCTGATCGCAGAAAGCAGATGCACAGATGGTCTGTTACAAGACGAAGGCACACAGACGTATAACTTCTTGTCTGCTCCCTTCCGGAGAAACACGTCATTGGCAGACCTGACAACTGAAAAACCGCTGGAGCTGCACCTTCAGCTGCAGGTGGAGAGTGTAACCAGCAGACACCACAAGGCCAGCTCTGCCTTTACCTTCCTCTGTGAACACATCTTTCAGCGCAGAGAATACGGCAAACATTATAGGTGGGCTTCATTATTTTCCACATCCAGATTTCCTTTAGAGTACATATTAGTTATCTCAATCAACAGCACCTGAGCTGATTTTGTAAAACAAAACAAAAACATAAAACTGTATCATTCAGGCTAATATGCTCCAGTTTAAATGTTTGTATTTGGCTAAACTATTGAACAATACTAGTGATGATTCATTTTGTAATTGTACACGTTCTCAAACTTAGGAACATACACTGTGACATCCAGATGGGTGTGAATGGGTGGTTTGAGCAGAGATGCCCTCTGGCCTACCTGGGATGCACCTACAACCAGAAAAGGTTTCATCCATCCACACATGAAGCTACCGTCTCCTACAAGTGAGATAAAACACATAGTTTCCTTTTCTTGTTATGTTTGGTACTGATGTACTTTCCTTCAGGTGTATTAGATTAGATTAAAGCAGCATATTATGATTGTATAAAAGGAACATTAGGAGTATAAAGTGATTCACCCATGAGAGGGAACGTTTCATTTGATGTTATATGTTGCTTTAATTTTGATAATTTTCTATAACCACATGCATAACTAACTTGTTGACCAATAGGACAGCACTGTCTTAATTTAAAGTGGAGGTAGGTAGAGGTGAATGAGCTTCAATTTTAAAGCTGACAAGTCTTTGCAGACAAAGAAATCCTAGATTAACTGAGAGTATTCAATGAGCCAATGAAATCCCTGCAGATATATTAAAGTAAATATCTCACCACAGTCCCAACTTTGCTTTCAGCGAGGATCTAGGCTGTCTGAGCCTGCATCCCACCACTCATGCCTCTCTGGGTAATACCTCCCAAAAGTCCAGGAGCTCAGCAGACTCCTCCAACACTCAGAGGAAGAGAGGGGGTCGAGGTGGACGAGGAGCGGACTCTCTGAGCTGTCTCCCCTACGAGGTGCTGTGCCACATAGCCAGTTTCCTGGACAGTCTGTCCCTGTCCCAGCTAGCTCTGGTGTCAAAGCTCATGAGGCAGGTGTGCTCCTCTCTGCTGCAAGAGAGAGGGATGGTGACCCTCAGCTGGGAGAGGAAAACATATTCACACGGGGGAGCCAAGTGGAGGGTGACGCAGAGGGTAAGAGGCAGTGTGTCTGTCAGGAGAATCTATGAGGAGTGACAGTTGACATGCTTTCATCAGCAGTACTTGGGCTGTTTTAAATATGTCATTTATATTAAAGCTAAACTGAATAATACATAAGATAGGGTCAAAACTAAGGTGAGAAAACATGAGGCAATACAGAATCTAGTAAAGTACTGTACACAAGTACATGCAGTGATGTTTGTATTAACACTTAAATCTAAGGAATTAAATGCAAACTTTGACAGAAACCATATTTGAGAAATATGTATTTGATTTTATTTGATGGAAACATGTCCCATCTATTAACCTGGAGAAGGCGGGCTTGGTGACCTACACTGCAGCCAGTCAAGGGAGCATATACTGTATGTGTATATATGTGTGTGTGTTACCATATAATGCAATTTGATATTAGGCAATATACTTTTTGAACTTTACCACCACCTATATAACGCTGGGAAAACGTACCAAATCACACTACCAGCAGTGATTAGAGACCATGAACATTGCATAACCCCTGCTGCAGTCTGCAGGAGCATTTTTTGGCGTCTCATCAGTAATAGCACACCTCAAATTTAATAAAAGGTATATTCTTTAAATCAGACATGAATATTGAGCTCTCTCGCTGACTCTCTCTCTGTCTCTGCTGCATGTGTGTGCGACCTCAGGTGTGGCAGTTCAGCACCTTGTTCTCCCCAGTGGACACTTGGTGTTTCCGAGATGTGCCGTCCATGTCCGAGCACCTAAAGGTGTGTCCCTACTATGAGAGAGAGTCCAGGACAGAGAAGATTCACCTGCCGCGTATCAGAGAGGACACCCACACTACCAGCAGCTGTAAAGGTGCCACTCTGGTTAGCTTGTTTCAGCACGAGAGGATCATGATGTAATGCAAACTTAATGACACTCAGGGCTGCTCTAATATTTCATTATATGTTCATTAAATGATCTAGCTATAGTGGCATGTTGTCCACTCTTATTCCTGTCACTGATGTTGTTGCTGTTTGAAAATAAAACAGGAGCAATTTTGCTTCCCAGATGACTTTCTTGTAATTTCTAAAGTTTATCAGTTGAAATAAAAGCAAACTAAAATAAGTTAAGTACAAAACTGTGCTCTATTCAAGTTTATATTTTAAACAAAAGAGTTATTACATTGATCTGACAACATGAAAAAGTAGTGTTACAATCAAATGTAATAATGGAAAAATACAAGCAATAAGAACTATTAGCCACAGTGGACCTTTGATCCTTGCTCCACGGTTTATCCACAGCATGAGGTAGAAAAATGAGCCATATTGACCAGAACACACGCAGCAGTGGCTCCCTCTAGTGGTTCTTGCTGGTATTGTGAGGGTTGGTGAGGAAGTCTGCTCTGAGCAGTCTGTAAAGCAGCACCATGTTCATGGTGGAGATGAGACTCAGACCTGTTGTCCCAATCATGAAGACAAAGCGAGGTATATGTTCACGATGAGACGCCAGCCAGCGGGTCATCCATCCCGTCGTACAGATACGAAATACCAGTAAACTTCAGGTGAAACCAGAGAGAAACTGTGTAAGTACACTTTCTGCAAAAACATGAGATATTAGTAAGAAACATGTGGCCTCTCTGAAACCTCCAGAAATTGAGACACCACCTACGTTCCCAGGTTGAGCCAGCTGGTCAGGCTGTAGGTCACAGAGGTGCAAGGTTCTGCAGGTCCAGTTCTGTTCCCTTGTCCTAGCAGCAGGAGGACCTGTCTGATGTGAAGGAAAACTGAGTTGATCTCAATCAGCAAAGAGACCACAGCAAAGCCCAGATAGAGACGAGAGGTCATAGCTAAAGTGAAGCAGGAGAGTACCTGAGAAAACAGTTTGAGCAGGGGAATCAAAGGTTAACACCAGAAGTAGAACCTCAATAAGTTGTTTTTTTGCTACTTGGAAAAAAAAAAAAATTCTATAATGATTATGCATCAAACAGTATAATACCACTATTTAGTAAACATTATTGAAATGGTAACATAAACACGCTGAATAATTTATTCATATTTATTCAAAATATAATATTACCAATGTCACTTTTAGTTACCTGTAGTTCTAGATTTAGTATTTTTCCTGGGAATAAATGAAATTGGACCCTTAGAAACCTATAACAGTAGACCTTTAAAAAAAGTTTAATTATTTTTTGTAAGTGGTTAGTTATCAAACCTTACACATTTTAATAAGCAATAAGAAGAACAAGGTTTCTGTTACCAAGTTGTGAATAGTTGGTTTGGCTGGTGTAAATATCCTGCAGCATAACTTGATTCATATAATCACTTGAGCTTATCAGAAAGACCTCCAAAGTGGAGAAGTATATATATATATATATGTATATATATATACATATATATATATTGACTTTGAACATTGCACCAAGTTGACTTGAACTATGATGAAATAGCTGTGTAAAGGATAAATCTTCCCTCATCTAGAGATAAATGTTTTCTTCTTTTAAAGAAAAAAATCACAAACAACAAAGAGTTGCACAGCTTTAAGCAAACCCACACACACACAAACACATCCTGAAACATGTCTTACATTTTACATTGTGGTACAAAAGTCCGACACACAGAGGCAATCACTGCTGGAGGTGAATGAGGTCATGACCTCTGCTGCCTGAGATTGAACTGTCACACAGATAAGGGCTGAGAGAATAACAGCGAAGGATGACGGTGCATTTTCATTTACTGACCTCGTCATTATCACAACATACAAAAGGTGTAAGGGCTGGATGAATTAAGAAAAACCCTTTCAAAAAATTTAACAAACACAAATGTTTTTGTTTGCATATGTCATATGGAGACATTAGTATTAATTTCTGCCTGTTTAATAACCAGTTAGAAATGTCTAGTAGGAGCTTTTTGACCTTTGACCTAAGATTATTATTTTATTCTACTTGACTGAGATTAGAGAGAAAGTGTTGTTCAATGACAAAATGAAACTTCTACATTTTTGTAACTAAACTTAAATCTCTAAAATGTTGCCATAGTAGGTCATGCTGATATTGTGTGTAGTTTCAAATAATGAATGAGAAATTATTAAGGCTTGCGCTCTTTGCCAACTGATCACACACACACACACACACATTACCGTGGAGTGGTGGAGAAGCACTTCCCGTGACTGTTTAAGTGATTGGTTTAAGCTCACATCCAAGAAGTCATTAATAAAATAACCTGCAGGAGAAAAATAACTTTAGTTTTATGTTAGCAAAAAACACTACATCCATACACAGGCATCATGAAATATACAAAATAATGATCTCATTGTGAGCTTTTGATGGGAGAGACCACAAGAAGGAAATCCCATTATTTGTCTTGGTTTGATTTAAACGGGTTCAAAGCTGTTATCAAGAGTAAAATATGTCAAATCTAAGCATAATTTCTGCCTGACTGACATTTAACAGTTTAACAATTAAGAGTCCAACAATTCAAGTTCACCATGCCATCAGACTACGTCTTGTTTTTTATCTGTTTTTTATTTAGATACCAAGTGGCAGAAATTCCAAACAGTGTGCCTTACATTTATGTAAATATAACCTTGTAAGGACAGAATTCAATTTGCAAGATGAGTAAATACATGTTTTACTTGATTTAATCGAAGCAGTGCATGACCTAGGGAACTTGCTGTAAAAATGTCATAGATCCAAAGAATTAAAAAGACCTCTTCATTTTATCTCCTTTTGTAATTCTTAATAAGGTTAAATGACAAAGAACGTTGTTCTCAGCCTTGAGTGCTGGAGGAAGTAATCTATCTATGAATTTAAAGGTGTGTCAGAGGGAGGGTTTCACCTGTTGATACTGCTACAAGGCAGTGGGAGAGCAAGGAGTAAGAGGAGATCAGGTCCTCCAACATCTTAGGTTGACAGTACAAACTGCACGTCCAGAGAGAGGAAGACAAAAGAGAGATCACAGGAAGAGTATCGAGGTTAAATTGAGGTTGAAGACACCGGTTTACAGCTGCCTTTAATTAAACAGCTTTAATAAGATTTGAAACTTTTACTCTGCACTTTAATATTTCTGAAACATATTTTCAGATTTATTTCATGATTTTTTAAATGTTCTATTTTAATGTTTCTTTTCTTTCCTCTGTCACGATGCTTTTGTCTTGTTTGAAGCACTTTGAATTGCCTTGTTGTTGAAATGTGCTATATAAAGAAACTTGCCTTGCCTATTGTGTGTTTACGCACCATGAAACAGCCCACGCTCCAGTCAGCGAGCTGTGAGCTAAAGATGTCACGGTGTTCCTCCACTTCCACATTTTATTGTGTGCCGGCTCGGGTGTCGGCAGGAATCTGACAACCGTGTTCAGCAGTTTGAAGGAGCACACAGATCCTCCAACAACCAGAAGTGTTGACTTCAAATCCATAACGAAATTGGTGCCCAATGTTTACTTTGTATCCCAGCGACTCCTGTGTTCAGGGCACCTGTCAGCTGAAAACGAAGAGGGGAAGAGTTAGAAGTGACATCTCTGCCCTTTGACACACATTCCTGTCTTCAAGTACAGGGAAAGAGGTCATGTTGACTCCTTTTCATTATGACATTGTGGTGTGCTTTTGAAAGAAAGACAAGTCTTACAACCCAAGCCAACTATCATATTTATGCGACAATGACACAATAAAGACATCAGCCACTGTTACAATAATGTGTAGGAGAAGACATTTGATTCAAATCGAGACAAAGTAAACAAATGAAAAGGCTAGGCCTAATTTAGATTGAGTATCCACTTTTTATCCTGTGAAATCCTTGAACTTTACAGTGAACTTTTGAAACTTAAAACGGAGTATGAATGAAAGTATTACCTCCGGTTTTGTAAGAGGTGCTTTTGTCGCCGGTCCATTCAGGGTCGCGGCTGGTGCCTCGTCAGCTCTTTTCTCCACACGGCCGCTGTGAAACACAAAAGACCGGGGTCGCTTTTTCTCTGGGACAATAACTGGCTGAACATGAGCTGTGACATCACAGAGACCGCTCACCTACCGGAGTCCCCAGAAGAATCACTTTTTTTTTTTTTTTTTGCGTTGATTTACACTCGTCTTGTCAATCCTCCTAAATCGTCCACTTTCCCCCCCCCCGGTCTCCCAGGATCAAGCGATGAGGGTTTGGGATGGATCACCGTGGAAACGGACTCTTCCATCGTCAACCTGATAAGAAGAGGACACGAAAAACGTCATTCAGCGAAGCATCTGACTAACTTTTAATGTTTCTGGAGGACTTTAGCGTTTCTTGTGTTGTGTTGTAATAACTGAATCAGAGATGTCTGGGACCAGACCACGTGAGTAGGCCAATATTGTTTTTATTACCCAGCAATTTGATGATTAGGGTCAATAGGCAAACTGTCTCCAGATGTCTTTAAGCCCTTTAAGATTTGAATGCTTAATTATTAAACTGTAGTGCTACATGGAACAATTATGATGGTTTAACTTCTGTCAATTCATCTGAAATGTTTGCGCATGCTCGTCTTTGTTTGCGCGTGCATGTGTTCAGCGCGACAGGAGCTTCCGGACTCAGATCCAGAGGACTCAGAGGAGCTGACCGGGGTGGTGTGTCTGGAGTCAGACCTGCTGGACGGACAGTAAGAACAGGGCGGGGGTAGCCTATTGTTCACAACCTGACTAACAGACATAGCCTACCTCCAGGAATGATTTATCAAAATGAATCCACAGCTTATAGCGAAACACGTCCCCAGCATATCATCCTCTTTGACTCAACTGTCTGTTTGATTTAAAGTCTTTAGTCTAGCCTACATTTAAAGCTATTGTTTTTCAAGCAATTAAAGACAATGGTCAGTTAAATGTGCTTGGCACACATTGATACATCATTTTCCAGTTCAGGTGTTAATAAACACAAGTCAGTTTGAGACCTGAATTTCCATTATGGGTTCAATTCCTGCATGGAATATGTCAATCAATGATTGACTACTACAAAAATCCAGGTCAAGCTGACAGTTTTGTACTGCAAAATCTTAAACAGAGTAACAACATCAGAGACTTCTGATAGCATTTTCTTTTCATGAAATTCTCCCTCTTAAAAGCGGTTCCATAAACCTTTAGACTAAAATACAAATCTTCTAAGTAAGAGTTCTCACTACAGATTCCTACAATGTCAACAAATTAAATCCACTCTACTATGATATTTAGTAGGCTATTTATCACAGTCAATCACAGGTAGCCACACCATAAAGTACAGCCAAATTAAATCAACATTTTAACTCAAAATCTGACTGTATTTTACAACAACTACATCATGCCGTGTTGAGGAAGACTTGAAAGTAGAAATGACCAGAAACTGATAACGAAAATGTTTTTTTTTTTGTCAAGAAACTGACAAGGATAATTTCCCCTGTAGTTCACCATCCACTAGTTTTCTTTTGCCAGTTGAGTCTCTCCCTGCCAATTATGGTATTACAAATAATGCAGGTGTAAGGCCTTTCACATTGGCTGCACTTTCGTAACCAAGAGAATGTAGTTTATGGCAAAGACAGGATTCAAGTGTTGTTGAAAAAATAAGTCTACAATTTCAGATAAATGTTGACACAAAATATGTAATTCTCTCCTTCTGAGTGATATGAAAACACCATCTTAGGAACAATCAAATCAAGATGTGTAGCTCATTGTCGTACTCGTGTGTGTGTGTGTGTGTGTTACCTCAGGATGATGGAGGTCGAGGTGGGACATCACAGCGTTCTGTTGACACGCAGTGAGGGTAGATACAATGCCATTGGTAACCAGTGTACACACTATGGCGCTCCACTCAGCCAAGGTAAAGATGCATCTGTAGTGAGTTTAGAATTGAACACTTATTCAATTTATTAACTCACAACTTTATCTGTGAAAAAAAGTGTATCCATCCATCATATCAGTGTCTCCAAAACATTCAATAAATCACCAATCATCAATAAGTTGTCAAAGCTTTACTATAGTATAATATTGAAGTGTTTTTGTTGGAATATGGAATTTTAACTATTGACATCATGTTTAAGTTATCACAGAGTGTGTGTGTGTATTTTTAGGGTTTATTTTGGGCAACAAAGTGCGCTGCCCGTGGCATGGTGCCTGTTTCAACATCCACACAGGGGATCTGGAGGAATTCCCCGGCATGGACTGTCTTCCTTGCCACAAGGTAAAAACCAGAGACATAGACAGACAAAAAGATATTTAGCTTACAAATTAATTTAATCAGATTTTCATTTGCCTTTCTTTCATTCAGGTCAAAATACAAAACAGTAAAGTGTACGTCACAGTTAACAAAAAGGTAAGAAGTTTACTTTTTCCAGTTGATGCTGATCTGCTGCCGCTCCTCAAAAATGCCTTGTTAACAAAGTCACTTATCAGTGGGAGTAACAAAATCTGTATGTGGATTTATGAGAGATATTTTTATTTTATATTATAATGTATTTTGTCTTTGATGATCAGATTTTTGCACTTGCCATGGTTAAAGTCCGCTGTCATCTGCTATTAAAACTTAAATCCCAGGAGGGTTAACAAGCCTTAAAAAAAATAATAATAATAATTAATTTAAAGAAATAATATTAGTAAAGTAAATGGAGTACATAATGTGTTGTGTCTTTAGTTGTTGATTAGTTTTGTAATTTAAAGTCATGCTGGATACAAAAGAAAGCAACTTACATTTCTTGCACCTATTATAATAAAGAAGTGTCTTTAATTATTCACTAGTGCATAGATACCATTCAGTCAATAGTTGTCTTTATGGAGAGCAAGAAACTGAAAAGGTATAGTAACTTCAGCATTAAAGCAACCAAATGATACAAAAACAAAAAACAGAATACATTAATGTTCAATGATTCAAACTACAGTGTTCAACAATTTCACTTTAAATATTTAATATCTTAAAATAAAAAATATATTGTATTGTTTTCTGAGTATTCAAAACATTTTAAATGAGTGCTAATTCTTCCTCTTGATTGGTTTATATGATTGTGCGTTTTATCCATGATCCAGACTCTCATGCAGGAGAAGAGAATTAAGAGTATGGGAGGTGCAGAGCCTGGAGTTACTCACACTATTCTGCTGCTGGGAGGAGGTGAGAGTCGGCCATTTTTCATGTCTTTTTATACGTTTGTGTATTAAAGCTTTATCAATTAGTAGATGAATACATTGGCTGACTAACAGAAAATGATCTACTTTGATAATCATTGTTTTTTATTAAAATTGATACAAACATGCCAAATACTTAATAATAATGTTCGTTCAAACAAAGAAAATTACATAGTTTCTTTTTTCTTTGCAGCCAACACATCATTACTCATGTGTACTCATTCCTGAGTATTGACCTAGCCAAACCTCTAGATATGGTTAGATAAAACTGCTATACATGCAGGTGGACAGCAAACAGTGTTAAAAATGATACCAACTACAGTATGTGAGGCGTTTTCTGTGTGTGATTGTGAGTTAACTCTCTGTAAGTGCAGGAGCTGCATCACTGATCTGTGCTGAGACTCTGCGGCAGGAACATTTTGGTGGCAGAATCATCATGGCCTCTAAAGACGAACTTTTACCCTACGACAAAACACGACTCAGCAAGGTGCACCAAAACTTTGAGAATGGATAAATGGATAAATGTGTAATGTGTTTCATGGCGATGTTACAGATGAACAAACACACAAACCCTGACTCCATGTAACAGGTGATGAACGTGGAGAGCGACAGTATACTGCTGAGGAGGATGGATTTCTTCCACAAGTATGACATCGAGGTGTGGCTCAGAAAAGAAGTGAGTTGTTGTACTATACTGGATCAATACAAACCTGAACTATTGTTTCCTGATCAGAGGTGTCAAAAGTATTGACATTCATTACTCAGGCAGAAGTATAGATACAAGGGTTTAAAAAGACTTCTGTAGAAGTTGAAGTATCAACTCAAGCGTTTTACTGAAGTAAAAGTGTAAAAGTACTGGTTTCAAAACTACTTAAAGTATAGAAGTAAAAGTAATGTAAGGGAAGAAAAATGCCATTAAGGACAAAAGCTTAGGCCGTGCCACAGCGTGTCTGAATGGTATATGTTTATACTCCTCATCCAACCACAATCTAATTCACTCTATCCGGATGGCGGGATTTATCTGGATAGGTTTTTTTTTTTGTGTGTTTTTTTGAACGATGACAAGCCGGTATGAAAACAAGCCGAAATGAAATAGGAGTAACGAGGCTATTTTTAAAATGTAAGGAGTAGAAGTAAAAAGTCAGCTGAAAAATAATTACTCCAGTGAAGTATAGAGACCCAAAATTTCTACTTAAGTAAGGTAACAAAGTATTTGTACTTCGTTGCTTGACACCTCTGTTCCTGATGCAGTGTTGGCTACATAATTAATTATTCTCTGGGCTCTTTATTTGGTCCTTTGACTTGATTAATGAGTTGGCGTGTGAATGCTTCAGAAACTGAGTGGACTCTGACTGTGTTGCAGGCGCTGTCAGTGGACACGGATAAGAAGACAGTCACATTTGATGACGGTTCAGTCCAGAGCTATGACCAGCTCCTCATCTCAACAGGCTGCAGGTATTTTATTATGCAATAACACAATTTTAAAAAAGTGCAGTGCTAGTACAAACAAAACATTACTACAAACTGTAATACAAGGATTTATTTCAACAAAGGGGCAAAAGGCAAAACCTTTCAAAAGTCCAACTAAAGTTCAAAAAGATATGTATCACAGGTGCAGTCAGATTAAATGAACTGAAGAGGGAAGGTAAACTGAATAGACACAGGGGTAATCAGACACAGGTGAGACTAACTGCACAGGTGAAGACAATCAGGACAATCAAAATGGAGGGAAACCAGACAAAGGGTGGAAGTAATACAAGACAAGAAACACTGTGGAGGACAACTAAAAAATAAAAAAGGAAACACTAAAGACACACTGAGAACTCAAGAATGTAACCGTAACAACCGGACATTAAAAAACACGAGGATAAGAAATGACAAAATAAAACAGGAAAGACTTAACTTGGAAATAAAGCTATAAAACATACACAAGGGAAACAAGCAAAACACGAAGGAAGAAAGAGACAAAATAAAACAGGAAATTAAATCCAAACACTGAAATAAACAAAATACAAAACTAAGCCAGAAATTCATTAAAGTTAAACTATATCTAAAAAAACATAACTGACCCCACTATATCTTATAGGTTGTAGTTTTACTTAAAATTGTCAATACACAGACAAATAAACGCACAGAATCTGTTTGTGAGTTACAATCTTATTTGAAACCAGGGTCAGTCAAAGCCTTTTAAGGGAGGAGGGGTTTAAGCAGCCACCAATCATCCTGCTAATGAGAAAATAATAATAATAATAAGAAGAAGAATTTAGGAAAATGAAAATCTAAACACGTTTTTTTTCTGGTAAAAATTGAAGGAACACTTCCATGATGCGTTGTCCTTCCTGCAAACACAGAAACATGCTTGAATCTGATCCTCTGCTCACTTGTCTCTTTTTAGAGCTCTGCATTCAAGCAACTGCACGTATTGATAACTGACCATTGCCACATTAACTACCATCATCTTAAGTCCTTGTCTTTACTTTGCTAAAGGATATTTGATAATGTATGAAAATGTGAAAATAAGAAGATAACGCTAACAATGATGAACATGGAGAGCGAGAATTTTAGGAATGGGGTTAGTTACTTGTGATGGTCACTTAACTTAGCAGCCTCTGCCATCAGCGACTGTATGGGTGTGAATGTGTACGCCAAATTAACTTCTGTTCTTGTAAACCTCATTTCTGTGATAAGCCACACTGTTAGGAGTCATGAGTAATGACAAACAGTGAATCAAACAGCCAGAGAAATCTGTTATAATATTGGAATATTGATATTTGGTAACAGCAATAAGATAATTGTATCACCTGAGTCAGGACAGTGATATATTTCTGTTTCCATATGTTGTCCCACCTCTATACTTACCAGAGTGGTCATTGTGTTCCTGTCTCTTAGAGCAAAGGGTCTGGACCTGCCGGGGATGAAGCTGGACAACGTCAAGATGTTGGAGACACCAGAGGACGCCCGACAAATCCACTCAGTCTGCCTGGGCTGCAACGTTGTCCTTGTGGGAACCTCTTTTGTCGGTACTGTTTGGAGCTTTGTTTTTAAAGATCTATCTATCTATCGTAAATATTCTGTAGGGAAAAAGACACATTTTTTTAGTTCATCTGGGTTCATGGAGGCTAAAAACCTACAAAAGGCTACAAAACATTATTAAAACAACAAAGACATGTGAAAAAAAAACCTCCTTACATGCCACATAATATTTATAAAATAATTAATGGAAGGTTAAAAGAAGCTCTAAAGGTTAATATTTTCTCTTTAATATTCAAATGATGGGTAAAAGAGAGAGTTGCTGTTTATTAGGAGTTTCTAATGAGGCTTTCAATATACTATACATTTATAGGTTTCTTTTTACAATTTATTTCAATAAAATTGTAGTTATTTTCAATTTGTTGTAGCTTTTATTTGAATGTTACTCACTTCACCTTCACCAACCTGTTTCCCTTTCAGGCATGGAAATTGCATCTTATTTGATAGACAAAGCCTCCAGTATCACAGTGATTGGCAGCAGTGAGATGCCTTACCAGAACACACTGGGCCGGGAAATTGGAAAAGTCACTATGATGGTAAGAGAGAGTAAGTCCTGAATAGTATCTACACATTATTTTTTTTTTAATTCAGTATCTAATAGTTTGATTTCTGTTTTTTTTTTTTTTCTGTAGATGCTGTCAGAGAAAAATGTGAGATTCTACATGAATGATAATGTGACAGAAGTCATTGGTGCTGATGGCAAGGTATGCTGGGAAGATCTTTTTTTTTTTTATATCAGTCAAAATTCAGACTACAGGAGCTACAAAGGCCAACCCTTGAGTAATTTTCTTATGGTGTGATCATTAAGTGAATACATTTGTTTGTGACAAGACAGTCAACCTGTTATAACAGAAGCCAAAGTAAAGACAACATGTGGTTAACATGCAGTTATACCCTGCTAACATGCACAGATGGCATCATGACTACATTCATTGTCATAGAAGAGGAAATACCCATAATTGACCAGCACATAACACTTTATTTAAATCAATGTTCAGTTATCAGTCTTCCACATATGTCTAAGACACACATTTTGAGGTCTCTATTATTATTATCTCATCTTAACAAAATGATGTAGTCCAGAACTTATTTCAATAATCCGATTCTATGTTGTTGTTTTTTCGAGAAAATTCAACCCATAACTGAAAATCAAGCTTTGTTTCCTTGAGATAAAAACATTGACTTGTGATTGCAAAATAAAATAGCTGCCGTTTGTGGCTCCCACTGTCTTCTTCAACAGTAAACACAGAGTAAAAACTATTTTGGGAAATATGAAACATATTTCTTCTGTGTCCTTTTTTCCCTTTTCTTCCTAAAGGTGAAGGAGGTTGTGCTTAAAAGTGGAAAAGTTATCCCGGCCGACGTTTTGATAGTTGGCATTGGTAAGTCGAATGCAGACAGTTTTCTGTGATATCCAACTTATAAACATCCAATTTAAACAAATCTTTATTTTCTCGGCTCATTACCTGTGTAACTGGGAAAATTCAATATCATTAACCATTTAATGTTCAATAAAGTCATATAATAACAGTGGAAGACGTTTCATGTCCTGTCAAAGCTGACATTTCTTAAAGGAATATTACTTTATCCTGGCTCTGTCCAAAGGCACACGTCGCAGTATGTGCTGTGTGCTACTGATGCAGGATATGGCTGAGAATGGTGACTTCCTTGATTCTCTGCTGGTCGTAGCAAAGAAAACGAAACCCCAACTCAACCAGCATATTTCCACTACACTTCAGCCTACATGTAAACTAGAATAATGCAACCTGTTGCTTGCTGTGGCTTCACATAGTAGTAACACAACCCAAAATGACTTGTAACCTTTGGAGGAGCTTAATGGAGTTTTTTTTTTTTTTTTTAACTCAACAAACCTAAGAAATGTGGTGGGGGCAACAGAACAAGTTGGATAAGTATACAAATAGAAGTCGTTGTGCTTGTTCAAACATAGCATCATAATAAAAATATAAGAAGAGAAATTACTTGTGTCCCATTTTTTCTTCCCCCAGGTATCAAACCGAACTCAGAGTTCTTGCGTGGGAGCAAAATACAGATGGACTCGAAAAACTTTGTAAAAGTCGACAAGGTCAGCAGCTGTGACTCACCCTGTTATTAACATCCGGTTCTTTGCCTCCATTCTCAGTTTTTGTTTCGATTTACCTCCTCATCATTTGGGGGTCCCACAGATCAACTTAATATGTAGATGTTTAATTTTTCATCTCTTAATAACCAATTTTTTCCTTAGAATTTTTCTTTTCTTTGATTTTTCTGGCCTTATTGAATCCTAACATGCCGAAATATATTTTATTTTATTAACACTTCTTTTTGCTTCAGAATACTTCAAGACGTTTATGTTATTTTCTGTAAAATCAGGAAAAGTCCTGATGTGTGAGACTGATAGTCAGTGTGAATACAAAGTCAGTGTTTTTTTTTGCACAGTCACAGTATACAGAGCAGATGTTATATGTACAGCACCATAAATGAGTTCTTCATATCTTCTTCCTGCAGTACATGTGCACTAACGTCCCCGGTGTGTTCTGTGGGGGTGACCTGGCCACCTTCCCCCTGAAGATGGCTAAACACCAGCTGGTCAACATCGGACACTGGCAGATGGCACAAGCACACGGTAATGCAGTAACAATGTAAAAATAAAGGCACAGTCAATTTCACTGACTTTTAACCACTGTAGGTATTATGACATACTGAACACAAATAAACACAATTCACAACCCTCATCATCTGTTCTGTTTCATAGAGGGTGTTTGATATTTGTGTATACTATATATTGTTTATTTGTATGCCTAGTTCAATACAATATGTTTTTTGTTTGTTGTCATTCAGGGAGAATAGCAGCTCTGAACATGATGGATAAACAGACTGAACTCAGCTCAGTTCCTTTCTACTGGACCGTCCTACTTGGTAAAACCATCCGATATGCAGGTGGGCGCACACACAAACATTTGTCTATATTTGTAGCTTTCTAATTCTTACATCCAAAAGTCTTTACTAACCAAATCCTTTATCAAAGAGCAAAACCTAAACTGCTTATCCTGCTGCTGTTTGCAAATCCTATTCCCACTGAGTCAAACCATGACAGATTTGTGATCACCAATTCACAAAACTATGTTTGATTCTGATTGTGTGCAGGCTATGGGGAGGGATACACTGAGATTGTAATGAAAGGAAAGTTTGAGGACAGGAAGTTTCTGGCATTGTATATCAAGTAAGTCAATACAAACAGCTGCTGTCTTAAAGAAGAAACATCTGCAATCTGACAAATCTTACTTTATGATTCAATATCCAAACACATTTTTTTTGTGTGTTTACATCTCTGTAGAGATGATGAGGTCATAGCAGCAGCGAGCCTAAACTACGACCCTGCTGTGTCTGCAGTAGCTGAGAGGCTGGTAACAGGGAAAGTCATCTCAAAGAAAGAGGCTGAGTATGTTATCATCTTTTGATAATCCTTGTTAAAGACAGAGACGATGGTAGAGGGCTTTGTGGTTAATGTCTTTCAGTCATCGACAGCCGTCCCATCCATAGGTATATCTGCCTCCAAGTGACAAAGAGAATCTGAAATACTAGAAATAAATGATTCCTTGAACAAATAATTGCAATGTCAAACGAATTAACTTGAATGTTGTAAAGCATGTTCTTCTAATATTACTCTCTTGACAGATCAGATGACCTGAGCTGGTTGCAGTTGTCCTGATTTACACTTTGCTCCATTCATCCTCTCATCACCAGTACCATGTCAATGTGCAGTCAGAGTGTTGTTCATCCGTCTCTTCACCACCTGCGCTCTCACCAACGAAAAAGAGTCCGAAGAGCTTGATTAAAACTCTCATTTTCGAAGAGACGGACATCCCTCATGGCAGGGTGTAAAATAACACAATTTATATTTACAGTGTTGACATACTGGATTTATACTGTACGTCATGGAGTCAGTGTTCATGTCAGGGGATCCACCATGCAAACAACAGATACCTCACTTGGATGCAGCTTTTGCAACTTATTTTTTAATATATTCCTTTTTTATTATTTTATTAGATTTTATAACATTTTTATGGCTTCGTGTCTCCGGGGAAATTTCAGCACCAGTCCAGAGACATCGCACTAAAGATGCCTCAGTTTGTTCACTGCTCTTTTTTGAAGGCGGTGTGTGCTGCCTTAGACGAGTCTGCTGGAAAAAAAAAACACAAGTGACCTTAATGCCCACTGCAGTTGTGTATGTGGTCGGGTCGGAGAGGGGATTAGGAGAACAGAGGGGGAGTGGTCTGCTCTTTGAAGCAGAGATGCTGAAATAGGCAATGATAACAAAACACACAAACGGGGAACAATAAGCCTTCGACAAACAGCACACACAGGCAGATGGACAAAAGAAATGCTGTGTTTTTCTCACGTCCCCCCATTGTCTCTCTGCTACTATCCCTGTCTCACTGTCTTTAATTCACTCCTCTCTTTCCACCTCCACATTCACTCTTTGATTCACCCTCAGTGCTCTTCCTCATTTGGCTGTACCCAGGGTTCAACTGGTGCACACTCTCAAGGCCAGTACTAGTTATAAAGTTTTAGCTTCTGAGGTTGCTACTAGTTAGTATATTGTTAAGATTTTATATGTAAAAGATTTTAAACTTTTCTGCCAAACATGACACAATGTCTTTTATTTTCAATCATGATCAGTATTTCAACCATAGACTGTAAATAATATTTGAACTTGAAATGCATGGTCTTTCTAGATATGTCACACATGGATCAAATCTTCTTTGATGGTACACGTGATTTTTTTATTACACACGCAACTAATATTGTAATTAGGGCTGTCGAACACATTTTTTTTAAATTGTGATTAATTGCTGAATCATGACTAATTGCATTTTTATCCGCATGTTTAAAATTCCGTTATTTCGCATTTAAAAATCAAAAATGGTTGGCTTTTGTTTCATATTTTTGTACAGTCTTAAACTGAGAGTACTTTAGTTGCTGTTTGAATTAAAACTTGCTTTTATTTTAAAAAGGAAAGGACCTTCCAGTAGATCCATGGTTACAACATTTATTTTATCATTAAAAAAGTAAACACAGCGAAAGAGCACGGAAAAAACGTTAAGTGTTTGATGTCACAAGGTATATATTACTTTTGATTCATCAACTGAACCGTCTAGGAGTTTTTTTAAGTGAAATGAGCAATTCATAGATGCAGCAGTGTGGTTCTTTGCCATCATTGTGACTACAGGGAGACACTGCAGAGGCTTATCCAGCCAAAAGGGACAAATTATCAGGCAATAAATGCAATAAAAAATGTGAACATTCATTTCATTAATCTTAAATTGATCGCGATTAACCACTAAATGCAAACAGCCCTAATTGTGATATCAAAATGTTCTTAATTATCAACTGAGAAACCCTATCTTTATCGGCTTAAGATCAAATCGAACATGGGCAATCAACAAAAAATATAAGAAAGCCTCAGAAATTGGTTAGAACTCAGATCATTGTGGATACATTTTTTAGGCTTTATTGGGGAAAAAAATATTTGTATTCCTCTGACCAGATATTCCTGCTAGTCAAGGATTCATTCAAAGCATTATACTGTCACATTACAGCTTCAAATGTAAATGTATCACCCAGGAACAGATTAAAGTCTTACTGACACTATTCACATTGTTACATATGATAAGAATAGCCACGCATCGTTATTTCGAAATCCCAATATAAAGAACTTGTCGTCATAAGAAAAAAAAAATTCTTGATGGTGTCCTGTGACTGTAGCACAGTGGATCACATCTTTACATTTACTTTATATTTTCTTGAGCTAAATGATCTTATTATTTGTTTTCTCACAGAACAAGATAAATCAACCTGCTATCACTGGAAAGCAATCTGTAATCTCAACATGTTACATAACATAACACACCAATTAATTTAAGAAACTGAGATAAAATAATTTAAAAAATATGTGCTATTGCAAGCACGGACATTTTTTGCTTTCATATTTCAGTGAAAGTGAGAAAGCAAGAAACCTCAAGTAATTCCTGAGGTTAGAAAAACATCAAGTTTTGTTCCCATTATAGTTTATTGAGAAATATTTTCCTTTGTCCCGCATAAGATTGAGAAGTGAAGGTACAATGACCTTGTTAGTTACAGCTTTGTTATCAATATAAAGAGAAACCTGATTGAATGACAAGAATGTATTTGTCAATTGAAGTTTCTGTCATTTTTTCACACTACTGTATGTTCATGAAATAAAAACATCTCAGGCACAACAGAACTGCTTGTCTTGCATTCACTGATTTGACAATGTTTCCTTGTTGTCTTTTCTGCCATCTACTGTACAGTAGTGGTATTCCACTGCTTCACATAATCATCTTCAAAAATAGGGATCTAAAATCTGTCTTAAGGTATGTCGATATACACACTTTACATGTGAGACAGCACAGCAGCCTTGGACTCAGTATGTGTAAGGCCTTAAACTAAATCCACATCATTATGGCAAGGAGAGACTGAGCCAGCAAAAGTATCAGTTTATGTTGAGTCCTGTGTCTATTCCTGAAGATCTGATGAACAAACGAAAACAGGGATGACATAATACTCGTATTTGCTTCTTTAATTCAATCTCAAATGGAGTAACGTTGCAGACACCTGTTGCTCAGATTGGGACAAAACCTTTAAATCTTTGTTCTCCATAGAAAAAACAACTTGGTTGTCCTTTAACAGAGTCTTTCTGTGTGAGATGTAACGCTGTCGCCTGTTGGCTCTGTACAGCTCCAGCCTCTTCTCCTCAGCCTGGGGGTCCTCCAGAGCTCCCTCCCACCTCAGGCTTTCCCCATGCTGAGAGCTGGGCTCTGCCTCTTCATTTAGTCTAGATTTGTTTTTTAGTAGGCCTGTTGAATCCTTGGGGTGTCTTCTTTTGCTCCTGCAGCTGCTGTTATTAAGCTGTTTCCCATCTTTCCCCCTTGTAGCTTTGATCTTGGGCAGCTGACCTCGAGGCTGACCTGGACTCTGAGGTGGCTGCATGGACCCGGGCACCATCTCAGGAGGCACAGATATACCTGAGGTTTGTCTGCAAGGAGGCAACAAACGTGCAGGCACTATACAGTATGAACAAACAAAGCTAAGGGTTTAGATTACAAATGACTCCCTCTAGAATCCCTTCCTGCACATAGACTACAACTCACCACTTTATTCTTGTCGTTCAATTCGAGCAGGGAACTTTTGTCTGTATTTCCAAGACAGAGAGATCACGCCTGAATGATCCTCAGCCAGCTGTGTGCGCTTACATACTGCGGATGATATTTTTTCTTCCTGGATGCTACTGTGCTGACGTTAGCGTAACCTCGCCCGCCGAATCGATGTCAATAAACCTTAATGCTCATGTCTGTATCCTGCGTTACTGAAACTGAAAAGTAACTTACACTTAAAGTCATGCGCAAATAGTAGTGGAGTTACAGAAACGGGTTTCTCCCAACACTGGTTATTAAGATGTAGGCTAATGTAGGCTAATGTGTTTACCTGTATTTTCTGGAGAAGCGTGCGAAGAGGCTTTTTTTATTCCTTTTCCACTCCTTCGGTGTCTGAGAAATATGCTTCTCACACGAATCCTCTAACCTACAGCAATTTATAAAGAAAAAGTCTAGTTTACTAACAAAGAATGAGGCTGCACAGCGAGTGTAGGCCGCTGTTGTCAAGCTACTTTATCTATGGTGGTTGTTAAACACGATTGTAAGTGCGAAAAAAAGGTGAAAAAATGCTTAGCGCCATATGGCTGCCATTGACAAGCATTTCCTGAAACAACACGGCGTTGCCTAGCAACGTGTATCCTTGGCAACACCACGCAGCATGCTTCAGCGTTAACTAACTTGACTACCGTACTCTTAAAGGTCACATATTATGGAAATACACTTTACCGTGTTTTTCTAACCCTTATAATGTGTCTATACTCTGTTTACAAAGCCCCCAATGTCATAACATGTTTAGTAGGCTACCATGGACAGTATGGTTTCCACTAATCAGAAACATTTAGGCCCCTAAGGGAGAGAATAGGCATTATAATGCATTTAACATTATTTATTGTAGGCTTATTTAACTTGTTTTTAAGCAAAAGCCATTTAACATTTAGACTACACTGTAGGCCTATTTGTTTTGGGGAAATGTAGGTCAATTAGCCTATATTAAACTATGTAACAGAAACAGGAAATTCTAGGTGTAGCCTACATGTCAATGTGGAAAAAACAGGTGTGACTTGATAAGAACTAAGGCTTGATATTTAAAAATCAAAATGAAGGAGAGTGAGAGGAGTACATCAAAGATATGTCATGTTCGGTTAGCTGTATGGGGCACTATGACCATTTTAAGAGCCACAAAAATAAGTTTCTTGTATCTTCTGTGTCAGGGTCTTGACATGATACACAATTATTAAATGTGTTTACTCGTTGATTTTACAACATCTGCATCACATGAATTTATCGGACTTTAACACTCATAACACAATAATGTGTCATCTCTGACAATATCCACAGCATGCAGTGTGGTATTTCCAGGGAGGTTCCATCCTATTCATCTTCCACAGAAAAAACTGCAGTTCCTCACCAGTGTACCCGCCTAACAAACACACATTATGGTTGATTCAGTTAAGAAATGTGACGCTTTAGAGCACAACCCTTTGTCAAAGTGCAACGATTGTAATGATTGCAAGGTAAATGAACTTGGATGATATTTTCTGTCTACTGTTAAACCAAACACCCGCCAGTGCTAAGAATAGGCTCGCTCTCTGACCTCAAACAAGTCTGTCCTGCTTCTGCATTCCCAGCACATATCTCAGCTCTTCCTGTAGTTCTTACAGGAAGAGGGAGGATAAATCACTGTGCTGAGTCACAGCAGGCACGACTTTTATTGACAAAGGAGTGACAAAGTTCAGTTCACATATTAAAGTTACATAAAGTTGTTTTTAAAAAGTATTTTTTTAAAAGTGATGGACAGCTGGTTGTCAGGTATAAACAAGAATCACAATTCATGTTTGTTCAGACTAAATGGATAATGTATTGCCAATTCTGTTTATATTTAGCCAGAACAGATGAACCCATTTAAATCTTCACAACCACAATTCATTTTAAACTGTTCTAGGTCATATGATTGGCTGAGGGTTTTTTATGTGTTGTGAAACATACCTATGCTCACGTCTTGTTCTAATGGACTTGCAAGTCATGAATAGCAAACAGATAGTTGCAGTAAGTATGCTGGAATCTTCAAATCAAAAACAACTCACGATGATTTAGGACTTTCGTTGTCTTACTTTGGACACTTAAATTATTTAAAAATCACAAGTCCTCTACAACACGCAGGGTGGGAAAAATCTGCCATAATGTCGAACTACTGTTAAATACCTGATAAATCATCATTTAATGGATTCCTGGTGAATTACCAACAAACAATTAATTTGATATTGAAAATCTGGAGGGACATGGAGCGGCAGTTCAAAGTAAAACAAGATATTTGAAAACGTCCGTTAATCAACAGCTAGCGTTAGCATTTAGCCACTTCCTAGTAAATTCAATGTTTTGGAGTAAATTAATGCGTTTTTCTTGATCTTGGTAGTCTGAAATTCTGAGTTGCCCGTCTGATACATCATCACAAACACCCCCTGGAAACTCTGAACTTTGGTAGCTCGAGCTAAAATCCAACAGGCTGCTATGTGCATCTACAGTAAAGTTGAAGCTGTACACTATATTGTTTATTGGCAACTTAGTCTTGTTTTAGTGTTATTCATTGATCACACATATTTATGAAAGTTATATCTGTGGACATGTTGTCATGTTACTTTGCTTCTGCAAACTATCACGTAGTGTGTTTTTATCGCCAGGCATTATAAGCTAACAAAGAAAAGGTACTCCTGGAGGCGTCTGTTTGACTTGTTGCCAACTCGTAATTGGATCACAGTTAACTCGGGTGTGATGTCATTCCCAACTGGGACATCCGAGTTCAGTGCTTTAGCATTGTAACACTATCCAACTATAGCAGAAACTATTAGCCATACCCTAGTATTAGTAGGCTATACTGCAAGTGACTGAACGCTAACCAGTTATCAAACTCATCTTCCTTCAGACGTTGCTGTGCATTGTGTTTCAGTTACCCAACACTCTACTAAAATGATAGGCTACGACAATTTTATAGCATTTAAGCTTCCCCCCATAGCATGACATCACAGGAAAATGGCAGCTGTGTGAGTATGGTCAATAATGTTGTCTAATGATCACTGTATCAGTAGGCAGCAAGGGTTACAGAAGATAACCAATTATGAGCAACTGCAAAAGTGATATTGGCTATATTAACATAGAAAGAGCATCATATCCTCAACGTCTATAGGTCACAGTAAATCTACTTGTACTCATGCATGCTGTTGGCCTAAAAAAAGGCAGAGGAAGGAGAAGCGTTGTGAGGATTTGCTGAGTGTGCTCCCAGTGTGTCAGATGACAGTTGAGGAAGTAGCTCCTCAATGTGCACAAACCTGAAAGCTGCACAGTGACAAGCCCAGGTACTCAAGAGAGAGAGGCAGAGAGAGAGAGAGACAGAGAGAGAAAGAGACAGACAGACAGACAGACAGATAGACAGACAGACAGACAGACAGGGGTTGGTCCTTCTAGTCCTCAATGTGTGAGTGCCTGTGCGTTAGGGAAAGGAGAATAAGTAAATCCTGACCTTCTGGTATCTGTTGAGGTCATATGCAGGCTCGTGGTGTATAACTAAAAACCAAAGCCTCCAAGCCTTACACAGACACTGCTATTCAAAAACAATTGTAGAATGTTTTTTCAATCTCGCTGAGGCTACGTCTATGTAAAAAATACATTTACATACACAAGTAAATAAATACAAATATGTATAATATAGGCCATATATATACTTATATAGACTACATATATACATACATATTTATACATGTTTATATTAACAGTGCAGTAGAACATGCGTGTGCACGTCAGGTCCGTGCAGATTCTGACGTCCGCTTCTCGTGGCTGATACGTCATGACGCTGCCAGCTGATCGGAGTGAGAAGCCGGGTGTGTGTCTTGGTTGTACGTGTATGTGTGTGTGTGTGAGAGAGAGAGAGGGGGAGAGAGAGAGAGAGAGAGAGAGAGAAATACAGATTGAGAGAGAGAGAGAGAGAGAGAGGACTGGAGCAGGACTTGTGTAAAAGGGTCTGAAGTCCTGCGTTGCGTAGCCTACTCCACCACCACGTCTACGCACCACCACTGCTGCTCCGAAAAGTCGATTTTCCACCAGATAGTTGAGTTTTTACATGGCGGATGTGAAGAATACTAACAGGCATCGACACACCCTGCTGACGGTCCGGGACTCTGCCGAGCAGTGGGCGAGGCACCCTGAACTCTGCCGGACCGATCGGAGGAGCAGGAGCGACCCGGCCGGTGGGCAAGGTGGGGCGTGTGACTGTCTGTGAGGCTGTCTGTGTGTCTCTGCTGGTGTAATGCTTGTGCATGTCAGCCTGATTTAGCCTGTGGCGGCTTGATGACCCAGTTTGCGTTGAAAATGTAACAGGGAAACGGTTTTACCACGAGTTTTTTCAAGTAAAATTCACCTCTGTAGGTCTGATTTCTGCCTCCTGCACAATTTGTCGTCGTTAGATTGTCGGACAAATCTGGAACAGATCTTATAGGAGTTCTGGTTGAAGGCCTGTCTGTAAGTCATTCAGATCATCTTGTACAGGCCCAGAAGAATTATGAGCACTCTAGACCTTTGATCACAATCAACCAAGCCCCTGCAAACATTTGATTAACATTTAGGTGATTGACAGTCAAATTGTGGGCAAAGGGCTTTTTTTTTTTTTTAAAGTGCCGCATGGATAATTTTGCACATGCAATGGCTGATTGCAGCTTAAGGGCTGAACAAAATGGGCTAAAAAGTCAGAATTATGTGACGGTTAATACTTAAGGGGGCCAAAAAAACAGCAAATATGCACAGACAGCATGATATGAGTGTTTAAATATTGAGAGTTAAATTCCAACCTATTTTGAGCCTTGACTCCCACATTACAATATCTGGAAACTTTAGAGAAACAATTTTGTTCTCTAAGCTCTAAACTGTCAAATGGTGGATTGTATAGCAAGTTGATGCAGTTGCGAATATAGGTCTGCATTTATATAATCCAAACCTAAAAAGTGTCTGCATTCACAGGCCTTTTAAAATGCGGTGAGTACATCATAGGCCAAGGAAGAAGCCTGTGCTTAAGTAGGGGACAGGCGAAGATAACTATGGCCGAGTCATTCCTCAGAAATGCAGTGACTCTGGCAGTCATGTGGTATTTCTTATATCAAGTTAAAGAGGAGTTTATGAAAGGGAAAAAAAAAGACTGTAGAAGTTTGGAGAACACGTAACACATTCCTGAAGCAGGTGACGTAACAAATAATTTAGGTCTCCCTGTCCAGATTTGATCTCTTTTATAGGCTGTTCTTCAGTCTTTAACACTTAAAAGACAGCGTTGAAAAAGGAATAACGCATAATTAGTTTTTATCTGGGATAAAGGGTCAGGGGGGAAGCTTACTGTGGTGTATGTTACATCGATGGGGCACGTCTTACATAATTGTACAGCCAGAGTTCAATGCGACGGTAGGAATGTGCAAAAGGCTGTGTCACGAGCTGCATTTGTGCCATTGCAACCCAGAGCGTGACATAAGCCACCCTGTCAATGAGGATCACATGGCAATGACAGGGTGTCAGCTCAAAAGCAACATGTGTACTTATGTTGTTCTCACTGACCTCTTCTGTGCTGTTTAATGCATTTATTTGCAGAAGTGAAGCCATCTTGCTCAACTGGGCAACACCCTTCGATCCTATTGCGTGTGCTTTTGGAGGAGGATGGGGCAAGAAGGGATGTGTTATGTAGATTCATTTAGAAAGAGAAAATACAGTCTTTTTTTTCATCAAAATGCCACAGACTGCTTGAGGACAGGCTTTCAGGCCTCTGGCAGCACATTGACATCTCCCAGGATGAATCCAGAATGGCATTCAGCTACTCCACTTAGTAAGAAAAGCAACTTCATGTGAAGGGATCTGAGGGTTAAAGTCAAATAGCCTTTAAAGAACAGCGAGCAGCAGAGCAGAAGAAGAGACTCTCTCTCCTCTATGAACAGTGTGTTACCAAAGCCACCGCCCATCCCCTGCTTTTGTCCCCATTCCCAGTCTAAAATGATCGGTCTGTATTACAGACAATCTGGGGCAGTAAACTCTCTCCCACTGGGCCACACCCACAGCAGAGGAATGCACCTGAATTGATATATGTAGTAGATGGATAACACTCTAATTATAATGCGTTTCCACTCGCGTAGCTGTAGCTGTAGCATGACAGCCGCCAGCTCTGTCGTTTCAAGACATTAATTAACAGATTTGCCTTTTTAATTTTAGTCTTGAAGGTCAGATTGATAATTGAGGAATCTTATCAGCGCATGTGGTATTCTAAAACTTCAGCATGACCTCTAACACGAAAAGTTCAAATTCGAGAGGACCATTCAAAACAGAAGTGTGCTGCTTGTTCCCCGACATCGCATTTGGCGAACTGACGTAGAGAGCTAGCTGGCTAGCTAATGAGCTGGCTAGCTTATTAACTGTGACATTTCCAACAGAATCAATTTCTATTTCAAATTGCTGCTTGGAGTTGTGAATTTATTCAACACAAAGACGCTTAGAGAACTGTTCACAACGTAGCAGACTCACTAATACCTTACCTTGTACACATCTTTAGTGGAAGACGAGAAATTAAGATAACAAGCCATTTTCAATCAGTGCAGACACTGTTAAACGCTAACATAAAATACAATGACTACTAATCACTACGAAACAAAGGAGCACTGATTTCTTTGAAAGCCAAAGGAGAAAAATGTACCCTTAATTTAGCTCGGTTAAAACCCTCATGAACAATGACAACTGAAGGCCAGCCTAAAAAGACGATTACCAAAGGCTAGGATCTAAGCTAAAGTTAGCAGCAGCTACGTTCAAGCCCTTTTGTAATTGTTGTGAAACATACAAATAGCCTGAAATCAAGTCTTCTTTATCACTCTCTGACAGTTTCCAGTTGCAGCTGGTATACATCTGTGAAAGCAACACAGCGCAACCTGCTGTGTATGATCCTGTTTTGAGCTGCAAAGAAAAGTTTATTTTCTTTTGATGACATACAAGTTATTGAATTACAACGGTGAATAGATTGGCTTACTTGCTGTTACCTGCATTTTAGTTAGTGTCAAAAATATTTCTTATTCTAAATGTGATATGGAAACAACTCCTTGATAACTTTTGAAATGCACACTTTCATGCACACTTTTCAACACTTGAACTTAAGGCTCAATAAGCCACACTTCCAAAGGACAAAAAAATGTCAGTGATCCCTCTATGCATTGTGCGTGCTTCATTCACACCCTCCTGTTGACACATCAACGTTCCTATTTCTTTCTGACACGCACATCCTGCTGGTTAGACTCTAGTGTGTCTTTCCTCTTTCTTATCCTCCCTGCTGTGGCAGAGAATGCACGTCCACAGCCACAGATAAGCACAGTCTTTTGTGGGTTAGACTGTGTGTGTTATCTCTTTATACTCTGTTGAATAAAAGCCTGTCTCAAGGCCTTCCACAATGGCTGTCATGTGGCGCTGTCGGATAAGACCTAGACAGACGGACGGATGTGCAGGTACAGTTTAAGGTGCGGTAAAAGAGAAAAAGCAGAGAGAGACCTTGTCAATGAAGCTACATCCGTCTCATACAGTGCAGACCAGATGTAGATGTAGAGTAGAGAGGGAGAAGAAGGGTGAAGGATAGAGGGATGGTTAAAAAAAAAAAAAGGAGTTGAAGAGACTTTGCGAGCCCACAGCAGCTGGATGGAATTTCTAACATATGCAGCAGGAATGTCAGGAATGCAGGACAGTCTGATCTGAGACCAAGAAAGAGGGTGGAGAGGACAGACGAGTCAGAAAAGACACCAAAATAATAATAAGAAGAAGTAGAGAGATGGAAAAGAGTAGCACAGCAAACTAAAGTCGGGCGGTTCAACACTACCCATCATTGTGAACAGAAAGATACAGAGACACTGCTTGTGGAGGGACCGTCACGCTATGGAACAAATAACTGATTCAGTTTCAGTTTGAGGTTGTGGCTGCCATAGTTAACAGTTATGACTGTCAGTGGTCCAGTGTGTGGCCCGAGGACTTGTACTGTACGTCCCACTGCCTGACTGTATTCAGGCTAACACTGTCAGGGGAGTGTCAGCAGGCCTGTGTTGGGGAGGGGGGTGGTGGTTCACTTGATAACGCTGCTTGACGATCTTCTTCCAACAAGAGCTTACCTTAATGAACTCACTTTTTAGTATTTTTAATTGTCTTTCCCAACAGCCTCTGTTTTTATGTTTTATTTAGCGAGCATTAGCATGAAGACATGGTTAGCTGAGATCAGTGTTGGGTAACGCTACTTTCAAAATATCTCGTTACGTTACAAGAGTACTACCATCAAAGGTAATACATTACATTGCTGCGTTATGTGCTGTGGGCAGAGGCGGACAATATTAGGCACAGCTGTTTCTATTAAAACAATATAACAATGATGTTTTTGTCCCTTTTGCCCAAATATTCAACAAAATGGGGATATTTCCACAAAGTATTCCTCGCTGCCATCCCGATAGTTAAATTAGCTAGCTATACGCGCACACACTGACACAATTGTAGGTCTACCCTCCGCTGCGTACACAGCCACCTGACAAGAAGCAGAATCAGTGCAGAAGCAGATTTTCTTTTCTCCTCCCTTTTTTTTAAGTGGAGGTGGGGGGAAGGGAAATACAGCCTTTCTCTAGTAGTGGTTTACTTTAATGGAAAAAGTAACCAAACAGTTTACTTGAATTGCAGAACTAATACTTTCTTGTGACTTGTTACAACAAAAATGTCCTCTGAGCACTCTAACGTAAGCCCAACATGGCTGAGACAGGGAGCACATGGCGTCTTAATTCAGACACTAATGTTTGTGCATACAGTGTTTACAGTATTTATTTGCTTACACTGGGTAGTTTTCTCCCATAAAACACAAAACTGTGTATTTACTGGAAAAGACAACGACTAGACGACTGGTTCTTTTTTTCTCTCTGAAGAAGAGAAAGCTTTATCTTTTCACATTTGTCCGCATTTATTCACTTCACTCTGACTACATTTGTATTACTTTTTATAGGAAATAACAGATAATAACACAGATGACTACAATTGACAATGAAAAATGACCAGTTTTCAGCTCTTAACTCTTTTGTCCACAGTCAGGGACTCACAGTTCACTGTGACTGCACCTATCCGCTCAAAATAGCAACCAAAACTATGACACAGTGACAGTAAACTTACCTGCCTTTATCAGCATGTTGGCATACTGACATGAGCATGTAGCTGCACCACCCTGCAGCCCTGCACACAGAGGCCTCTGATTTACTGTAAATTCTTGTTTCCAAGTGGCCAAAAGCAGTACTGAAACAATCCCAAGTCCTCTGTGGCCTTAAAGTGCTTCCTCCATAAACCACCATTTTGATTTTAAAAGGCTTAATATTATTTCATAGTTAGCAGACGAATAAAGATAACCCTATAGATATTAAATTGTGTTTCATTTAAACTAACCTGACTCAGTTATAAGCTACTTCATAGCTGTTCCTGGTCTGCTGGACAACAACTAAATAAATACACATGTAGTGTAAAGTATGAAAAAATGTCAAACTAACACAGTTCTGAAAGAAGTGAAGCCAGAGGGAGTGAATGATCCTTTGATTTAATTTGAAGTGTAAATCAGGCCCAGCAAACAACATTTCTCAGTGGTTTTTAAAAGATATGCGCAGTGGTTTTCAGGATGGGTGCTTTTTGCAGTGGAAAGGTTGGCCAGGATTCTCTTGAAAAAGATCTTGTACCTCAACTAGAATATTTCCCTGGTAAAATACAGGTTATATATATTTTTTTAAATCAGTCACAAGTCCAAACATGCTGTCTGCATACTGACTCATCTTTCTAAAGAGTCAGACATTTTTCATGCAGGTACATTTGTTGGGAGAAGGATAGAAATCATGGTGTATTTTCTATATTGATTGAGGTTACTTTAAGGTTGCAGTAAATCAAAGTTAAGTGTGAGACAAAATCATTTCTCACTGCATCGGTGTCTGTCGGGTTTTAAGTTTGGTTGAGTCTGACCCAACCTTCCCCTGCTTCGCAAAAGGCCACAAGCTACCAGACACAGAAATACCTGAGATTATTCTGGTTCTCCCATACTGCAGGAATGTGCAGCACATGTTCCACATCGACATCCAAAGACGTGGAGCTTATCCATAAAATACATTAACATCACCACATGATTGTATTGATTCAATATGATTTTCACTTGTTAGTTACTAAGCGGTCAGTTTGCAAACTACAAGCAAGTTTAACCTCACAATTTTACAGACAATTATCAGTGAATGGTTATTTATTTATCAAAATCTTTTTGAAAAATATCTGTTTAAAATCTGTGTTGGTTTTTTAACAGTAAGACATGTGTGAGAGGAAGTCATGGTTCTGATTTGGTTCGCTGTGAAATACAACCGATAGCTGTGATTAAGTTAAAGATAGCCAGTTTTTTTTTTTTTTTTTAATCTGGAAAACACCTGAACATTTATTTGATTGATCAAGGTTTCAAATAGAAGTAGGAGTTGGACTTCTGGAGGATCCTAAGATGCTCGCTACCATGTCGGCTCCTCTTCGTCATACCCTTACACATGCTTTGTAACCACGGTAACTGACAAAAATACGTTGTGTAGTTTTCCACAGGCTAGTCTGTGATCCTTTTTTTTAACTAAAAGAATATCTAAGAAATTCTTGCTGGCACTGTGTAACATTCAGAGGCGGATGCATGTACCCGCTCCTGGTTAACTGACACATGATCCTGTGTTCATCTCCACAGTCATTTTTACACATCAGCTCATTTCACCCACTTACTCACAGCTGATCACGCACACACAGGCTTGACTGCACCCACTTACTGTACGTGTGTGACTGGCTGCAGGCCAGCTCATACCCACGCTACTGGAGCATTGAGTTTAGAGGAGGAAGTTTAACCATATTTTCCTCTTTCTCTGCAGGAATTTGAGCACCTAAAGCAGGCGAAATGAAGTAGAAGGCCTGGCCGTTTCCTGGGCCACAGGTTTCAAACCCTAACCCTCTCTGGCTGACTCCCAGCAGCCCCTCACCCTCCAAGGCCCCTAATGGCTGACACACAGCAGTTCTTCACTGGCAAGCTTTATGTTCCTGTACACATGCTAAAGCTGCCAGCTGAAGAACTGCTCTGGTCTGCCCTGCGCCGGACGACTCAAGAAGAGGAAGCGGATGGGGGGATGGGGGGTGGTGGGAGATGTTGGTGGGAAGAAGACTGAGGAAGTTTTCCACTCACTCCGGAGTCAGATTTGACATGCAAGATTTGAACAACCATTGTTTATATTTATGCATTTGATGTGTCACTTTCAGTTTGTGGTCGCACATATTGTTGAGTTCTCTCTTTAAAAACCTTCTTAATGGTGTTTTTCTGGTCCTTCAATAAAGAAATAAAACATGTCTTGTATTTTTTGTTATTGTTGTGTACCCTATGGGAAATAAAAGACATACCAATACTGAAGCCCCCCCCTTTTTTCCCTTCAAAAATAACACATACACAGAGAGGCACACAAAATATGTATGTCTCTCTTCTTTTAACTCTGAAGTCTCTGGTGATTCCATTAATGGCGAACAAGAAAGAGCAGAGTAAATGCTCTTTTGAAGTCAAATGGCCTCAGATATGCAATGACTTCACAGTCTTTGTTCTCTGGGAGTCTAATAACCACATCAACAATTCAACCAGCTACCATTCAGTCAGGACTGTACAACTACAGTCAGAATGTAGTTACATGAAAGATGAAACCAGAGGGAGGACAAAATCACAAACCCAATGTCAGATCTTCAGAGCCTGAACAACTGTTTGAAGTGATTTCTTCAGTAATGACAAACTTCAGGAAAACGTTTTGGGTTCCTATTTCAGTCAAACAATTATTTTACCCAGTCATCACTTTAGTCAAATTAAATACTTTAAATTCTGACTTGTCCGGATATAAACCTGATTTTTAGAGTCGATAAAAAGAGTATTCAGCACTTTTCTTCACAGATATGAATGAACTTTGTAGGTTTCAGTTTAAAGAAAATAAAATTTGATTGTATTCTTACTAAAGTATTTTTACATTGGTAGGTAAATCAGAGGAAAGATATCTGTACGTTTTTTGACTGTTGCTTCACTGTTAAAACTCAAACTTCAGAGATTTGTACAGTTTTCCAATAATGACCACTAGATGGGGTGATAATCCTAGTAAGACAAAGGTTGAAAGATGGCTGAGGTCTTCTTATTAAACAGGGTGGGGTAAAATCTCAGCTGATTGGAATCCAATCATGAATTAGGATTGGTTTATTAATAGGCTTTGTTAAAAGTATATTCACAAAATATGGCTTTCTGTTATTAATTTGAATAATGCATGAAAATCCTGAAAGGAGGCTGTGTTAAGATGTTTATCTAAATCTATATTATAAAGTCAGCTGGAAAGAGAAGGTGTGCCTGTTTGCACTGTTCTTATCAAACATACTGCACATACAGAAATGAAAGACTGTCATAAGAATGACATGTCATAATTAATTAAACATAAATTATTGTAGTCTATAAATCCTTCTCTGTTGTTTTGATTTAGACTGTTTTAAATACTTTATTAATCCCGAGGGGAAATTCTGGTTAACAATCTGTTATTTAAGAGACGTGCTTCGGTTTCACACGCATGCACAAACAGGACCTGTGGACATGCATTAGAGCAGAGATGTCAGAGTGGGGCTGCTACACTTTATTTTTTTGCAAGTTTTTTCTTACTTTTGAGAAATGTAAACATATGTTTCCCTTATCAAGTAAGTAAATAAGTTTATTTATATAACACCTTTCAAGGACAGACGTCACAAAGTGCTTCCTAATAAAGAATGAACAGATATGTTACAGACAGTCACATAAAATCAAATACAGACACATCAAACAAAGGCATGTCTGAAGTGTACGTAAAGCCCCTTTGAATTGAACAGAAATTCACTGAAAGGTTGATTTTGATATGAACTGTGATCAACCTGGACATACACAACCATCATACAAAACTTTCTTGAAAATATCAGAAATTACTCAAGGAAGTTATTTTATAGAAAGATGTATTGTAAAGTGTTTAACCAATGCCAACAAAGTGCTGTTAAAATAATGTCACCTGTAGCAGAGGCAGCACGTCTAACCTGGTTGTATTTCATTCCAGTAAAAGTAGATCTGCTTAATTAAGCATCATGCGAAAGCTATTGGCAACAGAGAATAAATGATAAATGTAAGTTGATGCGCAGGCTAACTTTAACTTATTGTTGTTCATATTCATTATATATAATTGGATGCGAAACAACTTTAAAGGACGAGGGAGTCGATGACTGAGTTTCTGTTAATCTGGCAGCATCTGATTTTACTGGAGAGCCTGAGTCAGCAGGGCGTGCATCTGTTGAAAGGCTTGTGTTTTTAATGTCCACCGTACCCCTTTCTTCCCCTCTGTCTCGCCCTCATCACACCCCATGCGGTGTCCTACATGCTGATCCAGCTGATGCCCGCGCGCAAATGGAAAGCTTTTACGCACCGAGCGTGTTCACTCTAAAAGGGGTTTAATTGTTGTTTTTTTGCTTTCTCACACGACTGTCTGCTGCATAAGTAGGTCTCGCACACTGGGGATGTGCTATGGAGATCTAAGGGATGCGGTAATACCTCACATAGGGTGTGTGTGGGGGTGGGGTGGGGGGTAAAAGGCAAGGCGTGCGTCCGGAAGCTCAACGCTAACTGAACGCAAAGAGGGACTCAGACATCAATAACATCTCGCTCATCAATAAGACATTTTGATGGAGTTAGACTGCTTAATTAAATAGGTTGCCTTGAAGGAATTAGGCTTTCTGAATTCATAATATTTAATCTAATGATCCCCCCATGGAGAACATCTGAAGGAGGACTTCTCAGCAGCTCCATCCACAGGGAAGCGGCTCGTGCAGACACACAATAGCACTTGGAGATTTCTTATCTTTCAGTGATGGCTATCAACACTGATGCTGCCTTCGGGAAAAGCGCCCTCGGCGAGAGGGAAGTTTCAAACCCCACCGACTTCCAGGACACGGAGAAGCTGCTGAGCACCACGATCAACGAGCCCACTGGACAGACTAACATCAAGCCGTCCGACTCCTTCTCGCTCACCATCAGAGGCAGCGTCCGCTCCCTGGACTCAGACCAGAACGGACACAGATCACCGCTAAAGTCGGGCTCCATCGGGCATCTTACGGCCCCACCCAAGTCCTCGTCCCGGCTCAGCTTGGGTCCGCGGCACTCACCGTTGCCACCCGGGTACACACCCCGGGGTTACATCTGGCTCGCAGTGTTGTCCTGTTTTTGCCCTGCTTTGCCGCTCAACATCTGTGCCTTGTGGTATGCACATGTGGTAAGTGTTATTCTTCTTTACAGCGTTCATCTTCTGTGTTTAGAATGCATGGGGATATGTTAATTGCAGTTGTTGTTCTTTTCAAACAGTAAAGGTCTTTTTCATAAAAGTTAATTCTTGATCACCTCATTCTCTCCTATCAGTCCAGGTCTGTTTTCCTAACAGGAGACATTGAAGGAGCAAGGAAGTACAGGCGCCTGTCCATGCTGCTCAGCTGTCTAGCAATGCTGCTGGGTGTGGCTGTCACCATCTTCATAGTGTTAACAATAGGTATGAAGAGAGACACAAAAGCAATCACATCGTCACTCACAAACCTCTGTGTGCAGGTGTAAATCTTAACTTGTCTTTTCTTTCTCAGAGATCCAGCAGTGATCTAAGTGATGGAAGGAGTCGCACAACAGGCTCCTTAAACATCATCTGATCACCAATTTGCACAGAAGAGAGATGAGGAAAAAAATGTCATTTTGAAGATGACAAGCACAAAATGTAAATATCTGAAAACAAACTGACAAGACACTGACACACAACATATTGTTTTTTTTTCTGCTACAGACCAAAGAAAGAAAAGGAAAGAATTTCCAGGCTGTTTCTCTTTTTTTTTTCTGGACAACACTCATCCCACAACTCAGGAACAATGGATGAAAGATGAAGAATTCATCAGCTGTGGTGTCAGATCATCAGACAACACAACCTGGGGAGAAAGTTTGAAGTGTTAAAACTAGTGTTGCACTGAAGTAAACTCCTGTACAGAGATTTGGATGGCACTTATTGTGCATATGCATTAGATAAGAGGAAGACGATGAATGCTATCATCATTATCAAAAAACAGTATAAATAATACAAAATGAATCAGTGCATCTTTAGTCTGTAATGTCGCAACTGCCTGCCTCCTTTTGATTGAACTTTTGCAACAAAGTACAGACTGATTCTTCTTTTGGGACCAGAGAAGATTCATTAACTCATTTCATACACTGTTTACATCAAGTTTAAATCTCATGTGCATTTCATCAAATCAATGCCCGAACTGCAGTCATAGTGTGATATCTTGCTTTGCGTGCTAACTATGATAAAACTGAAGCGGCTGAACTGCCTGGATCTATTCACCTCATCACGATATACTGCAAGATTTGACTGGGACTGTTCCACTTATATGCACTGTTCTGGCATTCTGATGTTGATGTTTCTATATTTATACTGTATGACTGGTTTACAGTGCCATAGTTCTGCATGTCTGTCTGAAATAAACTTGAATGAGCATGACCAACTTCAAAGTGAGCCGTTTACCTTTATTTTATCAGACACCTACCGTAAAGAACATCAACAGTACAACAGAACAGTAGTAAAATATCATACATTTATACACAGTTTCAACGACAGGATACAAACAGCCATGTAAAATTACAAGTTGGAAATGTTCATAATTCTGAAAATAAATAAACTCCTCAGTCTGATAGCTGAAACCCTTTTACTTGAAATTAGTAATCTGTTTTAAAAAGCTCTGATTATATATTTTTGATTTTATTTTTATACTTTCAACTTCCTTACAGATAATAAATCAACATAGGAGGAAGAAAAACATTTTAAAGTCCTGCAACCATTGTTCAGAGTTACAATAAATGTGTTCTGAAAGAAAGTCTTTTATTCTGACCATCAAGTCAGTGGAAAGTGTAGAGCAACAGCAGGATGGTGCAGACGCCAATCACCCCGCCTAGAATTAAAGAGTCCCGCCTCTTGCGCAAATTGATTTTCTGGATGAGGCTGTTGATGGTGGGGAAACGATCTGAGGGGCGGGAGGGTGTGGTGAAGGAAAAATAATTAAGATCCGAGGCGGGTTTCCCTTCCATGCAGTGAGTAAGAGACAGAAGAGAAAGCAGTTGGTGAAATACATATAAAATGCAGCCTAATGCTTCAGTCTGCTGTCAGTCACACCAACTCTCCCTGTGAGTGATGTTATTCCTGATCCATGTCCACACTCACAGTAATTGGCTCTACAAAGATGTAACACAAATGTTCTGCATCAGCCAAACTTTAATCTTAATTTCAACAAAGAGAAACAAAAGAAAGTCATGTGAGGAGAAAGATAGACCGAAAATGATTCAAATGATAAAAGGATACTGGCCAAAGTTGTGACCCTGGTTTGAATGGACTTCAACATCCCACGCTGAAATGTGATGTTCTCTTTGGTAGCCATGGCGATACTGGAGGATGAGAAACCATGAGGGATTAGTGGCAGGAGAGGATGCATATAGCTGGCTAAAAGACTTGAACGTGCTGTTTTTGCTCATGATGTGTGTGTGTGTGAGAGAGTGAAAGAAGAGAGGAGGAGGGTGAACGGAGTAATAGTTACCTTATTGCATTGTCAATAAGACTGTCTGAGCTGTGAACATAAAGAGAAGAGAGAAAAGTCAAAACAACTAAAACGTCCTCTTTCAGAATGTCTGCTGCAAAGATTCATTCCTTTAAGATTTTCTAACGTTCTATGAACATTTTACTGCACAGAAATCAGCATTCATCACTTCATTTTTAATTTCAAACACACAGTGTATAAGAGTCATGAAGTGATACTACAGCACACAGGGAAACCACGCAGCTCTTTGGGTCTATTATCATAAAAGCAGCACTTCCTGTGAGAAGTGCTGCTTAATGGAGGATGATCAGGATCTGATTAGTCAAACATGTGGAACCTACAGAATTGTTAACATACATGCATCCTGGTGCACGCTTTTAACTTTTTTTTTAGCAGCATATAAACAAACAGACACACAGATGGAGGACAATGAGGCTGTACATGGTTAACATCGGCTGCTGTAAGCTGCTGAGAAAAGTGACGCACAGAAAAATGAGGCGTTGAGCTACAGAGCCTAAAAGGGCAGCAGCGTGCATCCTGGCCGACTCCACTGGAGACCAAAAATCAATACTGAGCTTTATACTTCCTCCATCTATTTGTCAACCTCTCCCACCATCTATGCACTGCCATCCTCTGCTTTTTTCTTTCTTTTCTCCTTTAACTGGCCGAGTCCACAATGCAAGCAACTTGTTACTTTTGTTGATGTTGTTTTTCTCTTTAATTGGTTAACTAAAACAAACTTCAACAAAAAAAAAAAAAACTCTGTAGTGGTCGACTTAAGTCAGTCATCGACTTGACTTGATGGTTATTGAAACAGTTCATGGTTAATTCAAATATACGACATGATCTACAGATGTCCATAACAGTATTAGGCCTCACTTCTGAACAGTACTTCAAAAGGTAAAAATTAACTCACTCAGCAGAATAATTAAGTAAAAAACAAAGCCCACCAAAGAAAAAGATCATAACAAATTAGTACATCCACTTCAAAACATCAACCTTTTGAGGTGTTGCATGTTTAAATGACTTTTTTTTTTTTTAAACTTTGGTTGACAACAATAACAATTTGGTGAAACGGGTGGAAAGTTTAATTTGCCACAGAAGGGTCATTTTAAAAGGAAGCACATCTGGCTTGTTATGGCTGACTGTATGAAACACATTTGAGAAGCACTTTGATTTTGAATTTGGCCCGACTGCCACTACACAAATACAACACAGCCAAATATTTAGAAAAGTATTAAAAACAAGACTTCTCCTGACTTTGAATGTTTAAGTAGTTATCATTTCTTAAACTGAAATTGACAGAAAATTCTAGATTAATCAATTTCATTGTGTCCAATAAAATTATAGAAAACAGTGAAAAAAACATGTCACAACTTCCAATATGTGGATATCCATATATATATACACAATATAAGGTCATTAACCCAAAATGTAAACATCATAGCAGAGACAAATAAATATCACATTTTAGGAACTAAGAACCTCAAAGTATCGATAATATAATGATTGTTTTAGCAGATTTACTTTCTGTAGATTGGACAGTTTATTTGAGTATTTGTATTCAGTTTCCACATGTTGGTACAAAGTCAATGTTGTAACAGCCGCTCCCATTTAGAACAAATAATGTCAATCTCTCAGAACAGGACCAATTACAGCCAGTGTTGGGAACAACTCAAGATCTACCGGTTAGGGCAAGTGCATTACCATCAGCTGAAGTAAGATCCCGGATTTACAGTATATATATATGTGTGTGTGTGTGTGTGTTCATCATCTTTATGTCCTCAGGAAATCACTGTCTAAGGTCTTGAGCCCCTGTAAAACTGAGATCCTTTCTTAGACATGTTATTTTTATATTGTGACCTCAGCAAAGATCAAACTGACTCACCGGCTTAAATATCAAAGATATCTAAAGTAGTTATAAGTTGTATTGTTTCTTTCCAGAGATTGTTCTGAGATACATCGTATTCTTTCTTCATTTTAAACTGAGCACTGGGAGTATGAAGTCAATCAGAGGACTGTCTGTATCAAAGGATGAAATATGATATATGATATTCCCAACATGTTTCTATAGTTATTATCTGTGAGAACAGTGTTATAACCCTGGGTCATATTTGTGCATTGATCATGTTTATTGTGGCGTGTTCAGCTCTGTCTCCTCCCCTGCAGTGTATGGGTGTGTATCTGTGTGTAAGCACCACTCCCTACACACTTCCACTCAGTCTGTGCACTCGTTTGAAGGGTCCGCCACATTGAGTGCAGTCTAAAACCTCAAAGTGTGGAGTGACAGTGAGTTGTTAAACCCCAAGAACAATGAGTCTGCACCGCTGCTGGCTTACTGAACAGGTGTAACACCTTTCATTGTTCATCATGGAAGACGCTCCATACTTTAAGTTCCACAACACCTTTAAATGAGATCAAAATAAAAATAATCTCCACTAAGGAATTCAGGCTAGTGAATTGATGTATTGTGACAGAGTGACAGCAAGGTGGGGCTGTAATCAAACATACCGACTGAGCTGTGATTAATAGTCTGTCAGGTGTTCTCTTCATCCATTTCATAAAGAAACTCTTAAAGTGTTGGCAATGTGAGTGATATGGCAGTTGAAGGTAATGCAGGCAACATTGGCTCAGGTAACAACTGCAGTGTGTCATTTGTGGCTTTGACGCTTTCATGACTTCTGATTAGAGATCGGGACTACAATCTGTTTTTTTTTTTTTGTTTGACATTTGTATCATTCTTTGAAAATCAACAGGAGGAAGAGGAGTTGAAATAAATGTAGGCAACGCTGCAAACACAAAGACTGGGTTCAACGCTGGAGGCCTGAGTTCAGGAAACAATGTTAACTTTAACTCATGTAAGGCTGAGTTTCATTTGACAGTTAGAATGTGATCAAGCAGATGTTTGGAGGTTGTAGCGGTGTGTGTTATTTACAAACAGACGAGTATCACAATTCAACTTCTCTGTTCAGTTCTCTAAAAGATTCTTGACTGTTTTCTCTTTGTGACCGTATCTCTTTCTCTCAGGAAATCTCAGAACAAAAACCATGGACCCGATGTTACATGACATCCTATAATGGAAAAACAATGAAATATGGGATATATCAAATGAAACTTCATGACGGAAATAAACTCAAAGATGTTATTCTTCTTACACATCTCTGTTGTGTTCCCTGTATTGTATCATAATTAATGTTGATCAACGTTACTGCTACTATCTTTATTAAACTTGTCTGGGACAGTTAGCATTCAATTATTAGCATGTTATATGATGTAAAGTAAAGCATGACACATACAACTAAATACAGCTGAAAACACACAGGCACTGTATAGTTGACATTGTGACAATAGTCCTAAACTTTGCTGATTTAAAAGGCGGTTTAAGTGGAAGAAATCCTGAAAGGTATATTCATTATGTATGAATGTGTCATAACTTTACAAACCTGGACTCACTGCTGATGATTATAAAAGTTTTATTGCTGAGCTTCTCAAAAAAGAGTGTATAAAGAAATATCGAGAATGAGTGATAGAAACTGAATATTATGGCGTAACCTGATCATTAGAACATTGCCCCTCCCTTTATTCTGTTGTGTTTATTGATTTTGTCACTTAATTCAGGCAAAACGGTTTGACATCATTGTCTGTATAGCAACTAGTAATGTTCAAATTGAATCGTGATTTCTTATTCTTAAAACTGTACACAGTGGAGGCGCAGAAAGCCTAGTAGTTATTGCACATGCCCCATGTACGGACACTAAAGTCCTCCAAGCGGGCCGGCCTGGGTTCGAATCCAACAAGTGGCTCCTTTCCCGCGCGTCATTCTCATTCTGACTCTGTATGCCTTTATTTTAGAGATAGGACGGACCAAAAGTTAACCTTAAAAGAGGATGTGCACTGTGTAAAACAGACAGATAACAATAAAATGAAAAACATATAAAAATGTTTCATGTTTGTATGTTTGACACACAGGGGTGCATACGAAAAAATGCAGAAAATCAAACCTGTTCCGAAAAGAAAGATGACTGATAAAAGTTTCTGAGTCAGTGTGCAAACATGATACACACAAAAATGAGATTATATTTCATTGTTAACCTGTATCAGACTCCTTTGGGAATCCACGACTGAGAGTGGCCCACATTTAAAAAGACCAGACTGTGACTTTTGCTTTTCTCACTGTCAGATTTCAGTAACATAGAAACACAAAGATCAGATTCAGGTCACTTTTGGCTGCAGTGTGACCGCAGCCTGAGTGTAACCATGTAAGACATTATTTGCGTGCAGTAATGTGAGCTGACGCTGAGATTTGTCAAATGTAGAGTCTCGGACACTATCATAACCAAAACAAGTGTAAAAACAAGCAACTTCTTCTTTGAAGAACATCTTTTGATGTTTATTTATATGAAATCAATAATATAAGATTACAAACCTAAGATGTTCTAACAGGATGGAGTCCTTGTGAAATAAGAAGTTTCAGCTTACCTAGGTTACACAGCTGTTATTTCACTGTGTCATGAACATATTTAATCAATATTTAGTTCATCTTTTTTTTCCTAAGATTTATTTTTTGGCTTTTTGTGCCTTTGTTGGAGAGATAGGACAGTGGATAGAGAAGGAAATCAGGGAGAGAGAGAGAGAGTGGGGAATGACATGCGGGAAAGGAGCCACAGGTCGGATTTGAACCTGGGGCGCCCGCTTGGAGGACTATAGCCTCCATATATGGGATGCGCGCACTAACCACTGCGCCCCTATTTAGTTAATCTTTAATGATCTTTTTAGACTCTATATTAGCAGACATAAATGTTTTTAAGATTGATGTTTGGGCTTTAGACTTTATTTAGATAGGATAGCCTACATCATTCTCAGAGAGCTGGGAGAGACATGAGGTAAAGGAGCCGCAGGTGATAACCTTGGCCGCCCGCTTGGAGGATTATAACCTCTGTATATGGCACACGGCCTATTCGCAAGGGCCGAGGCCAATGGTTCTCAAGTCGTGGGATCGGGACCCAAAAAATGGGTCACAGAGCTGTTTTCAGTGGGACGTAAATGTGTGCTGGTTCTTTCATCTGTGACACATTTTGTACCATAGAGGTTCAAACTGCACTATTTTCATTAAATAAATCTGATTGGTTGAAAAATCTCAGATATTTGGGTTGTGATTTTTCATGAAGGAGTAGTTGGTGGGCACTGAGGCTAGACCGCTAGACCTGTTGAGTCCCACTGGCCTAGGCTATCAGCGCCACAGCAGACAACAAGTGGTCAGTGAATGGAAACATTTTGTTCCCTCTTTTATGCTATTTCACTTTCTCTTGTCTTTAAAGTCCCCTTCTTCAGGTTTTTCATGAGAATGTTTGAGAAAAGAAAACACCCAAACCATCTACCACAGGAAAATGTGGTTAATAACATGTCAAGTAAACCACTGACGTGACTGTTAACATGTACACACGACCACACACATGTAGCACATTTCCGATCTTCAAGTTTCTCATCACCACACTGCCCACTCAGTCTAGCCTGGGAACCAGAAGAATCTGTAAGCTCATTATTTATTTGCTCTGGCACAGCATGTTTTGGTTTATGCCTTATGACATGTCAAATATATGTATTATGATGTGATAAAAGTCTTTTAAATTGCATTTGATAACTAGCTACTGAGCGTAGAAGCTGATTGGTTGTGTAAGTTGATCTAATTGCGTTTTTAGTCTGTGTCATTGATAACAGCCATGGGAAACGAGGCTGCTCACTCATTGTCAAGTGAGCATTCACAATAATGATATGACAAGAGTCTGAATTTATACACACAAACAAATAGTTATAATGATAGGTATAATAAATAAAGATGCAATGCTCTCTGACACAGTATGACTTTATTTTACCTACTGGTTGGAGGCCCGCCGCCCGGGGATGACGGCCATGTATTCACACCATTTTGAAGCTGTCAGATGAAGCTCAAGCCATCAGCTCTCCTTAGATTAATTGTTTCCAATCAGATTTGATATCAATATTATTATTGATAAAAGACTTACTAAGATCTTGTATGTTCACTGTTTAAAGATAGAGTCAGTAGTTTTATCTATACGGAGTTTCTCCTGCCAGCCCCTTAGAAAGCAAGTCTGATGTTACAACGCAGCAAGTGGGACGACGTTTATACCCTGTGACTGGTGCACAGTGAAGGTGCATAGAGTGCGACTGCAACGATCTCTGTACATCAATAAACGGCTGCATTATGCTTTCTGTTCTCCAGTATATTCTTCTCTGCACCTTTGTTGAAATTGGACGTAGCAATACATACAGGCAAATATTCTAATTATAGTGACGTGTAGCGGCCTCTGTTGCTTTGTCCTCCACTCCCGTGTCGTTCCATTTACAGCATGTCATGGCTTAGGAGAGCAGCATACACAGCAACGATGGTTTCTTTTTGAGTCCATTGTGGGGATTATTCAGGGAACTACATTATTGAGCATGAACTTCACACTCAGAATGTCAATTTAAGTAGCAGTGGACAGCAAAGTGGGTCCACTTTGGAAGTAGGAAGTGGTTTCAGTGATAGCTCTTGGCTTTACATAAATAAATAAATAAATGAATAAAACCAAAAATCAATTCCCAGTGCTACTTAAAAACAAGTTGTTCTCTTACTTTCTGAAATGCTCATGCTCCTTCAGGAAGAGTTCAGTCCGTCTGTTATTCACTCCTGAGCTGCTCTTGTAGGACCTGAGTAAGAAAGCAAAAGTGAGAAACCTCCATGATGGGCAAGTAGGACCAACAGAGAGGGACAGAGGAAATGTAATGTGTTAGGGTCACTTTTGTCTTAATTTGACAAAGAACGATGTTAGTTTAACTGAGAAGGTCATGACCTGCAACTAATGTCCCTGGCTAGAATAAAACCGAGGAAACGTCATCACCACTGGACCACCAGAGAAAGACAAAGCTTCACCATGGAGATGACAACAACAATAACAACAATGACAATTCCACACTTCAGATTTAAAGCATGTATCATGGCACCATGTTTACACATAATTAGCATGAACAAACTAAAAGATATAGAAATGTGTTGATCATTCATCCTAGATTTTATTGGACAAATATAAAAACCAAGTGTCTGCCAATAATGTTTCCATCAATTGGGTCAGCAAAACTATTTGTAAAATGTATAAACCTTTCTGGCCTCTAATCACAAAATTGGATAAGGTTTTAGTGATGTTTTTTGACTTAATTTTTTTTTTTTAATTTAGAAAAGGTCCCACCTTAGTTGCACAATTTTCATTAATCAAACCAACATGTGTGAAAACATTTTTTTACTCCCTCCTGTTACTGATGCCATCTACTTCCTGCGTGTTAAAGCTTTTTAAGTAACTAGCTCTGCTTAACCTATTACTCTGTCCTCCCTCTCTTATTCACACCATTCCCTCCCTATTTGGACTGATCATCAATTAATCAGTTATGTTCTATACTGACGCCCCTGTTCTCCGTTCCTCCACACCCCTCTTCTTTATGAAGACAATTAGAGCTCACTCTAGTCCTTTTTGTAAGCAGTCACAGACACAGTAGATCAGGATAATGTCTCTTCCTCTCTCACACACACTCTGTCTGACTGGTCTTTTGTTCATCTCCTCTCCTGATAAAGCAATTCTCTGCATCAGGTCGCCCAGATGTAACCACCCTCACTCAGCTTTGGCTGAATGAAAGCCTTGCGGTTTGATTTACAGTAGAAGGCACTTAGGAAAAGTATCCCCAGAGAAAGAAAGAGATACAGACACAAAGAGGGAGGGAGAGAGAGATACTGACAGAGAGAGAGAGAGAGAGAGAGAGACAGAGAGCAGAATGAGATTAGCTAATAAGAGGAGGTGCTTCTTATTAGAGGATGAAACATGATCGAGGGAATGGAGACCATTAAAGGGTGGGGGAGTTCAGCATTCTCCTGGACTAGTCTGCCTCCTCCTGGTTAAGTATAACAACACAAGTCCACAGTGAAAGAATGAACGCTAAAGCTGAAGAGATTATTCTACTCATTGATTGATCATTGACAGAAAACACATAGCCAACTACTTCGATAAATTTCATCCTTGAGTTTCAGCCTGTTCAAAATAAAGATGTCCTTCTTTTTTATATGATACTAAACCAAATATATTTTAAACTGGAAAAGCAAGACACTTAAAAGCAAAAAAAAGTGTGAAAACAAATAAAAAAGATAAGTAAATAATTATGATAATAAACAACAGTTGCAGCTGTGAAATAGTGTCAATATCAATGCAATTACTAAAGAGTACTCCATTAAAGATAAACACATCATTTCTAATATCGTATTTTCCTTTTCCTGTTCATTTTAATTTCAAACATATTTCTGAACATTACTTGCCAAATATTTTCCGAACATAATAATGGACTGAATTTAGAGCACATAATGACCAGTTCATAAGTTCAGAAGGAAACATGCCAACATGTCACACACAGTGTGGATTTGTGCTGATTTCTTCTATCATGTTAACTTCAATATATTTTAATAGTGATCTGCTGCTTAGACAACAGAATTAAAATGCACAATCAGTGTGCATTTATATTGCATCTCAATTCCACTTTTACACAATAAGAAGACTTGTGCCCCAAATATGCAGATGCAGTTAATACTTAACCCTCAATGGATATAATGTTAAATTGAGGAACAGTTAAATAAGCAGCATGAAGAGACTGTAAAGGACTTGATGGAGAACAAGTCGATATAAAGCCCTATGGTCAGTAGGGTGACTATGAAACCAGCCTCTAAGGTTCTCTAAGGCAGACTGGACTGTGTAGTTGCATATGCCTCGTCATACAGCTCTTGTTTATTAAATAAATATAAAAAGACAGGCAAAACTGCAAGTTTATAGTGAATAGAGTAACACATAAGAGGTTTATGTTGCATCAGCTGACACTACACAATGTTTTTTTTATTGCCAAGAGATGTATGAATGTGCTTACTCAATGTCTCTATGGACAGAGCCAAGAAGGTCTTCTCGTTCCCGCAGGCTGAAGAAGTTGGTTTTGGTCTTGTGGAACTCATGAGTGTAGTCCTACAGGACAATGCATGACAAAATAGAAGTCAGCAAGACAAGATTCTACTGACAGAAAGAGATAATGGGAGCTCACAAAGCAAATGTGTTTAAGTGTAAGAAGTGTCTCTTTTGAAACAAGGAGAGTATTCAAACCAACCTGTAAAATGTCTCTGTGTCTCTGTAAGGTGTGCATCAATGCTGCGTTATGCGATGAAGATCCTGGAGTGTTTGTGTATTCGGCCATTTTATCATTGACTGCTGTAAGCTGCATGAAAGACATTATTAATAATTTAAGTTAAAATTGGAAGTGAAAGGAATTTTAGTTTTGAAGCAAACATTAATAATTAGCATTACAGTAAGTATAAGCAACAAGTCTAACAGACTGGGCAACCTATGTATAGAATGAACAGCAATTCTCAAAGCATATAATCCCCAAAATGACACAGTCAAAACAACCCTCATCCTCAGCGAGAGAAATCGATATGTTGTGATGTTATGTGTGTGTGTGCTCTGTTTGTCTTACTTTTGACAAAAGCTGCTCCAGCTCAGTAGTCATGGCCACAAGCATATTGTTGTGACAAGAGCCAGTAGCATCGGACCTGATTAAGAATGAAAGGGAGAGGATGCTGAAATACATTTTCATGTTATCTTGTGTCAAACACTATTATACAGTTAAGCATCAGGCAGAAAAACATGAACTATAGTATGCAGATCAAGTCTGACACAATTATCAGAAACATGGAGCTTTAATGTTATACCCAGGTGCAGTAAAAGTCACAATACAACAATTGTTGCTGACCTGCTGTCTCTTGTCCGCTGGTTGCCGCTGCTGTAGCTGGTGCACAGCTTACTGAATGAGACCAGTTTGAGATCCAGCTCATTCTCCAGCTGTCTAGCTTGTTTACGCAAATCTGAGTAAACAAACAGGAAAACACTAAGACCTGATGTTTTAAAGAGGACATAGTTTACCTCTTTTCCACCTTTTAAAACTGTCCCCCTGTAGTCTAAATGAAACATATGTGCGGTGGCCAAAATATAACATGAATCAAGTACCAGAGGAGGTTTGTGACCCTGTGTAAACTCAGCTCTCTCAGAGCGCTCAGTTTTAGTGTGTGTGTCACTTTAAATGCAATGAGCCACCCCTGAGTTTTCCCAGTAGACATCACTCCTGTAGCGAGAATAAAAGTACCTAACTTTTAATCTAACGCTACCCATGTCTCCTTTTCCACATGTCAGGACCCATTCATCCTCCCCTCCAATCAAATAACGCTCAAACCAAACCCAAAACCCAGGCTGCAGTCAACGTCCGCTAAAACATAATCATTACACAAACTCTCACACCACAACATTGTTTAACATCCACATATTCAACACATACCATACACACTGCTCAACTCCTCAACTCTCTTCTACCTCTCAAGTCCCCTTTACTAAGCACCTTCTCTCTATTGCTTCTTTCACTTTTTGTATCCTTTCTTACGTATTTCATATAGTTTTGTAGTTTTTCTGTCCGTAGTATGACGTGTGTCTATTGATGTCTTAGTATTTTGCTGTCTTTATTTGTTTTATTATTATTTACTGTATTTTGGAGTCGTTGTCTGACCATGTCTGTTTGTTTTTTTTTGTCCTCATTTATACATCACCAGTTTGTCACTTTATTGCACCTAATAAAGAAAAAGGACCCACTCTCTCTCCCCGATTTCCAACGCTATCCTCTGTCCTGTCTCTCTAAAAAAAAAAGGCATAACATTTTTTTAATATTTCTTTTTTAATGTCTGCAGTATTTCATTTTCCAAAGCTGCAATTAGTTTAGAAATAATAATTATTTTTTGATTACTACCCCAAGTTTTCATATCCATGATTTGAATAGAAAATGTGATTCTAAAAAGAGCCTTCCAACATGTGTGATTCATTTTGCAAACATAATCTGTAAACTATTATCAGTTTGTTTTGTTTTTAAAAAAAGAGTTATGATTAGAAAAAAAAAAGAGGAAGGCTGATGTAGAAACTTTGACTCAGACATTTAAATGGAGTTCATGGATGATACTAACCAGGATTACTGCCTCAGTGCTTTCATTGGTACAAAATGTACTACAAAAACTTAACACACTTAAATAAATTAAATTGAATAACATAATTTAAGCAAGATATCCAATAAGACATTCAAATTATTTTGGTTTAACTTTTGAATTTGTAAACTTTGTATAAACTGATTGCTGCATTGTTGCATTTCCCCCCTAAAAACCTTTAATAAAGAGTTAAACAGTTCATACCGATAGATTAACTCAATACAATGTAAAGCGAATACAAAAGGCACAAAAGGTACGACCGTAAGAAGTTGACAACTGCAGGTAACTTTTTTTTAGTTTGGACTTTGACCACCAACAAAGCTAACAGGTTAGCTAGCAGCTGAAACATACGTCGTCTCCACGTATATGAAGACATTTGGAAATGTATCTCAGAGAATGTTAACTGTTTCTAACCGGAATCACTGAGAAACAACAAACTATGTACATGCTGGCAGTCGTTTTATATTTATGCTGAAAAGTAACTTACCTTCCCAGTAGTCGCTGCTGGTTGCCATTTTTGTTGTTGACATGTCGTCATCAGCCGTGAAGCAGAAATAACTGTCGGAAATGTCTTTGGAGTGACAGCGGCCTCTAGCGGTTTTCAATAAAAAGGGTTACAATAAAGAATCTCAGTCTGACTATGTCACTGAAGAAAGACTGAATACACAAATGTCAGACTTGTGAGCAAAGAGTGATCTATAAATTAAGTATTAGCTCAGACTGATGATGTGCTTTTTGAGACTTTTTATATTATAAATATATCTTTTTACACAGTCAGGTTATTGATTCCATTGCCATAGACGATAGACATGTGTGAAGATCAGACAAAATTCAAGTAGGGTAACTGTGAATTTGATAATTTGGCAGAAACATGTTGCAAAAACTATTAGGAAGAAGATTAATCATTTGTTGAAACACAAATAAGCAGAACTGGAACAGATTTATTTAATGAATATTAAGCATTTTGAGATTTTGGAATAAGGAGTCTGAGCTGAGAAGTGGTGCAGAAAATGTTGCTGTTATTTTTTTCTTTTTTCTTTTCTTGTATTCTTACAAGCTGTTGCTGCGGTGTGAAAATATATTTAAGGTTTAACTTGTAAGAATTTGTCAAGATTATATTACATTAAGAGAGATAAGGATAAGTGTACTCTTACTCTACTGATGAAACTTTTGTAGAATCTGTTGGAGATGAATGATATATAAGCTTTTTCCAAATGAGTTTGTCATCAATGGGCACACCCAGAAACTTATTGACTACAGCCAGAGCAATGTTAGAAACATCTTTACCTAGGGTAATTGTATGTTTGTTCTTTGGTACTAGAGGATTTAAGTGCTTTTTTCACATTGAGAAAACCAGTGATGAACTTTACTGAATTCAACAGTGTCAGCATTGGTTTTGTTGAACAAATCATGAAAATCTTTGTCAGATAGTAAAATATTAGTTCCTTCAGAGGATAAAAATATTTTTAAGATTAAATAAAAATCATTAACATACATAAGGAAGAGTAAGGGACCATGGATAGATCCTTGAGGTACTCCACATGTTAACTTCTTAGAGATTCTGCATCATGCCAAGAAACAAACTGTTTGTGATTAGATCGCTTCTGAGCAACTGTATATCGACCCCTCTGATCCCATAGAGCTCAAGGTTTTTTTTTTTTTTATCAGAATACTGTGATCAACATTGTCAAAGGCTTTAGACAGGCCAATGGAGAACAAGAAAGTAAATTCATTATTGTCTCGTGCTCCAGAAAAATGATCCATCAGTTGGACAAGAGCCATCGCAGTACAGTGTTATTTTTTCTAAATATTGGTGGTCATGAAAACATTGTGTTCAATTAAACATTTGGTTAGTCTGTTATTCCCTATTCTTTCAAATACTTTGGCAAGACATGGAAAAATAATGATTGGTCTGTAAAAAGGAAAGACCGATATATATTCAGATTCAAAATTTGTGAACTTTTTGCTTCTCTGTGGTGTCAAAGTGTGAGAGGATTAAGACAAAACAAGGATGTAATTGACATACATGTCACTCACATTGTGACTTTCTGTTTCTTTGCTCATTCTCTTTATTCATCGTCTTGAACATAGGCAGTCATGGATATCACAGTAAAACAAGACTGGTGATCATGTTGATGTAGCAAACAATGACGATGATGATGATGTTGTTGATAATGGTGATGCCACCAAAGATGGAGATGAAAAAGAGCAAAAACTGGTGTTTTCACCGCTCTGCAGCCAACCTGGGCTCTTTCACACTGACTCAGCTTTTTGCTCACAATTATGTCATTCCTGTTTGCTGTCTTTCTTACATCTTTCTTTTTCTGTTGTGATGTTTCTTTAAAAAAGTGCTGTGAACAACTGACACCAGAAAGCACCTGAAGACCAGCTCTAGATCCTGCTAAGACTAGCTGGACCAGTGGAGCCAGGAGATGGTGGTTTGGGGACAGGCAGAGGGAAGAGGAGTGGGAATGAAGGTGGAAGGAGAGGAGGAGGAGATAAAGAAGAGTAAGGGAAGCATTCCCCACTTAGTGCTGGATCCTCCTGATGGACTGAATCTGGGGAGTCTGGGAGTGGGAGCCAAACTCACGGTAACACTTGTACTCTCCTCCGCGGCAATCACACTCCAGGATGTACTGGTGGCCACGGTATCCGGGATACTGGTAGCACACAAAGCTGCAGAAAGAAATAAAAAAACTTTTGAATATTCAAGTACATGGCCTGAAAAAGTGATTTAAGTATCAGTAGCCAGAGCAGATTATTGTGCAGTATCACTCAAATGTCAAAATGGACTCACGCTCCAGTCTGAATATGCATGGATCCAACCTCGTTGTTCATCCAGCCCATAGCCTGCAGAGAGGGGTAGTCATCAGACAGCTCGAACTGACGACCCACCATGTTCTCTGACTCGAAGATGGTCATGCGAGACTCCTTGTGGTTCTGTAAAGGAGGAGAGAGGACATTTGGGATGAAGCTCAGCCTAAAGAGAAGTAAGGTGTATCTGTGTGATATAGTGAACCTACAGCACAGCAGATGGGCCTGAAGGAAATCATCCTTTCAATGCGGTAAGAGTTGCTGCCACTGTAGGCCTCAAAGCGAGGGTAGTCTCCCTTCTCCAGGACAAACTGCTGGCCACAGAAGCTGGAGTGCTCGTAACCCACCCAGCTGAAAGAAAAAGGGAAATATTGAATTAATTCATGAGTTAACTTGTGCTTTATTGCCCCAAGAGCTGGAAAAAATAAATGGTAAAAGACACAGATAAACACATAAGACAGCACAAACTACTCTATGCTTTTCTTCCAAATTCATTTATCGTTGAAGTTGTAATGTGACGTGATATGAAAAAGTAAATATTATGTTAGACACTGTATAAAATCAGCAATGTTTAAACCCCTAAGAGTAAATTATTTGCTCATAATCTTAGTCGTTAAGTCCAGCATTTCCAAAAGAAATCCTAAACTCTGTGGATACGTACGCGCCACACTCGACCTTCAGGGAGCGGATGTTCTCCATCCCGCACTCCATGATGTTCTGGCAGCAGGCGGTGAACTCCATACGCCTACCCTGGAAGAACTCCTGATCGTACACAGTGATCTGCACAAACACAAGAATGAAGAGCAAGTCAACCCCCCAAAAAATATTCAAGATGTGACACTAGTGTGCCAATTAATGTACTGAAACATCGTGCAGGTCCTTCTGCTTATAGGTGACGTAGTGTTTAGCATGTATGCTGGATGCTTACCTTCCAAGGGCCCATGGGCATAGGGTTTGTCTGAGCCATTTTGTCTCTCTTTTTCAGGAGTATCTGTTGGGGAAAAACACACAGTCAGAGCAGGGATGGAAAAAAAGTTTTTTTACATCCTTATTGCTTCTCTTGGTAGCAGTTTTTTTTCTACGGCTTGAACCTCACTGTATATTGTGCCAAGCAATTAACTAACACATTCCTCTCACTTAAGTTTAAATAATACACCTATAAACTTTTTTTCTGTTCTGGATTTATCCTGACTACCTGTTTTAAAATGACCCCTTAATTTATCTTGAAGCAACAAACAAGCAACCAATACTAAGATGTATTGTTCCTTGATATATTACATCAGGGAGCCTCATTACATCATCTCTATAGCTGTGGAAACTGTACTGTAAACCATTTTGTAACCTACCCTAACAGGTAAGAAGTGTGTCGTAGTGTTCCACTGAACGGTCTGCAGGGATGTTGTGTGTGGGGGTATATATATACACCCGTGAGTGTCTGAGGCCGGGGGGCAGGACCGCCTGGACTCATGTCAGCACTTTGCTTTGGACTTCATTGTTTTGTTGTGTGAGCGACAGAGGGGTTAACACAGAGACACACAGTAATTCATGCTAACACAAAGAAGGCACACTGCATTACATACCCCTCTGTGCTAAATCTATATGTTGGGAGAAAAAGCAGGTGGCTTTACCCTCCAGTGTGTGAATCTATTATCAGATAAACCTACAGCATGAAAAACAGATAGTCAGGGGGAGAACACTTTGTTGTAATCTTTTAAAAGATAAACTACAAAACTGTTTCCACGATTCATTCTTATCCAGGAGCCTTTTAAGTGTTCATATACATCATGTTAAACAAACAATATTTTTTAATTATCAAACTAAATACTGGCTTCTTTAAAGTCTTTTCCTTATCTAAATGTCTGTGTCCACATTTCAAAAATTGTTGAAATTGCACTTTAATTGGAGGAACTTCAAATTTAGGCAGGTATGCTCACTATAAAGTTTCGGACAATGTTTAAATGTGTTATCAATATCATTGTGGTCAAAGTAATAGCCATTTATAATATTATCTTTTTAATTATAGAAGCTTTCTAAAACTTTTAAAATGGCCCTTAAGCACATAGGAATCACCTTAACTTACATTTAATGAAGATGTTTTTGTATATCCATATTAATTGTTATGAATATGTTTACATATTTCTTCATGCACTCATAATACAAGTTGTGGTCACACATCTTAATAAAGAGTATGCCTTAACATATAATAAATAGAAAAATACAATTTGATCAATATTATCATATTTGTTAGCAAGCTTAAAATGTATTTCCGGTACTTCATATGAAGATGTTTAAGAATATCCCACACAGGGAAATATGACACGATAAACTTTTCTTGACTGTTTCCCATCATGTAAAACTTGTTTGTTTTTTTGAAATACGTTTTTCGGGGCCATTTCTGCCCTAATTGGATAGGACAGCCGAAGGGAGGCACTAAATGCCAGGGGGAGAGAGTGGAGGACGACATGCAGCAAAGGGTTGAGGCCGGATTCGAACAGATACAGCCGCTGGGACGAGGACCAAGGACACATAAGACATGTTGCTGCAGGAACCTGGGATTGTTTTCCCAACCTTCCAGTCGACTCTACCAACTTAGCGACAGCCGCCCCACAGGTGAGTATACTCGCCCACAGGCTACCAACTAGCTCCTGCAAACTAATCAATAATAGGGCAAAGTCATATCCTTTCTTGATCATTAGTACCTACCCACATCCATCCAATCACATACTTCATAACATGGACAGTGAAATTAAGCATGCTAAACAGGCTGCTACACCATCAAGTAATCAACAACCATAACAGTCAATGGTCTGTTTTCAAAGCATTAGGATGTTCTCCATGTTGTAGAGTTTTGTTTTGTTTTGTGTTTGTAACATTGTTCCATTTGCAGTGTGTTTATCAGACACTATCATTTTGTTTGCCAAGACATAAATCAATAAAGTGGCTATCCAGCCTGTGTTTACCCTTTTGAAAAGGCCTTTTCAACAGTCATACAATTCACTGAAAGTTGTTGAGCAAGTTTCATGACGGTTGAACATTGACATTTACACTGGAACTGAAAAGAAGAGATGGTGGCTGTGCTGCATATCTAACCAGGCTGTTCAATAATCAATAAATGAGCCGATTTCATCCTATCTGAGCAGAGGATTCAGCTGTGTGTTTGTCCTGTTTTCACTTTGTGGTTTGAAATTGTGAATGAAGATACGTGTTACTATTTATGGAAAACCTTTACAAGTGAGTAAATCAACAATAAAGGTTAGCCGAGGCAATGGCACAGATTGAAAGGCCTTGTTGGCAGGGCTGGCAGTGATTTGGCATTGACTGATGAGCTGCTATTGGCAGCTTCACTTTCAGGTGGTGGTGTGAAAATATTATCATAACACAAAAAAAATATTGTAATGTAGAAGCAATATGAAGAGAGAAGGAACCAAAGTGATGCTTTGTATCACTTTTTATACTTTTGATTGATATAAAACATGCTGTGTTAAAACACACAAGCATTTCCTGAACACAAACTGATGATTCTAAAAGCCAGTTTCTACTTCTCGTTTCCTTCTTTCACAACCGTAAATGTGTTTTGAATAGTTTTACAGGCCTCGTTGTGAAATCATAAAATTAAACTGGGGCGGTGTTAAGAAACAAAGAGCAGCTGGTTAAGTATGAAAATCAACATACACACTTCTCTCTTCACTAGCTGCAGCAAACAATAAAGATTTAGGAATGGCCTACTGATGTCAGCAGTCTGTCTAGATTCTGTGTGTGTGTGTGTGTGAGAGAGAGAGAGAGAGCGTGCATGTGTATGTGTGTGTGTTAGTTTACATTTGTGAATGCATGTAATTCCATGATTGTGGTGACAACAGAGCAGAGAAACACAAATGGAGACATTTCACTGTTATGATGCAATGAAACATTTTTTGTGAGCACATTCCTAATTGAAGTGGATTTGTTCAGCATACAATAAGGGACATGTCAGACAGCTGTGTGTGTGTGTGTGTGTGTGTGTGTGTGTGTGTGTGTGTGTGTGTGTGTGTGTGCGTGTGATTCTGCTGATGACAGCAGCAGCTCAGGCATGACAAAAGGACAAGCAAACTCAGCAGGCCGATGAGCCCATGGTGAGCTGAGCATATAGCTGACACTCACTCAGCCACACAGCAAAACCTCTATGTTTCACAGCACATACTGTGTCTCACATATACTCACATAATTCACACTTGTTTCCAAAATTTATGTTAAAAATTAGGAATCTTTCTTTATATGTGTGAAAAATGTCCTTTGAATTGTTTTCTTTCATGCAGGACTTTTCTGAAGTTTGGATTTAAATATTGTTTGTAATTTCACTTCTTTTCTTTTTGTTATGACCAGTGAATACGGACCCAGATGCAGAACACAAAGGTTTTGGAAATGTACTGAGGTTTATTGCAGGGAGATGAAGTGGATGGAGTTTTCCAGAGAGGCGGCAGAAGGTGCAGGGGTAGATTGCGGACTGAGGCGAGGCATGGGTGTAAGCGCAGGAGGAGTTGTAAGAGGTGAGGAGTTTAGAGTCCAGCGTGAAGGGTGGGCAGATGGCAGAGCAACAAGGCAAGTGGGGCAAGTGATGATCCTAGAGCACAAGTAAGACAGGATGAGAAATCACAGCCAAACAACACAGAGCAAGAAACGTCTCTGACACTCAAAATCAGTGAAATAGGCCTGAACCTGTTCTACCACAGGAGCTGAAACAACAGTGATGAGTGGATGGAGAGCCGCAGATATACTGTTTGGTTGATGAATAGATGGAGAGCATGTGTGGAGGTCTGAGCAGGTTGATTGAACGAACATCATTCAGGAGGGAGCCAGAGAGTGTCACTGGGGAAAGCCACGCCCCCCCCAAAACACACACACACACACACACACACACACACACACACACACACACACACACACACACACACAGACAGACTGCTGACACATCCAGAGTCATGACACTTTAAATTTGAGCACAACTTCTACACCAGGACCATGTAAAAACATATTTAGCTTTTTTATTTTTATTTATTTTGGGGGGAGCCTTCATAGTTATTTCTAACCTCCAGAGGTTTCCCCATCCAAAAAAAAGTATATAGAGACAATTATCCTTCTTATGCTTTTTATGTTACAACTTATAAATGAAGTCCGAATTGCAAACTGGTATTGTAGTAAATGCAGACTGCCTCTAGGGTGCATCATTTTCACATGAACTATGCTTCAACTTACAAGTGCAGGCTGCAGCACACATAAATTGCTTTTATATTAGAAAGAGAGAGAGAGGGGGAGAGAGAGAGAGCGAGAGAGAGATATTAAATCGCCTTTTATATTTTTTTTGTGAATTTTTGAAATTTGTATTTGGGATAAATTTAAAGCACACAAAAAACAGACACAGGGATCAAAATGCAAAAATCCAAAACCATGGGTAACGTAAGGCTTTCAGTAATGTTGAATGTGGATTTAAGTCTCTTGTGGATCAAATTAGAATTACAAAGACAAATACATCTGATCTCTATAAAGAAGGAATAGGCTATATAGGCCTATATAACCGTTTTTTCATGTTCTCGAGTCACAAACACTGAGGGAAAACAAATGAAGTCAGCTTTGGAAAATGGATCACCACTTCATACTTGTCTGTCATCCCCCCCCCCCATTCATCACCCAATAGATTTAAACTTCTGTTCAACCAATTATCCAATCACAAATGAGCCCCTGGTTTAAGTAACCCTGGTGTTTTCCCTTTCAACTCTCAGGTATTTATTTTTAGAACGATAGTGTGGTTGCATGATAATCAAGATATCGGTTTCTCCAGCCCACTTGTGTATCATTTGAGAAGTTTTCTGTCCTGAATTCCTGGAAAATGTTGTTTTCTTTTTGTTGAAGTGAATGTGACTTTTTTTAAACCAGAAAATAAACGCCTGGCCGGTTAGGCCTAATAAAAGCCTCGTTGTGCTATTTAATTACGTGTTTCGCTGATTAAAAAGAGCACACAAGTTGCTTAAAGGGTTTTTGCGGTTCTGTCAACTTTCGTGGTGCGCGCAGTCGTCTGTAAAAGCTCAGCCTCTTCTCAGGTCTCTGCTGGGGGACCGTGTGCCTGACGTTGAGACACACCCACCTCTTTGACAGGGTCAGCCATCTGCCGACTCTTCACCAATTTCAAACCCCGCCGATTATTCCCCCACAGATTTCTAGCTTCACTTCACACAACAGCCAAGTGCGTGCAGCTGCGCGGAGAAGCATCCAAAACGAGCCTGCCATGCGCATCTCGCGCGTACAGCCAACGGTATCCGGGACCGTTTGCGTGTAGTCTCATCTGCGGAGACAGACTGCAGGCTCACGAAGACGAAGCGGATTTGAATTAAGCAGCGGATAACAGACAGCAACTCTGCATCCTTTGGCGAGGACAGGGAGGAGGGAGGGAGGAGGGGAGGCAACTATTCAGTATCTTAGTGTCCTGGGTGAGAGAGGGGGAGGAGGAGGAGCGGAGAATGAGCTATTCTTGTACCAGCAGAGGCAGCAGCCAGGACCCATCGAGCACTAAGAAGCCTGCCGGTAATAATCCGGCCAGAGACACCGGAGGCGCAGACAGCTCCAGTAACGGCAGTCCGACGCAAACGGCGGCGATGAAGGTGAAGAAGGGCTGCAACTCGGCCGACGTGGGAGTCCCGGTGACCACGGAGGAGGACCTGCTCGCGAGCGCGGTGGTCACTCCGGAGGATGTGCTTGGCTTGCAGAAGATCACAGAGAGTAAGTTCACCGCTTCTGATAGAAGAAGGACAAATGTTACAGCTGCCGTGTGAGTCATGTTTCACGTCACTGCCGTGTCCCCGTTGTTTACAGGCCCCACTCAAAACACATGGTGATGTATCATAAGAGCACCTCTCTCTGGGAAATGTTGCCCACCTGTCTGCACGTGCGCGTTAAACCTCTCTTATTAACATCTCTGGCAGCCCTGTGACCTGTGAAGAGAGGGTCAGAGTCAGTCACGGTGCTGAGGAGGTTCAGTTTGGCAAACGCTTACGGAGGAGGCATACTTTCTTTAATTGTGTTCTTTATTGAGTATGTCTGTCCCTCTTGGTTTCATCTGACCAGATGGTGCTGAATGACGAGACGGGTGACTGAGGGGTCGTCCTTCATAACAGTCTGCATACTTAATCTAATTGAGTTAATGTTTATGCATAGAAAATGATTGCATTCATTTCCAATGGATTGAAACTCAGAGGATAAGCAGTTGCTGTTATGTTTGTGATCCAAAATGTACTTTTACCCTAACCTCATACCTAAATTAGTTATTTTGCATGCCAAGCTAGACTGCAGAATTAACCTGAAATCTCCAACGGGATGGATAACAGGTATTTTCTCAGTGGTAGAACAAGGATCCATAGCATTGACTTGTGAAGTGAGCCAGCCAGGTTCATAACTTACAAGAAGCAATATTAACGTTTAAAAATGATTGATCAAAAGTAAAAACTACATTTCAACATAATGTAAACATTCAAAAGTATTTGTAGTGATAGTCACTGCCTTGCCTGACAGTAGCAGACCGTTCTTTTTAATAAAAGCTGTCAAATAAATGTGGAACAACACTGAACATCAACTAGAATACAAGTACTGTGACCTGAAGGTGTCCTTTAGCTTACTGTGTTTCTACTTTATATCACAGAAAGATTATAAAATTAGAGATTATATGTTCACATTATTAGTCTTTTTAAAGTGTTGCTTTGATAGGCAACATATTAATTTCCAATAGTTTGTGTGCACCTTAATGCAACGTTAATGCCTCTGTAAAGTTCTGTTTTTATTTCAATTATAAAGAAAACATTTCAGTATTCATAGCATATAGCCTTATCGTCTACTTGGGACCTTTAGATTATAAAAAAGTATACAAAAGCTCTTTTATTTTGTGTTAAGAAAAAAGCTCTTGATTACATATAACTTAATGCAGTTCCTTTTTTTTATGGTGCATGTCAAAATCAAGCTCCTTATAGAGAAACACAGGAGAGATGGCAGCCAGGAAGCTCTTATGTGCACAGAAACACCTACACCCATCTCCACCTCAGCTCATAGAGCAGTAGTTAGCTAACAGGTGGCCAGCAGGGCATTTGACTATTTAAAGGCCGGTATAATACCTCACTTACACAACACGGTTACATTGGGCGTTACAGAGTGTGGTTACATGTAAACCCTGCATCGGATTTTCTCCCAGCTATTTTAAAAAGTGTTTGGTCACTAAACTCACATGGTACATTATGGTAATGATGGTAATGCACCTGTTCAGCTAACACCTGTGACTGCGCTGTTCCAGCCAAGCAGCAACCTCCAGTGTTGAAAAAATGTAGCCAATTTGGAGGGCAAAAAAACTAAGTACCTGGAGAGTCCACTTAAGGCTTGCGCCAAAAGACCCAGAATTCCTATACCCCGTAATATAATGTCCATATTGACAGCAGATATAAACGTGTTTACAGCCTGGTTCCAAAAACTGTTTTAGTTGGCTTGTGTCTTTATTGGCACACACTGAATGAGGGTTGATTGTTTTTTTTAATAACTCATCCGTCCATCCATCTGACTGCATTCAGATGGCTAGCTGTAAGGAGGCTTAAGGCCCGCCTCCGCTTCAGCTCTTTGGCTGTTACTAGTTTAACCAAAAGTTTGGTTGAGATAGCTTTTCCAATATGGCATTGCCATTGTTGTGCTTCAAAAATGCCCTTCAGAAACCAGTGGGTAACGTCACACAGTCCATGTTTTATACAGTCTGTAGTTTCATCACAGTCACTTCTTGTCTGGTCCAACAGCAAGGGCTCCTTCACTCAGATCCTAAATTTTGAATCGTCTTGTGCTTTTTTCTTGTATTCCTTATTGTATATACCTATAGAAACTACACACATTTTAAATTTCGCAGATGAATGAGAACTTGATTGTCTACTGAAGCGTGATTCCATTTTAATGAGAGAACGAGGAGCTCTGGGAACATTTACTTACAATCATTGCTAGTTTTTAAAATGGCCTTTCAACTTGTCTGTTATTAACAACAGGAGATTAAAAAAAAATTGTGAGGTTGTAGCTGGTTTGAAGAAACTGGCAGTAGGGCCCACACGGAATCTAAACTATGTAATGTTGTCCATGGGGCTGTGAAAAATGCACATCAGGTACAAAAAAAACCCTAGATGTAAAAAAAATATGTTTCAGTCAAGTGTATGCCACATACTTTTTAAAATATTTTCCCTGCTCTACCTTCCATCAGACAGCTCTGTTTTGAGGCTTAAGACGGTTCTGTACTCCCACAGGCAGCCAAGTTCAACAATTTCTTTTGCTAAAGGAAAGAGCCGTCAGACGTGGTGAAAATACATTTTTAACAAGAGGGACTTATTTTTTAGTTATGATCTGTTTACATGTGAAATGTTGTTTGCTTCTATTGTTTTTTTTATTCTTCCATACTGTGGAGACAGCTAAATATGTGCTGCGCCTGTGTCTAGGTAAAGCTTCCCAAAGGGGATAGTAAAGTGTGTCGTAGCAAAGCCATGAAAGTGCATTTTTCTCACAGCAACATCTATAACGGTACTTAGCGTTGGGTGTAGTCGCATGCCAGCTTCTCCAAACAGGGTTAGGGACTGGCTACAACTGTACCATCTGTTTAACAGGTGAGTTTAATTTGATAGAAAAGGTGTGTGTATCTGTGGTTATCTGTAGAAGTCTGTGGGTGGTTACCCCGTGAGTGAGTGAGTCAATGTGGGGATCTTTGTCCAGCTGAACAGAAAACATAAATATGATTCTGTCTCCCATGCTGGAGCTTAGCTTTGTCAAAACGATCTTGTTTCCTACCTCTCGGTGTCATCGCAGGAGGCAAAAGGAGGCATGTGTGAATCACCACAGAAACATGGATGCAAAAATCAATTTGGTAACATGTAGCATCTCCCTGCGGTTACAGGCAGCCGAGCATGCAACTCTGTTCTCCCCCACACTTCCTCCTCTACCTTTCTTGCTTACCCTCCCTGTTTATCAGGGAAGTTGTGCTATTCTTCACAGAAATTGATGTTTGAACACTCAAACTTTATCACATATCTTTTCTGGAGGTCAAACAAAGCAGGAAACAACCTGAACCCTCTCTTGAGAACAAGCCCGAACCCTTGCTGTTCTCTGACTCGTCTCTCTCTGCTGCTGCACATTCTCAAGTGGCTGAAATTGATTCCCTTCCTAAGTGGCATGATACAAAGTTCATGATACTTCACACATCTCTGTCAGACTTGACAACAGTCCTGAGTCGACCACTTTTTCCTCAGGGGTTGTTGTTTTGGGCGCAGCTGTCTGAAAAACTTTTGAGAAAACAGACTTTAAAGTTTGCCAGGAATCATTTTGTGCTCCATCTGGTAATCAAAGCATGCTGCAGAGCCTGATAAAGATTAACAGAAACAGAACAAGCCTTCTGCTAAACTGACTGATCTGATCCAAACTTATGTTCTTAACTAAGTCTTAATCTTTCAAGTCAGAGTGGGACTGTTTGCAGCCCACAGAGCTGACTGAAATGCTTCTATACACACTCGTTTCTTTCTACTCAGGGTTTGTCTCAGCGTCATTACTTTTGTTTTATTCAGAGCCAGAATGATGAAACTGCTTAGACAATTAGCTGACTGAAACTGAACATGGACAATCATCAAATGCTTTGATTGTTATTTATATTTGTCCTTTCATTGTCAAAAATAGGATTAGTGTCTTTATTTTTAAATGACTGTTTATTGAATATCTCTTGACTTTAAAAAAGTGTACTAGCTGAAAGCAACAATAGGATTTTAGTGTCTGAGTGCAACTGACAGTTCCAAATTGCAGTGCGTTATAAGCGAGACCACAATAGATTTCCTGAGTTTATTTAAAAGGGTTCAGTGGTTAGGTCTTATTTGGACGTCAGCTGAGTTTCAGACAGAGTACTAAATGTGTGAAAACTCTAAGGCGTGTGGTGTGAAAGTAAAATAACCCAGTGATGATCTGTGAGAATAACTGATGTGTGTATTTTCTAAGCAGATTAGAAACAGCTAAACACTCTGCACTGTGATGGTAAAAGATTAGCAGGAGATGAAACAAGTCATCTTCATTTGCTTACCAGGATTTGTAGACAAAGAGGGGTCATATAGTTTGAGACAAAAAAAGCACTGCAAAAATACAACGTCAGACTACTTTTTGCCTTTATTTGTTTAGATTTTTTATTAATATTTTAAAAAATAAGGTTAATATCTAACTTATGTAGATTGCATCCATATTTGTAGTCCTATCATGAAACTCAAAAAACAAAAGTCATGGGAGTTTTCAGTCCCTTGTTGATCTATCTCGTAGATTTTTCACTGTGCCTATTTAAAAAAATATCCCCAATTTTTATCACAGCCTCGTTGCCATGACGCTGTGGTCATCAGCAGGCAAATCCAGGTCAGTAAGGCAGCGACGAATGAGTCATCATTTCTGGATGCTATTTAGCTTAATCACAGGGGAGGAAATTGTTACATATCAAGTCTGATTTACTTAAACTTAATATGAAACAAAGTGTGGCTCTTCTGTAATCTAAAACACAAGTATCTCAACAACCTAATTTCACAAATATGATAAACAAATATACATTTAACTAAACCTCTTTTTGGCTCCAAGGGCAACGCTTGATTTAAACTAATCAAAGAGCAATTTAGAGAGACATTTTTGTAGATGTTGTATTTTTTACTTATTAAGATCACTTTTTTATACCCTGCACTTTCTGCTTTCAATTCAAAGTTGTTGTTTTTTTTAGAGAGAACTTACCAGAATTGTTGAGGTGATTTGGTCTTCTCTAAAATGGTGAATGCATTATTTTTGGAGGATTCATTAAAATACAATGAATGCCTCACTAGTAATGTATTTTCAAGGCAAAGAGTATAACTTAAGACTTACCTGAGCACAACTTTTCTGAAACATACAGCCATTCTTAAGAGATTAAGACGAAGAATGCTATGCTAGCAGCTCTGTCAGGCTGGCCCCTCTTATTTGGGCTAAACGCTTGGATTGGAAAGCTAACACACTCATAAGGACAATGCTAACATGTATATGATGGTGAGGTTATAGCTTAATTATTTAGGTTTCATAATAAAGGATACTTAATCTTTAGGCACATCAGCCACACTCTAAAACGATTGTTCAAGAAGGCTGCCACATAGCTATAAAAAAATAGTGTGCACACAATTTCAACAACAATGGACATTCAGAATAAACATTTATTATGAAAATAATCATGTAATAATGTTCACAAACAGTCTGTATGAATGCCCCCTTGTATGTTATTCATATAATTGGTGTGACAGACAATCAATTCAATACTTGAATGTGTCAGTAGTTTGATTTGTTTCTGTCTTGCAGCAAGGTTAACCCAGTAACCATGTAAAGGACAAACCCTGCACTGATCCGAAGCTCTTGTTGGAAAGAATAAGCTACACCTCTGTATCAGTGTTGGCTGTTACCATCGCGTTTTGTTCATATTCCTTTAATATGGTTTTATTTGCGATTTGTGTTAAACACCACAATGTCACCGAAATGTGTTTCTGCCAGTTGTTATCTGGGTGAACTGCTCATATAAGCCCAGAACTGTTTATTTTAGATGAATCTAGGTCATGTAGTTCAGTATGTGTCGAACTGCGGACTTGACCTTGTCTGTAAACTGGTGATTTCTGAAATGAGTAGACAGGATGAAGGACTAAAGGATGTCAGCTGAAGGATGACTGAACCAAACATCTGACTTTCTGATTTCTAACAAAAATACCCAACTGCCCCTGCCTACCTGAACTCCCTCATCCAGATCTACACTCCTTCATTCCCACTATTCTTTTACAATGAAAGGCACCTGATACCTTCACAGCAGGACCCTAAATCACTAGACTATTCACGTCTCTAGTCCCCCACTTCCCCTGCAGAGTTCATTTCCCACCCATGCACTTAATGCGATGGGATTGATGATGACGATGATATTGATGATGAAGCTGTTGATGTTGGGATTGGTGATTATTAAAAACTTTGACTTTTCTTTTTTTAAATTGCTTCAATACACCCTGTGCATTGACAGTGGGCACTTCCTGTCTGCACCTGTGTCTGATCTAACCTGAGGTTGTTTGTTTACTCCTTTCTAGATTCTGGCTTGTGCTGTACTTACTTTCAGATCTAGATCGCTTTGGGCAAAAGTACATGAAACTGTCACTTGCAATCTTGTAAAACATCAGTTTCCCTCTCTTCATTAGATGCTCTCTGTTAACGGTTCAAAAGTAGGCCAATGATTAGTTTGCTCAATTCATCTGTATCCATCATGTGGATCAACAATTGGGTTTAATGCTGCAGAAGTTGAGACTCGATTTGAACAAGACCTCAGCCCCTTATACAGGCACTTCCTTCTTTAACATGTCCAGACATTTTGTCAGGGGAACGCCTTGATGTCCAAATATTTTGACCCAAAAATGATAAAATCTTAATAAACATTTACATAATACGTGCATATATGTTATTTCTGATTAAGACATGTTTGAATGCAGCATGGGATTTCCTGGCCCCTTTACAGCAAGCTAATGGGCTTTTGGATTAGGTTGAACAATTTGTTTGCCTGCTAAATACTCTTGTGTGCACAACAGCTGCCTTCACATTGTCTTCCTTTTACGTGTTGTTTTATCAAGGTAATAAAAAAAAATCACAATTACACAAGCATTCTCCTCCGTATCCCGCTGCATTGTCTCCCCTTATTTGAAGCAAACTGAATATATCTCCTTTAGTTGAGAACACATCTTAGAATAAGTACCTTCATGTGTTCTACCTGTCAGGACAATGTTTGGACCTCATTGTCCAGAGATTGTGTTATAAGTGATTGATTTACCAATCTTGCTAATATCAGAGCAATAAACACTCATCTCTGAAATTTACATTGATAAGCACCCATTTTCTCAGCGATGGCTAAAATGTCTGGAGGAAGGTTTTGCCTCCAGCTAAGCCCTGCCCATCAAAAAATGTCACAATTGTTTACTCACATCAAAAGGGAAAGCTTGGGCTATTAAATAAAGTTTTACTGTCAACAGAAAGCTTGTTGAAATTACTGCACAGAGGGAGATCTGACAGTGATAAAGAGTCTGTGGCTTCATAAGCATTGAGCAGCAAGTCAACAAGTTAACCTTGGGGGGGGGTTGTGTGTGTACATGTGTGCGTGTGTGGAGTTGATGTGTGAAGAAGACACAGCCTCAGCATCCAGACTGACAGCGGAGAAAAGGCATCACAGTGCCACTGTGAATCAGATTATCTGTGTCAGGCACACCTCGTACAGTAAACAGAGCTGACAACATGCTGTGACTTCAGGGAATGGTTCAACATTTCAGGATGCTCCATGAATACATAAAGATAAAAAAAAAAAACATGCAGGGAGGAGTGTAAAAATCCTCCAGGGGGGGATTAAAGTAAAAAATAAATACTATTCAGGAAGCAAAAAAGCTCAGGCTCAACAATAACAGTAACACTGTGAGGAAGACTGAACACTCGTCGTGCTGAAAGCTTCTGACCTCTTTACATTTTTATTTGACAGTTAAAAACACTGCTGAAATTTTATCAACTTTATCCATCTTTATTGTTGTTATTTTTAAGACAAATTTAGATCCAGATAAAATACAGCCATGTTTGTAGTTTCCATCAGAGTTTGTACCTGTAATGGTTTGTGCACATCTCTCAGTAAATGACACACTTGTCCTCTTTATTAATAATAGGTATAGAGATTCCAGCCAAAATGAAGACAAATCATAATGTTTGGGGAATTTGTGTATTTCTAAGTAATTTCCATTTCTGTGACACATTTCATAAATCCTTTTATTCAAATGTAAACTCTTATTTTATCGGCCTTATGTTGGAGACAGTTCAACAAGCAAGATTGAAGACAAGGAGGGTCTAATAAATGGATTTAAAAGTTAAACACGCACAATTTCTGGCTCTCTGTTTCTCCTTATAACCAGTGGGGGGACAAAGTACACAACATGAATACTTGAGCCAGAGTATAGTGTGTTTATTTTATTTTATTATTATTTTATTTAAACTCACATACTTCAGATTTCAAGATTTGCAGGCCCAAAATAATCTGAACAATATTTGGAACAACCAAAAATACCTGAAGACCGGGGAAAATGTGATCCAGGCTTTACACAGAAAGAAAACATTGACATCTTTTTACACAGCCGTGTCAGTGTAGATGCAACTGTACTCTGAACTCTACAACTGTGCAGCATATTCTTGTTCCTGTTGCTGCTAAAGCTCCCTTTTTTTTTTACTTCTCTGCAGCGTTGTTGGCACCCAACATATAGGCTACTAAAACATACAAGAAGAAAAGGGTCTCTGGGACAACTTCTCTATTCATATTCTTCTTATTATCTTTTTTTTTAACCAAATGCTGTATACTTATTAAATGACCACATAGTCCGATAAAGAAGGAGGTTAGTGAGTAAAAGTAAAAAGTCCCTAACCCTCTTAAGATAGGTCTAAGAAAGATATCAGTTGATACATCAGTATCAGATTTTTCTCCTACATCAGTCGGGCCTAGTGGCTCTTGGTATCATCGGATCAGTCAGGAAGCAGTAAGTGTCTGCTCTGCTGGGGAACGCTAATAAGCAGTGACACTGCCTGCAGAGGGCAGGAAGGATTAGAGGAATAAAAATAACTCTTTCTTACTGTGTGTTTGTGTGTCTCTGTGTCATCCTCTGTGATCTAATCACTCCTTTAACGTGGGTTTTCACTAACATGAAGGTCAAATATTTATTGGAAATGTAAGAAAATGTTTTTACCCAGTCTGAAAATCATAAATGGTTTGACCTGATTTATCCTTGGTTAACAGGACTGAAATTATATCATCAGAAAATATGTGTGACTTCAGCTGGATAAGTTAGCTTTTCTTTTCAGGGATTTCATTTCTTTGTAAGATGCATTCATTAAAATGACACAAATCATATTGTACAGCTTACAGTTGATGTATTGATATGAAAGTATTTGACACATATTACGTTAAAAATCCCCTCGAGCCAGACTCAAAGTCAAACTTTGTCAGGGATGTGATTCTTCTGCATAAATGCAGAATTCTGGATTTTCAGACCTTTAGGTGTGACCCACAAGAATCATGGATGTCCGTTTAAACACACTCTTTAAAAGAAGGAGGATAAGCCAATTAGTCAAAGAATGAGAAGGCCATGACATAAATAGCCTATAGTGTGTGATGATACTTTTACTTTCCAAGTATGCATGCTAATGTTTGTGTTGCCCTTCAACTAAATCATTTTTCAAATTGGCAGTAGTCAGCTGTGTTAACTGTGTTTATTTTTTTTGCTGGTCTTGCATATACTTCAGTGTAAGACACATTGTTAGCCACCAGCTAACAGCACAGCATGATCCAGTTTCGATTAACGTTTTGTTTTCATGTGACTTTGTGGCAAAGGTTGAAACCAGGTATGAGTGAGTTGCTATGGTTACGTAGACATTGTGTGTGATTGAGGTGCATTTTCTTATTATTTCATTCAATCAATTATTTTTTCATGTAGTTTCTGATCTGTGATTTTCACTCTCACCCCTTCTCTCTCTCTCTCTCTTTCTCTCTCTCTCTCTCTCAGATTATCTGTGCAGCCCCGATGAGAACATTTACAACATTGACTTCACCAGGTTCAAGATCAGAGACATGGAGACGGGGATAGTGTTGTTTGAAATCACCAAACCTCCATCCACAGGTGAGAAACAGCACTGCTCATTGGATGTGTTCTATCTGACCTCTACGCTTATTCAACCTTATGAATGCAGATTGTTTTGCTTCTTATCTTTTTAGAAATAGATTTATCTTCTGTGAAATTAGATATAAATCTGATATCTGGGGTTTTTCTGGTATATCATAAAATGTTTTGGTAATGAATTACTTTTAACATGTCAGTCTACCACAAAGAAGAAAGGCCAAAATGTCTGACAAACTCTTTTCTGTTCTCTTCCCACAAACTAATCACCACTGTAGATAAAGCAGGCGAGAGGAGAGATATAGACCCAAACGCTGGCCGTTTTGTCCGCTATCAATTCACCCCCGCTTTTCTCCGACTGCGGCAAGTTGGAGCCACGTAAGTGTGCATCTTTATTTACGAGGAAGCAGTTACCAACACACAGATTTGTTGTGTTTCTGTCTCACTCACTATTTCCTCTCTCACTGCTGTCTGCTTTTTTTCCCTCCAGGGTGGAGTTCGCAGTTGGAGACATGCCGATTGACAACTTCAGGATGATCGAGAGACATTATTTCAGGGAGAAGTTGCTCAAGAGTTTCGACTTTGAGTTTGGATTCTGCATGCCGAGCAGCAAGAACACCTGTGAGCACATCTACGAATTCCCCCCTCTGTCAGAGGACAGCAGTAAGTACACACAAACACACACACACACACACACACACACACACACACACACACACACACACACACACACACTCACACAGTAGAAAACGATGTGGATACCCTGTGTTTCTGGGAGAATGCTAACTTACTTCTTGTTGATTGGAATTGACAGACACTCAGTAGTGTAGTCTAGTTTATTGTAATGGGCATACTCTGATTTTTCCCCTCCCAGCCTCATACACACTCATCCAGTTAGGTCACCCATAAGCACCACCACACTCATTAATGTATACAGTTAGCATGTGTTACAGTTGGTTATGTGTGATCCTCATGTCCATTCATTATTAGCAACATACACTTTGACAGCCATTGACATTTACAGTTAAGGAGAGTGAACTGTTTTCTTCTGCTCAGCATCAATCACTATCTCACTTGACCAGTTAAGAGCTCCTTTTAGCCTCTGATGTTATATGAATACAGTCCCTTTAGCACAGACTTAACAGAGGGCTTTCTCAATGCACATTTAGAGGTGCAGACTAAAGAAAAGCTGAATAGTAATTGTGCAATTTTCAGTTCATCTACTCTAACTAAGGATGCCTGTTTTATTTCCCACAGCCTGACTCTCAGTACACACTGACTAGTCTATGTGAAAAGTCTGGCTGTTTGCGTTCACACATACAGCTCCTCCAGAAAATCAAAGACGTTTTAAGTATAGAAGTGATCAGCTTGAGAACCAGAGCTCTGACAGCAGTGATGTTTTTTTGTGTCTCCTCACAGTCAGAGAGATGATCCTACACCCATACGAGACACAGTCTGACAGTTTCTACTTTGTGGACAATAAACTGGTGATGCACAACAAGGCAGACTACTCGTACAACGGAGGGACGTAAAGAGAACACGCTGTGACGAGGGACAGGTGGATATATGGACTGACAGGATGGGGGACACAGTGGGGGTTAACTGCCTGAAAATGGTCTCTCTCTCTCTCTCTCTCTCTCTCTCTCTCTCTCTCTCTCTCTCTCTCTCTCGCTTTCTTTTCTTCCTGCTGAGGGAGTACGGACCAGATATCGCCATGGCAGATGGGCACACATATATATATATATATATATATATATATATATATATATATGATTCAAAGTTCTATGTGCATCTGTAACAAATTGATTTTGAAACATGATAAACCAGCAAGTGAACAACTTTTTAGGCAAAATTGTGGTTTTTGCTCTCTAGCCATGTCATGTAGTGTTAAAAAAATGATCTTCAATTAATGATAGAAGTTATTTTTCTCATCCATGTATGTACATGTTAAGATTTAAGAAAAAAAAACTAATCTTGCTTCTTAAAAAGCGTGTTTTTAGGACTGAAATGACAGTTTTAAGTGATTTCCAGATTCAGTGAGCGTGTGTGTGTTTTTGTACTTTTTATGACTGTGACTTTTTGTAAGTATGCCAGTTAGAAGCATGTCTGCCTTCGGTCTGGTAGAAATATTTTAATTTAAAAGTCAATAATGTGGTCATCTGGTTAAATAGATTTAGATATGTTTGTGCATTCTTTACACAGTATAGAGCTGCTTTCTCATATGCACTCCTGAAAAGTTCTAGAGAGTCTTAGGAGGACTGTCCATGAAATCCGAATGAGCTGCATGTTCACACATACGCCTCATAGCAGGAGACAGGCAAGACATGAGGTAAAAAGAACAACACGGAAGTGGTGGACGAAGCAACAGAGGCCGCTATACTGTACCATACTATAAGGGGAATATTATTGCCTTTATATCAATGCTATGTGTAGTTTGACAGAATCACAATATCATCTAATTTTTTTTCCCTGATTCATTTCCTCTTATTCCTCGCTCTTTCTCCAGTCATGTGACCTGTATTAACCATGGAGCGTCTACGATTGCTGAACATATCTACATGGCAGCCGTTTTCCTTTGTTGTCATTCTCAGGGTATGAAGTTCAAATGCTGTTATTATGTCATACTGGTGTGTTCAAGGAAACTTAAAGAGGTATATTTATAACTTAACAAAGGAGTAGTTAAATGATAAAATTAGCTGTTGATGATAACCTTGCTAATGGGGATTATAATATGTTGTATAGCTCAGGTTTCCTCTGTATTTTGGATCGACATTGTATTTCAGTTTATGATCAATCGAGAAGCAATGACAGGATATCAATTTGTCACATTCCCGACATGTATTTGACTTAAAACCTCAACACAATAAAACATCACAAGGCTTAAGCTTCCACCCTGGATGTGAAGTCAGAGGAAAATGGCTGCCGTGTGAATATGCAGAATTGTCTCAGCTCAAAGCACAAAAAAAAACATTCAGTACCAACAATCAGGAAGCTTGTAAAGTGATCATAAACATACTCTATCATCTGTGAACTCATCAGGCCTCATGTGACTTTTTAGGTGATAAAGAAGTTGTCAGAAAGTGGTGCTTTGGGTGTCCAAGATTAAGTTTAGCTGTTTTGGAACTCTTTATAAGGGATTTTTTAAATGTTTCTTAAGTTTCATTCAGCATTGTAAAAAAAAAAAAAAAGAAGACAGGGAAATGTAGCAGAAAAACAAAACTCCCTGAAATCTCATGTTTTTTCTTCTGTGTATAATGTTTCTGTTTCTGTGACGGTCCTTGTTGTGTCCCTCATGTATTCTTCTCATTTTATGTGTTGTCTCTCTGTTACCTGATTTCTGACTCTTGTACATTTCTATGCCGTTGTTTTCACTGGGACACATTCCAGTGAATTGGTACATGAGTGTGTTGATCTCATTTTTCATTTTACAAATGATCAGCAACTGAACTGTCTTCAGATGTCTCTAAACTTTAACATGCACACTTGGCTTTCTTCTGTGTGCATTGAAACACAACCTGACTTAAATAGTATCATGTTTTTTCCAGCATAATTACATAAGACAATTGATTTGATGCTATTACAAGTCAGGTTAATTTGTATGAACTCAAAATCAATCTGCAACATCAGTTGTCTTAAAACAAAGGCTGAACATTATTTGTTAATTCCAGTTGAGTCAGACCTGTGAATAAGTGCAGCCAGGGGAAAGGACATTTCTTGAATGCACCTGTTGAGTGTTTAAATCATTGACTATATATAAAGATGGACAATATGTCTGCACCTCCTCATGTTGAACAAAAGTGAAGCCAAAATACCTTGACTCAGGCACTGACAAATAACTGGTGATGTCATGTGAAGCCAGAGTCTGCTGGTGGACCCTTGGTATTTACTTATCGCTCTTTCACTAACCCAAACACACATTTAACTTACCGGCAACACAACAAAGATCCCTGAGGTCCGTACAGTCCTCAGCAGAACAAGTCCTTGAATCAGTTTGAAGCAGACCCTCAAAGCTACTGTAAGGTAAAGGCTATTTTGTTAGTCCAGTTGTCTGTCTTTTTATACAGTCTATGGTTCCCATAGCTCAAGGATTGAAATTAATTCAGACGACTCAAAGTTGAGACAGGGCCAGGAAGAGACTCAGATTGACTTGAATGTTATATCAAAGAGTAGGACAGATTTATTTAAGACTGGTTGTGTCCTGGTACAAATAATTGAACTGATGTGAGGTATTTCAATGTTGGTGTGACTGGTAAATAAAAGATGTATAGGACTTTTTGAAATAAAGTAAGTTCTTAGTTTTTATATTGCGCAAAGAGAGTATACAATGTTCACACGTTTATTTTCAGCATAAGAGTCTGGCACAGCAAACATAAAATGTTGAAAACAAACACATCATTCAGCAAGAACTTAATGTCTGTCTTTTCAGTTTATTACATTCACCTGTAATAAACACAAAGCACAATGGAAACCGACCTAAGTTGCAATCGTTCACTGTTGGCAGCCTCTTATCAGTTATCCTTCAACCAACCTTTTAATCTGTTCTTAATGAACAAAATCTGAGGAACACCTTCCTGCCATTGATTGGTGTTTTCATTTCCTCATTGCTAAAAGGACGTCATTTGCTGTCACCTGCACTTTATGTTCTGTACATGCTCCTGTATCGACTGGAGCCGATCTGTTAAAGGAATGTTTTGACTTTTTACAAAGTACGCTTGCTGGTTTGCTGAGATAAGAAGTTCGATAAGAAGTTAAGGAGTTAAGCTGGCACTAGTTGATGATTAGCTTCAGCATAAAGATAAAGAAACAGGATAACAGATGTCCTGGCGCTGTCTAAATGTAAAAAAAAAAAAGAATGCCCACAAACACCTCTAATGCTTACTTATGTACAAGTTTGATCAATCCGTACAAAAAACAAAATGTACAATAACAATTTGTTTAAATAAAGGAGCAATGTGGTCCAGAAAGTCCCTTCAATATTTTTATAGCCTAAACACATAAGAAAGTAATGTTGATTTGAGCTGTGCATGTTTGGTTTGTTTGTTTAACTAATGTTATTCCACCTTGTTCCCTTGTTTCCAGTCTGTTAGCTAAGCAAAGCTAACCAGCGCCTTGATATAATTGTTATTCACTATATGGTTATGATGCATTAGCTATCTTCTCAAATCTTGAGTATTTTTCAAAATGTTTACAATATTTATTTTTATCTAGGCTCTGTAATAACAAAGTTAAGGTTCAAAATGTCCCTATAAGCGACACCATCGCCTTTGGTTTACATTTAACACATTTCAAGACATGAAATATATTGCCAATGCTCGTTCATGGTCAACAGTGTAAGAAAAACACTGACAGAAAATACAATCTGCAACAAAAATTTACACACTTACAGAGTTCATAAGTTAAATATACTGATAAAGGTAATTTAATTAATACGTATTTAAATATGATCTATTAACAGAACATGGCATAGAATAATCACATTGTTTTAAATAATCCCTCAAATATAGTGTTCGCATCTATTCATTGTTTTCATCGTATATACATTAATAAGATGAAATTACATGAAATGTGTATAAGTAAATGACCTCATAAATTGGTGTTTTTTTATCACGTTATGTTACTGAAACAGGAAGTGGTTAACACAGTTGGTCTTAGCTCAGCAGTAGAGCTCTTTAACTAAGTCTTGGTTTGATAGTGATATTAGTTTGTAATTATTGAATATATGGTTTTGAGTGAGTCAAATTGTTATTTTAAATTTGATCTGGTTTTTCTTTAAACTTGATCATCTGCAAGATATCAATCTATTGTAAACACTATATGTCTCCAACAAATAAACAGTTTTGGTCATTTCACTTGATAGATTGACGCCAAACAGGACTGCGTCTGGTTGTTACAGTTGCTGTCAATCAAAGTGTGTCAAACTTTTCTCACACAGTCCTGATACATTTATTCTCTCAATTCCCCTTGTAAGATACCTCAGTTAATGTTCTTCCTATACACTGGATGTCCCTTTTTTGGTCATAAATATTTGTTTCTTCTGCTATAGATTTCCTCATTGTCTACTTCCTCTCTTGTTCAAGGCAGGGCGGTTGAAACATTGGCCCACTTAGGGAAGGTGCCCATGTCAAACATGGCGTATCCCCAGGTGTTGATGCCTAGATTAACAGTCAAGATCCCAATGAGGTTCAGAATGGTTCCAGCTTTCACCTGAAGAAAGAGTCAAATTTAACATTGTGGACTGTGCCCAGTTTAAATACACAGAGTATATCGTAGAATCAGAAGTAATCATTTTGGTTAAACATCCATAAACAAGAAAAATCAAAATTGCACACTTCCCAGTTTGCAATGATTTTACAAACAGGGTAGTTTTGTTTAATCGGAGAAAACATGAGACGTCCACCAAAGTCTACAAACTAGTTTTTTTGCCTCTTATTCCAAAAATATAGATATTTTCAATTCCCAGAAAAGTAACAATCCAAAACATATTTTTAAATTGCAGTACTATAAACTGTTATGTGTGTGTGTCTTACCATGTCAAAGACTTTGAGGTTTCCAAAAGAGAAGGCAATTGCGTTGGGTGGTGTCGCCACAGGCAGCATGAAGGCCAGAGAGGCAGCGATGGTGCAGGGCAGCATCACGTACAACGGGTGTATCTTAATAGCTATGGCCTAAGAAACATGAAGGAAAAAAAACAGAATTACATACATTGAGAAGATTTGTGTTACAGCATGACTTTGTGTGCATGTGGACATTTGAGTTATTTTACCATTGAGGCCAGTATAGGCAGGAACAAGGTGGTGGTGGCTGTGTTACTGGAGCACTCGGTGAAGGTCGCCACCAGCAGGCAGAGCAGCAATGAGATGGCGTAAGGAGGAATTTTCTGCAGAGGTGTCAAGCTCTCTCCCAACCACTTGGATAGACCTGACTCCTAACAATATACATATCATGACAAAGAAATACAGTCAATGGCCAAGCTAGCACAGTGGTCCAAAGGACGGTAGGAAGGATCGCCATAAAATGGGATACAGGGGTTCATGCTCATCTGAGAATTCTACAATGTGATGTACTTTGTTGCACATGCAGCACCAGAGAAATAATTGGATGAATCTCCATTTAATTTGAAAATATTTTAATCACTTTGGTGATCCATTTAACTAAACCATTTATAGCCACTGGGGGTTGGCAGTGACACACATTGCCTCTCACCTTAAGGGTTGCTAACATAACAAAGATATCAAAAAGTTGCAAATTTTTAGAGACTGGGTTACGTAAATATTAATTTGGAGTCTTGTTAAAGTTCAATAAAAGCGAGATTCCCATTTTAAGAGTTATAGTTGAATTTTTTACAGTACAATGCTCAGTAATCACTAGGTTTAAATGCTAATTCACTCTTACAGATCAACAGTTATCATCCTAGTGATTCAAGAGCCTGTGATACCTAAAATTTCATAATCTGACCAACACTCCAAAACTCAATGGTCTCTTGTAACGATGGTATCCATCCCTTACCTCACTGCCGGCAGCCAATGCAAAGCCTCCTCCAAGGAGCAGGATGATGTTCCAGGGCATTCGCTCATGGACCACCTGCCAGTTCAGCAGAGCAGGCGGGGCCTTGATCAGTTTACCTGTGAGTCCCAGTTGAAGTGTGAACATGAGTAAAGCGTAAAATCTGCCAGGTAATCATCCCCAAGCACTCAGATGAGCTGAGATTAGCTCACAAGAACTTGAGGCATGGTGCTATGTGGATTCTTTGATGCTGTTGTGATCAGTGGAGATTAAAGATAACACTTCACCTTTTTCATTATAACCGTAACCTCCACATCTGGGCAGCTGGGAAGGGATGACGAAGAAGAGCATGGACATGAAGATAGCAACTGTTCCATCAGACACATACCTGAAGAAAATAAAACATAATTTAATATTGTTGGCCAAGCTTTTTGCTGACATGTTTCATTATTTGGAAACTGCTGCATCAATTGAGTTGAAGAGATAAAAATATTAAATATGTTCTGCCCCACATTAGGAATATAGGAATAAACAAATAAACAAATACAAGACTAATTAAAAAGCAAAAAGACAGAAATAGTCTTTTTTTTTTTTTTTAAACAGGCGGTATTCTACAAAATTATTGTATTAAATAAATCCTTAGACAAGCTTGTCTCTTAATGCCTTTACACCTCCACAACCTCTCTGCAGCACTCAGGCCTGTAAGAGCAAAAAAATCCTTTATGAAAGGATCACAAAAAGGCTGCATAATTTCATCTTTATGATTGAACTATTAAGCCATCACCCTTGTATCGAAATTATAGATCAGTTCATGGTTTTTGTTGACATAAATAAAACATAAACTCTATACCAATACTTCATGCTTGTATAAGCAGAAAAGCAGGACAGAAAGGTCAAAACTCACGGCCCGTCCATGTTGAAGAGTACTGTTGCCCATCCATCTATAAAGCCCGGCTCTCTGGTGAACCAAAGGAGCACCAGTAGAACGAAGATGGTGAGCACCCCCATCTCAGCGACCTTCATTGGTCCCAGCTTTTTGTACTCCCCCCTCATCACTGCGTACGCCTCCCTATCTCTCTCTGTTTTCATGCCACAGCCGAATGTTTGCTTCAGGCTGTGGAGGACAAAATTACAAAACACAAAGCACTGCAGATTAAAAAAAAAAATCTGAATCTGTAAAAAAGTAAATAAAATGAAGGCAATGTTTATAGAATCAGAGGTGTGTCATGAATGGAACTGTGTACACTTAAAGGCAAAGGGGATTTACAGCATACTTCACTTCAATTGCCGTTTATTGAATATCAGTTCTGATCAGAGTTTTAAAAACATATTTTGTCTTGTATGAAACAGAAGAAGTATGAAGTATGAAGCAAACATGTGAATGGTAACACTAACTTTTGTTTCAGTCAGAAATGACAATGTGGAAGTTGTTCTAACACACAAGAACCAAACAATTATGTAAATTGATCTTGTTTTATGAGTGCTAACAGCCTGAGCATTTTCTTTAATGTAGGTGGCTGATGGGTGATGGGTGATGTGAAGTTTAGTAGTTGATGATTGCACAGAGGTAAATGTGCGTGTCTGCAAAACAGAAACTTGCTATTTGACTGCACCAGGCTAGCTGTTTCACTCTATTTAAAGTCTTTGTGCTAAGCTAGGCCATCATGCTGTAGCTTCATATTTAAATGTTTAACTGATATTCTCATCAAACTCTGCGCAAAAGGAAATTATCATTTTTCCCAAAAGGTTGAGGTATGTGGTAACGCGTGTCTTATGTTTTGTAATGTAAATGTATTTAAAGGGTAGCTCATCCAGACAACTTGAGCCGTTTTCACATATGCACTAGATAATCAGTGTCACTGTATATAAACATAATTCTCTTTCTATTGGCTCGAGGTGAATCCTCCGGAGTATATTCGGCGGCGTTCAGACATCAGCTCACTTGGACTTTCTGCGGGAACATATACAAGGGGTCTGGCTGGAGAAACTATGGGTAAAGTCCTCGCAAAAAATGCGGCTGGTTGCGTTTACATATAGCCTAAAGTCCTCTGGGTATAGTCTAATCTCTGGAGTTTTTCAGGAGATTTCCGTATGTGTGAAAAAGGTTATAAATAGCCGTAATGTCTAAAGCTACATGCAAAAATTCAGGTTTATCTTTAAATATGAGTGAATTATGGGCTTTAAAGAACATTTTCCGTTTTTTTCTGACTTAAGAAGAAATAGTTTTGGGGTGGAGATGGCCTAGCGGTTATGTCGCGCCCCATGTATCGAGGTAGTCCTCCAAGCCAGCG